TGAAGGAAATTCCGCTACCAAGGGGAAAATTCTCAGCCACATTTGGTGTTTTCCCGAGCCAAAAAAAAACACAGAATAACAAGAAGAAAAACTAGAGATACATATTGTCTGATCTCATGAACAAAAAAACATAATTGAACCGAGAATAACAACAAGAGTGGGTGGTTGTGTTACAGTTTTGCGTAACGGGACAGTTTTTCCGACACTTTTCCGAGTGGGCGGAAAGCTGAAAGCAAAAGCAAATTGAGTGGGTCAGCAAATTGAGAAGCATTTCAAGTTCAGAAGTCTCCATCAATTTTCAACTTTTAAATCATTTGAATTTGCACAAAAACCAACACACTTTTCACGGAATTTGTAGTTAGGCTCGATTTAATTGCACATGTTTTATGGCGGCGATCCGATATAATTAAAGCGAAAAGTCGACACGAATGGGAAAACGCGTGGAAATTGTTAAGTGTTTAGTTTTCTTTTTTTTTTGTAGTTTGATTTACACAGCGCGACAAAATGTGCGCTTCTGCGATGTGCGCTTTTCCACACGCTGCGCCGTACTCAGCTGGAAAAGCGTCTGCCTGAGCATTTTCATTTTCCTTTTGCTTGCACTTTTCCTCCTCGCGTTTTTCACACGCAAACACGCTAGCCCAGAGCTTTGGTACTTTCGGAAAAGCTCTTTGGCATTTTCACAAAAAATCTGTCTCTCTTTCAGCGGGTTTATAAATTATTCTAAGGAATGTACACAGGTTTAAATAATATATCATATCATATAGAAAAAAATACAATATATTATTTTGGTTCTTATAAATAACTTTATATATGTATATCTCTTAATTGAGATTTCCCATTAAAGTGAATTAAATATCCCCTCTATCCCCTCCTAACTTTCGATTCTTTCACTTTCCTTCGCTGATTTGCTCCATAAACCTGCTTTCTCGCGTGCTCGAAAATTTCCCATAACAATTACCATTCGGACCTTTTCAGCATTGTTTGTTTGTTTGCCTTGTTGCTGTTGTTGCATGTCACATTTTCCCGGCTTCGCATTTTCCGAGAGAGTTTCCGCGAAAGCTTTCGCTCTAAAGGGATTTTCCTCCTCGCTCTCATCGCATTTCATTCTGTGGTTTTACTTTTGTCTTTGGCACCTGTTCGCTTCTGCGCCTTATCGCCGAGTTTTATGAATGAAGCAGCTTTTGTTTTTGAACTCGCAGCCAAAAGCTCAGTTCGGGAAATATTTCTACAAGGTACTATTGCTAAAAAGTTCAGAAGAATCAACAACAAAAAAAAGTATGACATTTTTCTAGGGAAATTATTTAATTGCTTGGCAATGGTAATTAGTGCACACGGAACAATTATTTTATAATTAACCCTATTGGGAAAAACTTGACCTAAATGGGTTGGCAAGAACTAAAATATATTTTGTAATTTAAAATTTCGCTTTTTAAAAATCTTGTTTATAAGTAGTAATTTTTTAAAATTATGTGAAGTATGAGCATTAAGTATAGTTTGGAAAATAAACCTCAATATTAATTTTAATTTTTATTTGATAGATTAAGACGCCGTTTTCTCGTCCGGTTGTTAAATTTAAAATAAGGTTAAAACTATAAAATCGTATGGGAAATCAGAGTTTTAACCCTACTTTAAATTTAAAGATGAGGAAACGGCCATTAAATATTCATTTATATATTTCATATTTTGTGTTTATATTTTGATATCTTTTTGAGGGCCGTGTAATTAAAATATGTATGATTTCCCAGAAAGCATGGAAATGGTAGATTCCTTTTTTCACCAGAAATCTCCTGGGCGGCATATCATCTAATGGCTGCCCTATGCAATATAATTAGCACCTAACCAAGGTCACAAAACACAACTCCAAAAATTAAACTCTCGTGGCGCGAGCCCCTAATTAAGTTTCCCGGCCATCAGACCACAAGAAAACAAATGAAAATAAAAGGAAAACATACAAGGGAAATGAGGAAAGAAAATTAGAGCGTGGCGCAGGCGTCATAAGCTTTCCAGCAAATCGAAAAACTGTTGCATAGAAATGGGAGCTTGGCGGCAGACTGGCTACCGTTTTTATATATATTAACCATTTCCCAGCAGCGGCTAATTATCTTTTAGTCAGGGATTAAATATGCATGACCCGGTCGAAATGGGTTGGACATGGGAAAAAAGGTTCCTAATTTCACAGCTGAAATTACAGGCATTATTACAAAAGGGGAGTGTTTTTTTGGAGAGGGGTAGAGGTGGAAAGTAATGGTGACTAATGTAATATTTACACGAGCACTGATTTCCCAACCAAATGGTCGATCATTAGTGCGGGAAAAGCAAGAACTATTGTAGGTAAACAAAAGACGGTTCAATGGCCCCCCGTATGAAAATAAAAATAAAACCAGAAACCCGAAAAACACTCGACAAGAGCACAGAAAGCGAAAGGCCAGAAGCCAGAACAACAGAACTCAGAACCCACGGAACAGCTTCTCCACGAAATCGAAAGTCAACCACAAGTGGTTCATCTGGCTGTCTAGAGCGGAGGGGTCACCGATGTTGAATTGATTACGACATCGCTAGTGACACACTTATGTGGATGTGGATAAGAAAATGGAACTGGTGCTCGAGAGGAGTGGTGTCGAAAGGAGGAGTCACTCATTGGAGAACCCACTTATCAATCACGTTTTATGCCTTTACTGCACTTCGATATTCCAGTGCAGAGCTTTAAAGCAATAAAGCCCAATTTTTGGGGAAAACCTTGTTGTGATATTATCGCAACTTGGTGGAAATCGCCTGATGTCTGCCACATTTACCACCCCCTTACAGTTGATATCAACTTTACGCGGCCGTGCTTAGTCATTAGCGATGGGAAAGTGCCACATTTTCTACGCCGTGGGGCACAAAAAATACAGGTGCACAGGGAAAAATAAACAGGATTTACCATAAAATATTATATTTGTAGATGTATTACTTAGTTCTAGTTCTAAAACTTAAATAAGAATATTTCACTTATTGCAATGACATTTTAAATGGAAATTTCTTGCAAGATAAGCCCTTCTTATGCAATTCGTCATACAATTAGCTTAAACCTCTTTCAAAATATTATTCTTAAAGTAAAAGAGTCGTGCTCAAAATTATGGGTACCCACGAACACATGTAGATAAGAAAAAAGGTACTTGAAAATGGGGTACAAATACGTAGATATATTTTATTCAAATTGTACAGAAACTTGTGTCTGATAAATACTTGGTTTAATTTCTATAAATCTTATATTTAACACGTAAAATATAATAAAGGTAATAAAATGTTCTTAAAAAAAACATTAATTGTAGTTTTTTTTACAAATATCTCTTTAAATTCCCTTTCTACTTAAAACACAGTGCATATTTCACATTAGAACTTCTTTATCAACATAATTATGGATATATTATATTATAGGGTATACGAATCCCACAGCAGACTCCATATCATTCCTCATTTATAAACATAAATACAGTTCAAGACTACGTCGGAATACCACAATACCCTGTGAAAAGCCCCGTCCCAACTGAGTAAACATTTGAGTGCTGGCGTAGTCATTACCCGAAACGTTTGATAGACCTCGATTACGTCTAAAACTAATGCCCAAATCGCGGCTGGAGTGTCGAGGCGCACACGCCGTTAGCTGAATCACTCGGTTCTCGGTTCTATTCCATAGATAAGGTTATATGCGATAGGAACCGAAAATCCGTGAATAATACACTCTACTCGCGATATAAACTCACCGTGAAGATACTGCTCTTGCTCTTGTGGGCTCGATTCCGGATGACCAATCCCGCCAGCGGCTTCTTCACATGGATTTTGGGCATCTTGGCGGCGTTTCTGGCAACGTTGCGGCTACGTGGCTTTAGCTTTACCGTTAGCTTTCGGGGCGGAATGCAAATGGAACTGCCGCCTGCTTTTCTTTCAGTGTCTCTTCTTTTTTTTGGTGTTTTCTTGTGTTTAGCAATTCAACTGCATCACCCTTGTGTGTTGTGTGTGTTTGTTGTTGCTTTCCCGTTGCTACACGGCACTTAAAATCAAGCACACACACGGCGTTCACTCGATTTGCTCGTTTTAGTCGCGCTTTAATCACGATTATTAGTTTACTATTATATTTTAGGTGGCAAACGCAAAGGCAATGCAAGAGCGAGAGAGAGAGACGCCTGTGGACAGGAACAACAACAACAGCGGGGGCGGCTTTTTAGGCGGCTCGCATGCCTATGGGTTAATTGCCAACGACGACCTCATGTGGCTGGCTTGCGGGGATCTTCGCTGCACCGCTGGACAAACTCTGGCCGGGATTTGGTTTTGGGGTTCTTGTAGTTTCACGAAAATTTTAATGCGTTCGTTGCAAACACGGGCCGAGAACGAGGTCGATTTGGGGCTAAAAAACGCCAAAAGCGGGCGCTGTCAACATGTGTTCTAGGGTTGCCAGCTGTGCGCGCTGGTTCTGGGGCTGCCAGATCGGGAGTTCTAGGTGATGTGTACTAAAAAGGGGGCTTATTATTAATAATCAAATTAATAAACAGGCTTTGCATTTACTTGATTTTATTATAAAGAGGGTTTAATTATAGTGAAATTGTGATTCCTCACTAACCAACTGTCCCGCTAACTTTCATATTAATACAAAAATTAACAAACATATAATAAACAGACCACTAAAAAAAATAACAATAAATTCATATTTAATTCATATTTATATTTATATTTATTTATATATTTTGTTTTAAAATTATTTCTTAAGCGATATCTTCAAAATTGTCTTCAAATGAATATTTTCCATTTTAATTTTTAAATAAGATTTTGTACAATAATAACAAAAATTACTTAAGTCCGGAAAATCTTTATAATCAAATATGAATAAACAATTTTGAAATTAAACTGGTAATATTCCTATATAACGGCATATTTGGTGCATTTTTAGAACCTCTTTTAGAACACGAGTTCAACCACGGTCACACTATTTAAAAGTTAAACAACAACAAAAACTCCCCAAAGAATGCAAATATTCTGACCCGCGGATAAAAAGGATACGATCCTAGTTCCCCATTAAGGCTTCCTAAATTCTCGAACTTCAGTCATGGTTCGCGTGCTGTTCCTCCACCCGGACCTGGGCATCGGAGGAGCCGAGCGCCTGGTGGTGGATGCGGCACTGGCCCTGAAAGAGCGGGGCCACCAGGTGAGCTTCCTGACGAATCACCACGACAGCACGCACTGCTTCAAGGAGACGGCGGATGGGAGCTTCCCGGTTCAAGTGGTCGGCGACTGGTTGCCACGCGGACTCTTTGGGAGATTCTACGCCATCTGCGCCTATCTGCGCATGCTCTATGCGGCGATCTACGCCAGCTTCTTCATGCCGCAGCGGGCGGAGGTGGATGTGGTGGTCTGCGACCTGATTTCCGTCTGCATTCCGGTTCTCCGCCTGGCCAGCCATCGTCCACGTGTCCTCTTCTACTGCCACTTCCCCGATCAGCTACTCAGCGCAAGGGAGGGTCTGCTGAAGCGCCTGTACCGCCTGCCCATCAACTGGCTGGAGGAGCACACCATTGGTTTGGCCGACAAGGTGCTGGTCAACTCCAAGTTCACGCTGCGCGTCTTCCAGGACACCTTCCGCCGGCTGAGCACGGTGCCCGATGTCCTGTATCCCTCGCTGCACACCCAGTATTTCGATCAGATGCAGAAGAAGCTGGAGCAGCGATCTGCGCTGCTGGATGAGCCTGTGCATCCGCGAGTGCCGCGCAATGCCTTCATCTACCTGGACATTAATCGGTACGAGAGGAAGAAGAACCACGCGTTGGCCCTGCACTCGCTGCGCCTCCTGGGCGACATGCTGCCCGCTTTGGACTTCAAGCGATGTCGTTTGATCATTGCCGGTGGCTACGACACCCGCTGCATGGAGAATGTGGAACATTATGCTGAGTTGGAGCAGCTTACGGAGGAGCTGAAGCTGCAGGATCATGTGGTTTTGCTGCGCTCGCCCACGGACGAGGAGAAATGCCGCCTGCTCTTCGCCGCCCATTGTCTTCTGTACACGCCCGAAAACGAGCACTTTGGCATTGTGCCCCTGGAGGGCATGTACTGCTCCAAGCCAGTGGTGGCCTTGAATAGCGGCGGACCCACGGAAACGGTGGTTAATACTTCAACCGGTTTCCTTTGCGAGAAGCAGGAGAAGAGCTTCGGGGGAGCCATGTACCAGCTCTTCCGCGACGAACCGCTGCGCCTGAAGATGGGCGACCAGGGTCACAAGCGGGTGCAGCAGAAGTTCTCCTTCCAGGCCTTTGCCGACCGCTTGAATTCCATCATCCAGGAGCTCGTGCCCATTCCAAAGAACTCTAGCGATAAGAAAAATGAATAAAATTCCAGTTAAAACGGCTGAGTATCTATGGAATTATTTTTAGCTATATATGTACGTGGATTAGTCATCTATTTCTGGGAAATATGAATCATCTATTGGTATAAAATATTTACAAATCATTCATCAACTTAGAAAAGGTCATAAACAATTATGAATTCAGTGCCACGTAAGAATTTGTCAATTGTAATTACACTCTTGCATCATCTTTTCTTCTTTTCCACTAAAAAATATAGAATTACTAGCAATTTTTTAACCAAAGATCTTTATAAATCTCTCCTTAAAATCATTACTTTCCTAACTAAACCATTTAAACCTCATAGTTCTGTGTACAATATGTAGTTTATTATTAAATTCCATTCTTCAGGGCGCATAATATTAGTCAGCGGGTCTGGTTTTTTAAGGATTGGACTGAGATCGGTCTACGGGCTACTTTCTACTGATCGCGCATGTAGAGATACAGGTAGCCGAGGTCCTTGGGCGGATTCTGCGACTTGGCCACCTTGCTGTCGTTGAAGATCACCCACTCGCCCTTCTTGCGGATGTGGCAGACGTAGTGTCCCACCTGGGCGGAGGTGCCCATGTGCGAGATGAAGGCCACTAGCTTATACTTTCCGCCACCATCGCGGTAGTTGCTCTTATTTGGTTCTGATGAGGCAGCCGCATTTGATTCGCTGACGGGGGCAACTTCCTCAACGGCAATGGAGTCGGCGTGCGAGAAGATCCAATCGGTGGCACGCTCCACATTCCCATCGGTGGCTTTTAAAGCGGCCACAGCCTGCCGCTCGTCGAAGCCCATGCTCATCAGCATGGCCAGGCTCTCGGGATTGGCCACAAACTGGCTGGCCGCGCAGTCGCCAATGCGATTGTTGGGCACCACAAAAGGCTCCGCGATGTCCTCGTCGGCAATGTGCTCCATTAGCCAGTTGGAGGCCGCCTCCAGGCCGCTGTTCTTGGTGTGAAAACAGGCTCGCTTGCAGGCCTCTGGTGGGAAACCCATGGTGAGCAGCTCCGACATGACTGCCTCGTCGAAGGCAAACTTCACCTGCTCCGCCGCGGGCTCGGGAAGAGCCTCCTCGCCAGGTTGTAAACCACCAGCGGAACGCCAAGTGCTCAAATCCAGTTCATCTGGCATATCCACCGAGACATCCAGCTTCTTGGGCACCCAATCATCGCCCAGCGTGAACTTTCCCAGGTGAATCATCAGGCAATCGGGCATTGTGGCCATTCTAGTGATCTTCCTGGCATTTGTTTTCCCTTCAATGGCAGTGGAGTAGAACTGCTCGATTAACTCCGGCCCAAAGAAGCTCTCCAGGCACGACTGCAGCGGCACCTTGTGCCTCACGATGTCCCGCTCCACCAGCCGTTGTCCCGTCTCGCGGGCCGCCTTCTCGCGCTCCTGAAACTCGCGCACTTCATCCAGATTGGTGGCCTTGTCCAGCGGAATGGGCAGCCGGAAGCTGTACTCCTCGCGCGTCTTGTACTTCACCTTCCGGCTGGCCAAACACTCGACGCGATCCTCCAGCAGAAACTTCAAAGCATCTGCGGGATTCCGCTGGTTGCGCGAATTCCTGTCCAGCAGGGTGAGCAAATGCAGATAGAAATCGTTGGCATCCTGCTGCTGTTTGGTACTGAAATCGGGGTGATTTTTGCCCACAATGTTTTTAAACATGGCCGGCGAAATGCCCGTGGAGTGATCCGAATCCAAGGTGTTCTCCGAAATGCTGCTGTACTTGCCGGACTGCAAACCGCTGCCCAGTTTGGCCATCTGAATGTCGAAATCGTTGGCGGGATCGCTGGGAAACTCGCTGAAGTAGCGCTGGGCTCCGGTGCCCACGTAGCGCTGCTGGAAGTCGGGAATGGTGAAGAGCACCTGCATCACGCTGTTGATGTAGCACGAGTTGCCCAGATTGCGCATGCCCGTGTAGCCCGGTCCCGCCAGCGGCTGCAGCTCACTTTCGCTCTCCGTCAGCGCCGACCACTCGCCAATGCGCTGGTTAATGTCCAGTTCCAGCTCCACCATCGACTTCTCGCTCTTCTTCATCGCCGCCATGTTGATGCCAAAGTGCGAGAGATGCCGCTCGAGGTGGGGATCCAGCACCATGTCGTCCTCGGGATAGGAGAACACATCCGACTTGCCGTCGGCGGTGATGGTGCCCAGTTTCACGGCCAGCGGATAGCCTGTGACCCGGTAGTGCTCCACGGCGTGATCGTTGCCACCGCTGCCGTCGAAGAACTTGCGTCCGCACATGATGGAGCCGTCGGTGAGGTTCAGCCAGAGGTTGTTCGTCAGCTCGCACTTCTCGCACTGCCAGCCGGAGGGGGGAATCTTCTTGCCGTTCTCCAGCTGCTGCAGGTTCTCCGCGTACTTCGAGGCCTGACGCACCTCGCCATCCCAGGTGCCTGGAAAAGGGATATTATTATTATTATTTAAAATTAAATTGAAATTGAATACTTTTAAACAATATTTCGTTGTAAAGTTACGGAGGTTTATTTTCCTTAAAGAGATTCCTACATTTATATTCAATAACTATTTAAATCGTTTGAAAATTAATGAAATGATCAAGTTTCTAGATCATATTAAGTGTTCTTAATTGACTATTAAGTTTAATTACTTGTGCTTCTAACTTTACTTGAATTTAGATAAATTGCCCAACATTTAAGAATAGGAATTTACATTTTAAAATAATATTTTGTAACAATAGTTTGATGTATAGTTATGGAGGTTTACTTTCCTTAAAGAGGTTCCTACTTGTATAGTCAATAACTATGTAAATCGTTTGAAAATTAATAAAATGCTTAGAGTTTAAGTTTAAATTAAGTGTTCTTTATGGACTATTAAGTTTAATTACTATTTTTGCTTTTAACTTTACTTGACTTTGAATAAATTGAACATCATTTAGAGAGCTTATATAGAAAAAGAGGAGTCATTTAAATAGAAAATCGAGATAATGTAAAATTCCTACGAAGATTATTTATAGTGCCATCAAAAGAGTGATGTAGGATATAATAAATATTATAGATTGAATATTTAAGTGCCAATATAAAGTATTATGAGAGTATAAGATGGTATAGGATATTATAGGTATTATAAATTGGATATTTAAGTGCCTAAAAAAAATATGATGAATCAAAAGAGTGATGTAGGAAATAATAAATATTATAGATTGGATACTTAAGTGCCAATATAAAGTATTATGATAGTATAAAATGATATCGGATATTATACATTTTATAAATGTGACATTTAAGTGCCTAAAAAATATAAGATTAATATATAGAGTGTTTTAGGATAAATTAAGATAAATAAAGTGATATACAATAGTATACTTATAATTCCAAGAAAATTAAAATGCCATATGATCAAGTGAATCATATACTTTTAATACACATCTTCTTTTTCTATAGATAGGTTCCCTTTTTGTTGGATTAACCAGAAGTATAGTCATCCAATGACACCCATCCCCAGACTCACCCATCAGCGTGGCCTTCTCCAGCTTGGCAATGGCCGAATCGGCGGCCAGAATGGCCTCCACCGCCTGGGTGACGCGCATGGGCAGCTCGGGATCGGGATAGGGCAGCTTCTTGTCCAGCTGCGGGGCCACCACGATGCTGTAGGTGTCCTTGATCTCGTACTTCTTGGCCATATCGGAGTCATTGTAGCCGCCCTCCACGCCGATGGCCAAGCGGGTGATCTTTCTCTCGGGTCCTCCAGCCTCCGGATCGCATTCCGCCTCCGGATCAAGGCCTTCTTTCAGCGTCTTCACCCGCTGGATGTGCAGGAAGACCTGGTTTCCAGTCTTTTCGGCATATTCACGCACATACGACTCGCCGAAGCCCAAAAAGCTGTGCAAACACACGTACAAACCGGTGGGCGTCTCGGGATTATCGTACGAATAGACGCACTCGTCCTTGTAAATCGGAGGACTTCCTGTCCCAGATGCGCAGGGCACGTTCACCTTGGATAAATGCTTGCGTAGTTCCTCCATGACGCTTTGTGGAATTCCTCTGGGCAGAGCTTTTTACGCATAAACTACAAAAATCGAATGTGAAATAAATGAATTTTTTTTTTGAGATTTTTTTTGCAGCTGCTGCTTAGAGATGAACAACAGGCAAATGCATCGATACCGGCGAGCAGGGAAATTGGCAACTATCGATGGTTTCGGGTGTTGTTTTTACTGTTTTTACGCAGGCATAATAACTATTATTACTTCGTACCTGTTACTAACGAGTTAGTCGTACGTTTCAAGGTGTTTTTACACTATTTTACTTCCCAATAGGAGCCAATTATTAAAATTGGCCGCTGCAAACTATCGCTTCTTAGTACAATACTGCCATCTCTAGCCAAAACCAACAACAAATTCGCGAGTCATAAGGGGAACCGAACTAGTTCCGTTAAGTTCACAAGTTCAGCAAAAGTATGGCAACGCTGTTTTAATTATTAATTCAAATTTACAAAATAATTTAAAAATTAAAATTCATAATTCTTTAGTCGATGAATTTGGATGTTTCTTTTAAATTTCATATTCATGTATTAAAATATTTCATTAAACATGCACGGAAACATTTACAGTATATCTTAGCTTTTTAACAACTGCTGCAATTTTCAACGATTTTTAAAGTTTTTGGATCAAATACATTTAATTAATTCACATTTAATTAATGATAAATAGAATACATTTTGGTATCTTTACCATACCCTTCAACGGCCACACCGCCAACTGACCTGCCAACTCGCGTCAGGCAGTGCTGCCATATAGTCACAAAAATCTTTCGCATAAAGAAGTAAAACGTAAGAATTTTCCAATGCAATTTTCGCTGGGAAATCGGCATTAAAATAATGTAAAAAGTGGTAAATAAGTTGGCGCCTACCGACCGGCATGCAAAAGCATTGAAATCCAACCTGTGCGACTAGTTTTCGGTGTTGTTTTGGCCCTGCATAAATTTGTTGCGCGCCATTTTGTTTTTGGAAAGCAAAAAAAAAAAGACAACAGCAAAAACCTACCACAAAAAGTCAAAGTTTGTAAAAGCCAAAGAAAGAAAGCGAGTAAAAAATGGGAAATCTCTAGAGGAAAATCAAGTGAAAAACATGTGGCGCTCCGCTAGCTTTGTGTATCAGTTTTATTCCAACAATACGCATACGAAAATAACGCGCGACATGCACATAAATAAATGCCACTGAAAATATCGATACGATGAATAAACGAAGAAGAAGCGACGATTAGTACGTCGTCGGCGGTCGTCTGTGTGGGTGAGAGAGACGGAAAGAGAGAACGAGGTGGGCGGATGGGTGGGGGGAGGAAGTAAGCCAGCGAGAGGGGAGTGCGCGGGGGCGCGTATATAATTACGTCATAAGAATCAAAGAAAATTCAAGGTCTACAAGCGCTCAACGGGGCTATACAAAAGCCACATATTTCGTTACGTTCTCGGTTTTATCAAAAATAAAACTTTGGCCAGCAGAAACAACAACAACAAGTATGGCAAGTGCAAGTGTGTGTGCGTTTCATTTTCGCGACTGTATAATTACATACACACGCAGCCCCCCGTTATTGTTGTTGTTTGTGGTTTTCATTTCTTCCTTTTTTTTGTAAGCGAAGAGGAGAGCGCGCAGCTGTGATACAGAAGAAAGGCAAAAAAGAGAGAGCGCGAGAGAGAGGAGTGGGAGAGCGGAATTTGTTTTTGAGCAATTTGTGTAACCATCGATAATGTTTGATTTATTAAAACCCCATTTTTTGTACCCCTTTTTCATTGCAGTGACTCGCGATGCGTGCGGCCTAGAAGTCGTCACCCCCCCTCGAAAAAAAACACCGAAACCCCGACCTCCCCGACCAACACACACACACACGCACACATCTGCAAGCTGCGATTGTTCATAAATTTTAATTAACTCAAAAAGGCGGAGGAAAAAAGAAGATAACAACAACAAAAGGCGAACAAAACACCGGAAAGCAAGGAGAATTAATAAAAATCAATAGAGCGGCGAAGCGGGAGGCGATAAAAAGAAGTGTTATCAGTGCGAATTAATTGGCTGCAAAGAAGAAGAGGGGAGGAGGAGGAGGAGCAGGAGGTGGCTCCCGGGGCTTGAGGATTAGGGAGCTCCACATCCGCATCCGCAAACCCCCGCCAAGATGTCCGTGCAGCAGTTCTGCCTGCGGTGGAACAACCACCAGCCGAACTTCATCTCGGTCTGCTCCTCGCTGCTGCACAATGGCACCCTGGTGGACGTCACTTTGGCCGCCGAGGGACGCCAGCTGCAGGCCCACAAAATAGTGCTCTCCGCCTGCAGTTCGTACTTTCAGGTGAGGATCTCCTCCTGACCATTTTACCTCCCAAAACTAATCCTCTAATCTCTTCCCTAGGCTTTGTTCACCACAAATCCGTGCCAACATCCCATTGTCATCCTGAAGGACGTGCAGTACGATGACCTCAAGACCATGGTGGACTTCATGTACTACGGCGAGGTGAATGTCTCGCAGGAACAGCTGCCGCACATCCTCAAGACCGCCGAGATGCTCAAGATCAAGGGTCTGGCGGAGATGCCCACGGATCCGGCCAATCTGACCAAGTCGGACAGCAAGTCATCCACCGATGGCACCGAACTGGTGGGCGCCTCGGGCGTGGGCACCGGTGCGGGCACTTCGGCTGGCAGCCTGGGTGCCGCCAGTGGCAGCAGCGTCGGCGATTCCCTCTGGAGCAGCAGCGAGGCCCAGCAGTTCCAGCAGCAGCAGCAACAACAGCAGGCGGCTCAGCAACAGGCGCAGGTAATTATAAGAGCCCTGCATAAATGGATTTAAAGAATTATTCTGATTTTTTTGTTTTATATGAATGAAATAATTAGAATTTTGAGTTTAAAGAATTTAGAATTGAATGAATGAATGGCATGAATTCCGAAATAATTCAAATGAAAATTTTTTTGAAGAAGAAAGGGCCATCATTTTGTTATTAAATCTGCCTGAATTTTATTTACTAAACAGTTAACCTTGATTTGTTAAAAATTTTCCACTTTTTGTTTTCAAAAAATAGCACAAAAAAAATATGGCAAATTTATAAAAAATTATTCATTCATTCTATTCTAAATGAATTAGAAAAACATTCAATTTATTTCACATAGAATTGAATTAAACAAATCAGAAATTTCATGGCTCTAGTAATTATTATAAAATTAATAGTAAGAAAATTGTAAAAATAATATATTTATTTAATACAAATATAGCAACACCATCACCACCAGCAACAGCAGCAGCTGCAACAGCAGGCGGCCCAACAGCAGGCCCAGCAGCAGGCTCAGCAGCAACAGCAGCAGCAGCACCATCACCACCACCATCAGCAGCAGCAGAGCGGACAGGCGCAGGCGGCGCAGACGCATCACCATCAGATGCGACGCACGCCGTCGCCGCTGAGCGCCGGCACTTCGCCGGCCACCAGGCGCAAGCGGTTGCGCAAATCCTCGAATAACGGTGAGTTGGAGTTGGGTAAAGCATCGTCAGAGAGAGATTTTAAGCTATCAAAGTACCAATTAACTGGTTTTAAATCATCTACAGGCTCTGGCGAACGCAACAATGCGGAGGAACAGCACAACAGCTCCCTGGACGCGGGCAGTGGTGCCGGCAATGCCGGTCTCAGTCTCGCCCAGATGAGCCAAATGTCCTTCGGTGCTGGCGGCGGTCTAGCCGGCCACTCACTGCACGCGGCCAAGCTGCTCAAGGAGTCGGCCAGCGCTGAGCTGGAGCAGCAGCCGCAGGATTCGGATCTGGACGACGGACACGGACATTTACACATGCAAATTGTAATGAAATTGGTCACGTTAACCTTGTAACCTCGTCGGTGGAGCTATTTAACTAATTGGTATCTCTTTTCTCGGTCTCAAATGTGCAGAAGCCCGAAGTGGACATTGGCGGCGTGAACCAAACGATGCCGTTGGACATCTCTGGAGGAACCACACCATCCGAACACGATGCGCCGAACTCCCAGTCCTCGCACTCTGGTAAGTCGCTAAAAAGAACTCGAAAGCCAGCACACTTTTCCATCAAAACTCATTGTTCATCGGGTAGGAATCTCATTCGCCAGGATGGGTTCTTTTTTTTTGTATATCGTTTCTTAATTTTGTTTGCCATGATTATTTTTGAAACACAAACACAGAATACAGGAATTGTTAGAAAAAATTAAAAAAAAAATTAGAAGGGTTATAAATTAGAACTTGAAAATTATCGATATTTTCGATATTTTTACAATATCGTTAAAGATGTTTTCCAGAGAAAACTCCTTTTTAATACCGAGAAAGAGCAAACTTTCGATATTCTTTCAAGCTCTATTAGAAATGTTGTAAAAATATGGATTGACTAGAAATACAAATACAGAAATACAGATAGAACTACTGTCTATAGACCCAAATAAAAGTAAAAAGTATTATTTAAAGACTGAAATGACTGATATTGAATAGTCTCAAACTTTATATCATATTACAAAAGTAAATCCGACTACTTTTCGGGGGTCAACTGAACTGAAAAGCACTAAAATCTAATCCAATCTCAACCACTGTGTACTCTCGATTCACCCATCGAAATAGTTGCCCACGATCATACTTCATCCGCATATTTCACACACGAACGGTGCCATTTCGAAACTATTTCAGTACACAGCGCTTGGAGAAATGAATGCTAAAGCTAAATATGAGATCTAGCATACCGATTATCCATTACCGATTTACCTACCGATTAAGTGCAACGAAAACAAACACCGAAAAAAAAATATTTGTGAAATGCCGAAATTTTCTATGTTTAACTATTTATTGTGTATTGTATTCCAAAACAAAACCGAATCCTGCCTGAACTTGGGAATGGGAGAGAGCTAGCACAGAGTCCAAAACAAAAACCAAAACTTCCAAAAACTAAACCTATGATTTTTGTTTTTTCGATTGTTCAATTATCGATTTTTCGATTAATTCTTTTTTTTTCTTTTTGATTTTTGTTTTGTGGGAATTTCAAGAATAAAAGAAACAGCGGTTTCCGATGATAATGATTTAGCCTTAGCAATCTTTCCTCTACTACCTACCTCTAATGTACCTATCTATAAAGCTATAAACTGTCTCAGAAAGAACCAGACTATCTATGACCTGACTACCCGATCCCTAGATCCTAGAGCCTAGAACCCTTTAGAGCTAGGAGAGAGCGATCTCAACTTCAATTTCGAAGGAAATGCCTCCAGTTAACCAGAACCAATCTTTCATTCGCTGTCTCTCTCTCTCTCTCCCCTTCCCAGGTCTGCAATGGACAGTTGTCGATTCCAACTATCCGCGCTTCTCCCTGCCCGCCTGCCAGTCCAACTTGCTGGGCAACGGCGGTGGCGGCAGCGGTGGTGCCGGTGGTGCCGGCGGCAGCCAGAGCAGTGGTGCGAATAGCACCGGCGGCGTTAATAGCGATCAGCGGCAGCAGCACGAGGCGGCCCAGCAACAGGCCACCTACTACCAGCAGCAACAGCAGCAGGAGCAGGCCTCCGCCTCGGGACAACAGGCCTACTCATCGCAGATCATCACGGTGAACAACCTAGTCGGCAGCTATGCGACGGCCGCCCAGAACCTCTCGCCCACCTCGCCCAACGAATCGAACATGGTGCAATCGGTCTACAGTCAGGGCCCCACGCCCACCCAATCCCCCGTGCATGCGGGCGTTGGCGGAGCCAGTGCAGCCGGCGGTGGAGCGGGGAATGCCGGGAATGGTGGAGTCACAGGAGGAGCGGCGGTCGTCAAACGCAAGCGATCGGTGAATCCTCAGGGAGATGAGAACTTTATACGCGCTCTGGAGGCGGTGCGCACGGGAGGCATTGGATTCTGCAAGGCGGCACGACTGTATGGAGTGAACAACCGAACTCTGTGGCTGGAGTACAAGAAGCGGGGCTATCCGGTGTCAAGGCCCAGCATTAAAGCCCGCGTGGTGAAGCAGGAGCCGAATCTGTCGCCCTCGCCGACGCCGTCGACGAATCAGGGTGATGATAATACCAACGAGACGCTGGGCATGCAGATGCCACCGCAGGCGGAGACCCCAACGCCGTCGCTCATGTGCACGCCGCATCATGCGGGCCTGGGAAGCGGCGGAGCAGGAAGTCTGCCGGGCGGAGGAAATTCCCACCCGGCCATTGGAGTCATGAGCCTATTCGATCCGCGGTACATGGACTCACCGGGCAATGTGCACTCGATGACGCGGCAGCGCTACATCGAGGCCACCGGCGGCGGAGGAGCGGGCGCTGGAACGGGCGCCGGAACCGGGACCATCAACGTTAATCCGGCCACCGCCATGAATCTACAGAGTATTAACTTCAACTCGATATAGAATACGATTTCGAGCCAGGCGGGGACGACGGCCACTCTGCTGCAGGCAGCCGCCGTGATGGCCAGCGCCAGCGAGCCAGCTGGGGGGGAATCCCTGAGCATATCAGCCATGCCCGTCTCCGTTCCCATGGGCATGGCCCACAGTTTCCTCATCAACAACTTTGTGACGGTGGCTGCACCGCCGACGGTGGGCCTGCAGTACTTGGACAAGTCGTAGGTGCGCAAATCGATTGATACAGGTATTAGAGCAACGGCAGCAATCTAGTGTATATAGCGGACCGCTTTTACGGCAGAGTGGCAATAGGATAAATGTCGGCCAAGGATGGAAAGGAGAGGATCAGAAGGAGCAAATCGTATTCCTGCGCTGAGCTGAGCTAAGCAGAGCATTACGATCGAAAAAGGACTAAAAAAAGGAGCAGCAGAAAGCCGACCGCACTTGTAATAATTTCTTAGAACCTAATTCCTTAAGCTTAAAGTTTTGAACCCTACATTTTTACCATTGTTAACTAAGAAATCGGTAGTACAGATCTTCGATATATATATATATATTAGCTATATTATGTGTAAAAGATAAATGTAATTGTACATAAATTATACAATTTTATTAGTGTTAATCGCGAACATCAAATGATTTGTAAAGCAAATGCAGCTAAAAAGAAAAGGTGCTGTGTGCCAGCAGCCGATCAAACCTTGCGGAATCCGTTCCATATTCCACTTTTTGTAATGCAAACAAGCAATGGACGAAACCAAAAATTCTATCTGTAATCTGTAATGATAAACTTTAAGGACAAAATGAGATTTATTGGCAAATTTCTGGTATACAAAAATTCAAAAGCCCACATCCTGCGGTTTGCTAGGCTCTGGCACATCAGAAATAAGTTTTCTTCCTCGTTTCGATAAAGAGATTTCATTTCTGCACTTGTGTTACAATAGCAAATATCAGTATGTGTGTAGGTATGCATTATATTTAGCTTCCCATCGCAATGTGTGAACATTTTCTGTGTACAGCGAATCCACTCTATTCGAAGCATAAGCGTAATCGTTAGCGAACTCCTCCACAAACCGAAAAATGAGATCCGAGGATCGCAGGACCGCGTACAATAGACTAAGCTATAGAGAACCGAACCGGATATGTATGATAAATATGTACCAATCAATATATGTGTATATATATTTATATTTGTGAATGTATCCACACACCTATTTTTTCATTTCTTTCCGAGATGTTTTCGTTCAAGGTGTCAGTCCCTGTTTTTTGATGGCTGCGCTGGCACAAGGTTTTCACGGTGATCGACTCTAGGTTATATATTTCCAAATCCGACAAACAACATATCCAAGTGGGGGGTAATCTTTCGAGGGGAAAACTCATATATATATTTTGGCACTTGTGTGTTTTTGTTCCACGACTTTTTCCTTTGTACATAGAGGTAATGTACATATAGAGAGAGAGAAGGCGATCGAGATCGGTAATGGATTACAAGATACAGAGATACGCAAACAAACGAAACTTAAAGATAACTCGTAACCACCCAAAATCCTAAACGGAGACTGCAGCTAAAGGCAAATAGAAAACCAAAAGAAACGGAAACAAACGGAAAACGCATACGATTCCGGTTATGAATAACGATTACGAATAGTGTGTTTTTAATACGATTCATATAAATAATGTAACTAATAGAGAACTTTTTATATTGTGTCAAGGCATACTAAGAACTAAGCGTGATTTGTTAGAAGTCATAGAGTAACGTAAACTTTGATAATGGACTTTTATTACACTCGCCCACAAACACACATGATATACCATACCATGCGGGATCCCTACGATCCCGAAACCGAATCGATCCCAGATCACAGAACCGAACAGAACCACGGAAACATACATACACGGATGAAACAACGCGAAAATAGCAGAAACAATAAGCAAATATTACTAACTCTGTTTCCTAAAATTGCAAAGTACCAATAACTACGCTAGTTATGTGTGTTAAATATATATATAAATTATTTAAATCAGCGCAAGTGCATAAATGAACCGATTGTATTATAAGTTGCATGTACCATACCAAGTAATGCGAGCCCCAAACGAATATCGAGATGGAACGAACATTCTAGACTGTAGTCGATGTGCAAGAAACGAATAAACTTTCAAAACTACAACGTACTTCAAACTCGTATTCCCCTGGCTTCATTTTCACTTTTTCTGTTTCGAAAGGCACGGTTTAAAAAGAAAACAAAAAAAGAATCAAATCCTGAAAAAGATATTGTATCTTTTGGATATCTTAACTTCCAAATATACCCAAAATATTTCGAAAAATGTGCTATATTCAAAGATATAGTACTTTTTGGATTTCTTAAAATCGAAAAAGGGTTCCATATCTTAAAAAATATTAATTAACATGTTAAAGATATGATTTTTTTTCTCAAAATATTTACAAAAATGTGCTATATTCAAAGACATTAAAGTTATAGTACTTTTTGGATAACTTAAAATCGAAAAAGGGTTCAATATCCTTAAAAATATTAATATTTTTAAGTAATATATTAAAGATATAATATATTTTTCTCACAATATTTCCAAAAATTTGCTATATCCAAAGATATTAAATATATATTTTATTTTGGATATCTTAAGATCGAAAAAGGCTTCCATATCGTTAAAAATATTAATTTTTAAAAAAATATATGCTGAAGATATGATATCTTTTTCTCAAAATATTTCCAAAAATATGCTATACTCTAAGATACTGAAAATATAGTACTTGTTGGATATGTTAAATTCGAGAAAGGGTTCAATATCCTTAAAAATATTAATATTTTAAAATAATATGCGAAAGATATGATATCTTTTTCTCTTTTCTAATCCCAAAGCCGTGCCTAGGAATTATAAACTTAACAAATAACTAATCTCCCGAAAACCTCTTCCCTTGCAGAACCGAGTCCAGCGCATGCCCCTCATCCGCCGCATCCTCCTCTGGCGGCCGCCAGCAGCAGCAGCGGTGGCAGCGGCAGCTTCGAGCGCTCCTTCAGCATCGGAGGCATCGGATCGACCGAGTGCGAACCGGATGGCACGCCCAGTTCGCCGGTGGTGATGGGCACGAAGCGCAACCGGGTGCTGACCCGTCAGCCGCGGGTGAAGCGGGACAGCGACAGCATCTCCTCGACGAATCAGATATCTCCGGACACGGCGGCCACCACGCTGGACTTTGATCCTTTTAATGCTGCCGGAGCCACGAGTGTTACGGCCCGGGATTACTCGACCACTGGGTCGTCGCATCATCTGCATCACCATCAGCCAGCGCATCATCATCACCTGCTGACCGTTCCGCCGCGAATCGAGCGACATGCCTCCGAACCGGCGCCCAGTTTGGGACCCTCCACGCCGCACCTGCTTAGCGTGCCGTCCAGCACACCGTATCTCATCAAGCAGCACTCGGACCCCCTGCTGCCCCGCCAGTCGGCCCTGCAAATGGCAGGCTCCAGTTCTGGGTTGGCAAGCGGCAGCAATCCGTTTGCCCCGCTGCACCGCCAATACTCGCATCCGCTGTCGGGCAGCAGTGCCAGTGCCTATGTGACGCCCGCGCCGCTCCACCATCCGCACCACATCTCACTGCCCGAGTCCATCTACGCCTCGGGCTCCCCGCCGCCGGCCGGCTCCTCGCAGTACCTGGTGCCCACGCGTGTGGTGGCCCAGTGCCCGGTGGTCTCCAGTGAAACGGCTGCCACGCCCACGAATGCCAGTCCGGGCTCCTCGTCGACCGTTTCGGCTGCCGTCTCCGTGGTTACCTCGCCCAATTCGGGGCTACAGAATAGTGCTAACCGACATCCTTTGTCGCCCACATTCTCCATTGGATCGGATGTGGCCCACGAGCGGAGGTCACCGCATTCACCAACTGTCAGTAGATCACAGATTGTGGAGGGGCGTGGCAAGCAGCCGGGAGAGGCGTCCAACGGAGGCGGCGGCGGCCAGTCGAGGCTAAGGAATTCCAAGTCCGCCTCGGGCTCCATCAGCGGCAGCAGCAGCCATCATCATCTGCATCCCAGCCAGGCCACCATGAGCAGTTCGTTTGAGCATTTGCCCACGCTGCGCGTCAAGAACGAGGAACTGCAGCGATCGGTGTCGTCACCTCAGGTGGGTTTTTCAATATTTTGCAGATTTCGCAATTTAACACACATGTTAAAAATGTGTAAAATTGTATTTTACAGTGTGAGCAAAGTTTTTGACATTTGTGTCAAAAACAAACGTGTTAAAATGTGAAAAATAATTTTTAGCACACACAGCTCACTTGTGTTTTTTACATAATGTGTTGATAACACGACGTATTTTTTTACACACTGTGTTTTTAATACAAATGAAAATTACATTTTTTGGACATTAACGAATTGAAGGGAAAATGAAGAATCAATATTGGGCCAGGATTATTTTTAGCCGTTTCAAAGCAAATATGATTTTTTTTTCAACTACAGAAAACCGTGAATGTTTCAGTTCAACATATATTTCTGACGTTTTAATGTCAAAAACTCATTGTGCTAAAAACAAGTGGTGTAAAAAACACGTCGTGTTAATAACACAAAAAAACTGTGTGTGTTATTTATGTTTCTAACATATGTAAGCTACAATTTTTAACACACATGTCAATAACTTTTTTTGAACTTAAAACTTTGACATTTAATATGTTAATAACACAAGTTTTTTACAGAGTGTGTTATTTTCCGAGCCCTGATATTTTGTACATAAAAAGCATTTATTAATATTTTCTTAACCTAAACAGACCCAACGGGAGATCATTACCCTGGAGAATCCGCGTTCTAGTCACTGCCCGGTCATTCGACCAGGTCCTGCGCTGGGCTGCAACTTCTGCTGGAACACCATCGATGGGCATGGACGAATTTTGCGACGCAAAACGAAGTACCATTGCCCCGAGTGCCAGACGAACTTGTGCATTGTGCCCTGCTTCCAGGAGTACCACGAGCGGCTCAACAACGAGGCGGCGGCAGCGGCTACTTCTTCAGCCAGTGGAGAGAATCAGCTGAACAGCAGCAGCAGCAGCAGTGGCAAGGCCTCGCCGTATGTCTCCTCCGCCGGCAGCAGCAGCGGATCAGCGGGTGCCGCAGCAGCTCGTCATTATACCAAGACGGAATCGATATAAACTGGAGCTGCCGTGGCTAAGCCCGCACATTTGTATTTGTGGCAGGATGGCCGATGGTGAAAAGGGTGAACCGCTTGTAGGGATCTTGGAGTCCTAGGTTGCCCCACCAGGCCGTCGTCTGTCGAATTTGTTTTTTTGTCAGCAGGATGCGCAAAGCAACCTGCACAACCGAAATTTTCATTTGTTGTCCCGCCAGTTTCACTGTGCATCCGGTCCTGGAGTCCGGGCACATGGATTGCGCGGAGATGGGCGCCCCAAGTGGCGCCGGAGATTTGTTTTTTGAGCCGTGGCTTCAAAGCGCACGCAGCCATTTGTAAAGTAACGAAAAAAATACCTTTTTGGACCACTCCGCTGGAAAATGCGGAGTGCAGAGTAAACTTTTTTGTAAAATCTAAAAGCTAAATGTAATACTATGTTTATGTGTGTGTGTACTATATATTATATATGTGTATGTTCTTGTACAAAAAAAAAAACCAACAAACAAACGAAAAATCCAACAAAAATAAAAACGTTCGACGACGTTGGTGCAGCCAAGCGGTGTGCGTGTGTCTCAGACTTCTGAAGCTCGAATTACGATTAGGTTTTCACCAAGTACAACTATTACTACCCCTGCTCCGGTCTAAACTTAAGTATGTCCCTGTATGCACCTGTACTTTCGCCGGGCACCGCTGCGCAGGCGCACGAATTGTCAAGAGGCCCACAACAGCACACGACACTTGTTTTACCACAAAACGTTTTATATCAATGTATATGCACACGTGTGTCCCCTAGGGAGAACCAGGTCCTGGAGATTCGTTTAACTCTGAGTGTAAACTACTATGTAAACAATACGGAAATCAATAAATAATTGTAAACCCTCTGGTTTGATAAAAATAATTGGAGTTTCTCTTGATAATAACGGTAGAGCTTGACAGTTTCTTTTTTCTCGATATTTAATTTAATTTAATTTTTTCCCTCCAAAACATTGATATTATCGAATCGATACTATCAAAATATATAAAATATCGATCATTTTCAAGCTCTAGATTGCAGAAAACTAAAATATTGAAATATATTGACAGTTTCTTATTTCTCGATATTTAATTTGGGTTTTCCCACCAAAACATCGTTATTATCAAATCGATACTTACAAAATATCGAAAATATCGATAAACTCAAAGTTTTTCCTTTTTGGTTATACCACATCTCATATTGATCTCGTTTTATTGATCTAATTACCATTTAACAAACCGACTGGGGGATTACTTCTTGGCCGGATCAGCAGCCTTGGGGGGCACGACCTCGGCGGGCGGGTTGGCGTTGCGGAAGTTGGGGAACTGCTCCCACGGGGCCGACAAGTCGAACTTCCTGAACTCCTGGGCCAATTCCAAAGGCTCGCAGACGACGCGCTTCTTCTCATCATCGTAGCGCAGCTCCACGTAGCCGGACAGAGGGAAGTCGCGGCGCTGGGGATGTCCCTCGAAGCCATAATCGGTCAGGATGCGGCGCAAATCGGGGTGGTTGGCGAAGAACACGCCGTACATGTCCCAGATCTCGCGCTCGTACCAGTTGGCCGCCTTGTGGACCTCGCAGACGGAATCCAGGGGAGTCAGCTCATCGGTGTAGGTCTTGACGCGGAGGCGCGAGTTGTAGCGCAGCGACAGCAGATTGTAGACCACCTCGAAGCGGTGCTTGCGGCAGGGCACATCCACGCCGGCAATATCGATCAGATTGGTGAACTGCGCCTGGTGGTGATCCTTGAGGAACTGCAGCACCGGCACCACGCCCTCGGGGGCAATCAGCACCTCCAGCTCATCGCCAGCGGTCAGTTGGACCTTCTGCACGTACTTGGGCAGGCACTCGGCCACATAGCGACCGAAATCGGAGAGATGGGAGCGAGCAACTGCATCCGGCTGGCGGACAGTGGCTGTGGAGGGAATATGGGAGATGTAGTTTGTGCACTGGGATGTAGTCTACTGATACCCACGCTTATCCGCCTTCTTGGGCTCCACGGGCGCCGTGCTGGCCATGCGGAAAGCAGCCGATCCTGCAGCGGGCATCACTAGAATTTCGAAGGGTTAGAAAAGATCAGTTGGAGTTCTGGTTTATCCCGGTTGTTTACCCACCATGTTTGGCCGACAGAGCGGCGACTGCGGCACGGGCGCCCAGATTCCTAATTAGAGCCGCCATTCTGCAAACTGTTCAGCGGGAATTCAACAATTTCCACCAGCTTTTGACAATTTATGTAATGTTAAAATAAAATGTCAATATCTGTGTTGTTGTAGCCCCAGGGTTGCCAGGGCGCTGTACTCAAACTATGTTTGGCAACCCTAGAGTGGTATGTGAAAATACCGTTAAATAAATTAAAATATCAAAAATATTTATTGCATTAAATAAAATTTAAAAAGTGCTAAATAGAATTCGTTATTGTAATTAATAATAAATTAATAATATATAATCGTTATTTGAGATTTTTATTTTAAAAATACTACTATGATATAATGATTTAAAGTGCATAAAAACCAGTTAAATTGTTGATTAAAACTTGTGCAAATCTCAGTAGGCCTTTTACAATAACAATCTCAAATACAATTATTTAAAAATTATTGTTCATTGGCACACAATAAATTTCAAGTAGTAACATTTTTAAAATTAAAAATAATAAAAATACCAAATCGTTCCCCTGCCATGATACACATGGAAAAATATACCGAAAATAAAGCCGCGCACTCGGCAACCCTGGCCAAAAACTCTGGCTTCGCGTCGCGTTTGGAATTGCGAGAATTGAAATCGAAAAGATTGTGGCAATCAATTGGAAATCAAAACACAACAAGATGGTAAGTGAAACGCAAGCATAAACACCTTTAAGGCGGTACTTCATTTCCCATGCCATCCCCTGCAGAATCACCTCAAGTGGATGGGACACTCGTCCACGATAATGGACATCCAGCGCTCGCTGCGCAACGACAACCAGAACTGCGAGGTGGTCCTGGCCTCCAGGGACGGCGTCCGGGTGCGCGCCCATCTCTTCGTGCTGAGCACCTGCAGCGAGCTGATGCGCAACATTCTGGTGGACGTGCCGCGCGGCCAGGAGGCCACCATTGTGCTGCCCGACATCCGCGGCGATCTGCTCGAGGCAATGCTCTCCTTCATCTACATGGGCGAAACCAGTCTGCCCTCCGCCTCGCTCTCCGAGTTCCTCGAAGCCATCAACCTGCTGGGCATCAAGTCGGCCATCAGTTTCGAGTGCAACCCCACGGCCAGTCCACCCGGCGGCGGCGGCGATGTGGAGAACGCTTCGTTGGCCGTGGAGACGGCCAAATCGATTACAGGTCTGCAAATAGCCGAAGCGGAGCTGCTGGACGACGAGGAGGAGCCACAGCCGACGGTCAGCGTGCCTGCCTCTGTGCTGGCGGAGCCACAGCATCAGACCAGCCGCTCGCTGGAGTACCTGGATGTCTATGAGCCGCCCAAGATCACCTACTCCATCGAACACATGGACGGCAACTCCAGCGGCAATCAGTTTATACTCACCGAGAACACCGGCACCTTCACCATCACCCAGTCGGCGTCCAGCTTGTCCAAGATGGGCGGCGACGATGCGGCCGCCGAAGTGGAGCTGGTGGACGACGATGTGGAGGCGGACATTGCCGAGGAGGATTCGGAGGAGCACGAGACACAGATGATCGAGGAGGACTTTGCGCCCACCGATCCACTGATCGAGCTGGGCACCGCCACCGAAATGGACGAGGACGACGAGGAGGAGGAGGAAGTGACCGGCGAGCTGATGGACGAGGAGATCGAGGAGGAGGAAAAGCCACGCAAGTTGGGAGGCGGCGGAAAGCCACGCGGTCGTCGTCCTATGAACATCAAAAGCGAGAAGCGATCGCCGCACAAGCCATCGCGACTGCAGCAGTTTGTGGCGCTCAAGCGGGAGGTGAAAGACGACATCAACGACGCCTTGGATCTGGCGGCGGATGCGGTGATCTTAGAAGGATTGAGCCTGCAGAAGGCCGCCGATCGGTTCGACATCTCGAAGACGGTGCTGTGGCGACGCGTGCGCACCAATCCCGCCTACATGCGCAACAACCGGGAGCGACCCTCCCTGCTGGAGGCCTACGAGCGTCTGAAGAACGGCGATTCCCTTAAGAGCATCAGCACGGAGCTGCAGATCCCCATGTCCACGCTGCACCGGCACAAGGTGCGTCTGTCGGCCCAGGGACGCCTGCCCGACTTTGTGGCCTGCCGGCGGCGGGATAGTACGCCCAAGGATGAGCTAAGGGACAAGTTGGCCAAGGCCGTGCATGCTTGCCTGAACGAGGGAATGTCCCAGAACCACGCGGCCAACCTGTTCGAGATCCCCAAGAGCACGCTCTGGCGACACCTGCAGCGACGCATGTCCAACCAGGAGCGCAAGGTCAAGAAGGAGCTGAAGGACGAGTACGAGGACGATCTGCTAAACTAGTTCTACATCACCGAAGTTTTTAAGTTACCATTAAGAAGCCATAAGCCTAGCGTTTAACTGCATGTCATCAGTGTCCTGGTTTTTGATTGAACCAAAATTTAAAGAAAGGAGGAGCAGGAAGAGATGCTAAACTAGAGGTAGTTCTTTAGACGTAGCCTCTATATGTGTAGATACCCATAGCAAACGTAATTTAAGTGCAGCAGCTCTTATTAATGTTCACTCTATCATTACTGGTTAATTAAATACAACCAAAAATTCACAAAACAAATTAAACTAGTTTACAAAATAATATCCTTGGAGTGCTCCACAGAAATTGATTTAAAATTCTGTTAGTGTTAGAGCACTAGATCACAAAAAAATATTTTTTAATGTTCAAAATGTTAAATTTCTGACTTTTTTAGAATTTCTTCCTATATTCCGGTTCATATCCACTCGATTGGGCCAGTTTTAGTTTTATTTTAAAGTCAATAGATCAGAGCTTAACTTTGCCATACAAATCAATATGATTGGATAAGTGATGGCAGCGCAGCAGCTCGACAAAGATGAAAAATGTGTTTTCTAGTTTCATATCCCTTATCAAAAGCAAGATACTCTTCTTTATAAAGGGTATAAAAATATCGATATCTTCTGCTCTGCTTCTTCACATCCCTATCGCAATCTTTTGCCCGGAATGAAGGTGGTCCAGTGATGTCCATGTCCAGGTTACCTGACCGATCTCTGCTCACCCGCTGCGAGATATTCGTGTACTTTGGCGTCTACATAGCCTATATAGTGGTGGGTCTGTACAAGATCTATGGACTTCGGGATCATATAGTAGGGGAGGCCAAGTTCCAGTTTCCCGCGGGCTGGAGCTTCTATCCCTTCAATCAGCGAAAGAGGGATGATAGCAACGATGAGCTGGAGAACTTTGGAGACTTCATAGCCAGCTTTTGGCCCTTCTACCTGCTCCATGCGGCTGTCCAGGGAGTCATCCGCTGGAAATGGCACCGTTTTCAGTGCCTTGGATTCGCCGGTGTTTGTGTTTTGGCTTTGGGAGTCAACCTGGACTGGACTTCGATGGTGCTACTAGCCATGTTGATAGGTAGCTATTATGTAGTCTCCCTAGGCACATCCAAAATCCTCGTTTGGCTTTTATCCGCCGGCTGGATACTGTGCATCAATCTCATCCAGAAGAACGCCTGGTGGACGGAGCGTGTGGGCTACACGGAGTACGTCCTGGTGATAGTTACCATGTCCTGGAGTGTCCTGCGCGGCTGCAGTTACTCGCTGTCCAAAATGGGGGCTAAGGAGGAGGATCTGGGGAGGTATAACCTCATCCAGTACTTGGGCTACGCCATGTACTTTCCCTGCCTGACTTATGGACCCATCATTTCCTACCAGAGATTTGCAGACAGGAGGGAGGATGAGCAGCAGAACTGGTCAAGATTCTTTGGAGGAGTCCTGCGCAGTGCTATTTGGTGGCTAGTGATGCAGTGCGCCCTCCACTTCCTCTACATACACTACATGTCGCGGGATGTGCGCATGGTGGAGCTGATGGACTCGGTTTTCTGGCAGCATTCCGCCGGCTACTTCATGGGTCAGTTCTTCTTCCTCTACTATGTGGTGACCTATGGCTTGGGCATCGCCTTTGCCCTGCAGGATGGCATCCCGGCGCCGAGGAGACCGCGCTGCATCGGCCGCATCCACTTCTACTCGGACATGTGGAAGTTCTTCGATGAGGGCTTGTACGAGTTCCTCTTCCAGCACATCTACGCCGAGTTGTGCGGCCGCAGATCCTCGCCAGCTGCCAAGTTTGGAGCCACCGCCTTGACCTTTGCCTTTGTTTTCGTCTGGCATGGCTGCTACACGTATGTGCTCATCTGGAGCATCCTCAACTTCCTCTGCCTGGCTGCAGAGAAGCTCTTCAAGACGTTGACCTTGTCAAAGGAGTATCAAAGGTGGACTAAGGATCATCTCGGAGCAGTTTTTGCCCAGCGATTGTACGCCATGTTGGCCACGCAGCTCTTCATTCCGGCCGCCTTCTCGAATGTCTACTTTATTGGTGGACAGGAGATTGGAGACTTTCTGATGCGCGGCGCCTACCGCAGCGGAGTGGGCAACTACATGGCCCTGTGCTTCTGCAGCTACTGCTTTTTCCAGTGCTCCGAGCTGCTCCTGACCAAGTCGGATGATCGCTTAAAGGCAAAAACTTACTGACCTCGCTAAAAGGCTGCTTAGAATTAGGTTAAGAGTGTGACTATCTTTGAACAATCTTGTATTATTACATGGCTTTATAATTGTTTTGTGGGTTTTACAAAACAACAACATATTTACTTAATTTTTGATCCAATAAATACATTTTTATAACAAGAAAGGTAGTTATCTTGTATTCTTATTGTAAAACCCAGTTTTACTTGATATAAAATTATACTTAGGATATAATCTAACTATCCTAACTTTCGCCTTCTCCAGTGTCCTGCCAATCCAGAAACATAGTTTGCGTGCAAGTCGACTGAAAGTTGTCTGGGAAGAGTTCATCCATTATTTCGTCGCAGGTCTGAGTGTGCTGCGTGTTGTAGAGGCCACCATCTGGCCAATGGGTCTGCGTTTGGATGTGGGACAGTCCCAGTTCCTCGAAGAGATCATCGCAGGTCTGTGTGTACATGTGGGCGGAAGTTTGCAGATCAAACATGGGTTCATTTTCTGAATAGGTGGGGAAGTGGCTTCCCACTGGAACAGGTTGTGTCATTTGCTGCTCCTCATCTGGAAAATCATCAGTCATTGTTCCCATATCGCCTCTGGTGTCGGATGTTTGGGTTTCTATGGCAGGATAGGTGTGGAAATGGCTTTCTACTGCCACTGGCTGTACCATTTCCTCCTGTTCCTCCGGAAAATCATCAGTCATTGTTCCTATATCTCCTCTGTTGTCGGGTGATTGGGTTTCTATGTCAGGATAGGTGTGGAAATCGTTTATTCCCGCAACTGACTGCTCCTGCTCATCTGGAAAATCATCAGTCATCGTGCCAATATCTCCTCTGGTGTCGGGCGTTTGGGTTTCTATGTCCCTTAACAAAGGTGCCAACACTTCGTTCCTAATCTCATTCAGATCATCCTCCTCCGTTTGGGTTTCCATGTCCAGTTTCTGGGAAGACAGCTCATAGGGCACATCCATAATGGGCAGAAAGCAGAGAATGTGCTCTTCAGGAGGTAATTCGTTGATAGAATCAAGAGTGGAGGAGATGTTGGCCGGCTCAGCTGAAAACTCAGTGACCACAGCCAAGTTGGAGGATATATAATCCTCCTGAGGGGTCAAAATAGTGGCCACTTCCTCGACAGGAGCAGGATTAGCCGGAACAGGGTTTAGTTTCCTCCAGTTGGCCAACGTGGGAATGGCCACCTTCTCGGATTCCTGTGCCTGCTCCACCAGGTGATTCTTGCGACGCATGTGCGTCCTTAAGCTCGCCTTGCTGTTGTAGGTGAGTTCGCAGACGGGACACCTGTGCTCCTCGCATTTATGCTTCTCCAAATGATGCTGGAGGAGGAACTTCTCGCCGCACTCCTGGCACTTGTACTTCTTGTCCAGGTGGCTCTTCTGGTAGTGCTGGCGCAGCAGGCGCAGGCTGGTGAAGCTCCTCGCCCCCTTGGTGGCCACATGGTAGATGCACTTTTCCGCAGGACAATGGAAAGCCGTATTGCCGCCACTGTGCAGGGTTGGGAGTACCTCCTGGTGGCGCTGGCGCAGGTGCAGCTGGTAGTGACTCAGGTTGCCAAAGACCAGGTTGGGACATCGTGGGCATCTGTGTTCCCTTACGGGCAGCAATTCGCGGATTTCCGGCGTATATTTTTCGCAGTGCATTTCGCTTTGAAACGTTACAGTTATCGATGGGAGTCATATCGAAAGTAATCGATTATTATTTGGTATTTTACCTCTGTAACGGTCACTCTGCTCACGAAGAAGAAATTTACTATTATAACGTATACGTCCGCTCTCGGTTACAAAAATTCGAGGTAACGATCGCTTTCGAACGAATATTTCTGTGCAGGTGTGACAAGCTAATAATAACGGCCAAATAAGGGCAGTCGAAAAAAGAAGGCCTCTGCATTCATTAGATAAATCTTAAAATCAGATAAATATATGCACTATGTGTGTGCATTCCAACCTATACCAATGTGTATCTGCGTGTGCGTGCGAATAAAAATATACATTAAAAATTAGCGCAATTTAAATCGGTCTGTGGTTAATTCTGCTATATATGTGGTATTATTTGTCGCGTTGTGAAGTGTTCTAATATAAAAAGGGATTTGGATTTAATTACCCGTATCGAAAGCAACAAGCAAACCACCCACACAAACACTCACACCACACACACACCTGTAAACCCATCATCTTTTGCTCTTGTTTTCGCCACGCCCCCCGCGTCCTTGCCGCCCACTGAAGTGGTTATTTTTGGCGCGACTACGTCATCGGTGGCATCGGTTAAAAACATCTGGCGGTGCGAAAGATCCAAAACCTACATCATCATTTTTGAAGGGGAGGGTTTTAATTTCTGAAAAAACGCTCTTAAAAGGGCGTCCACAAGGTCGCTCGCACTCAAATCCAGTTCTATTCACAAACACTCCTCACAATTCAAAGTAATTGTGCGCAATTTCGCAACAATTTACCACCGAAATGTCTTCAATTATTCTATTTTCTGGTTTAACGTCAATTTTGTTGAATGAAAAACGAAGTACCGAGCCCTAGGGCCGAAAGATCGATTAATTAAATTTACATACGGCGGGGAAATATACACGAAATCGAAATTAACACAAAGGCTAAAATTAAATACATATTAAGGCGTTTTTTAAATCTCTTCTGATCGCTTTGAGTGGCAGACCTTGTACGCACAGACATAAACATACACAGCTGAATATTCTAATTCATTATACCCTTTCAAAAAGTTGCACGAAATTGTAAGGAAAAGCGATAAAAAATAAAATTTTGATAGTATAGTATTCTCTATTATTTTTGGAATAGAAGTTTTATAACGTTTATGATCTATAATATAATAAATCTGTAGATATTTACCAAAGAGTTCCCCGAAAATAATTGGATAGAAGATTAAATAAAATAAATATAGTATCAAAATATTATGTTTAAAAACCGCACAGAAGTTGTATAAGATTTATAATCCACCATTATAATCCAATATAAGATATCTGTAAATAAGATAAAATATTTGCCCGATGTTTTCCCGAAAATAATCTCGGAATCCCGCATCCCAACTGCATTCCCTTTAAAACTTTGATAAGATAGTCTATTTATCTCTTAAACTGACTCTTAGTAAATCAACATTTTTAACTAGCTAAGGGAATTAGTTAATGTCAGCACTAAACTGTGTGATTTAACTGTCGCTTGGTCCAAAATCGCAAGGTTATCGCATTTCCAAAGCGAAGATTCAACCGAGCTGAGATAATGAATGTCTGAATGACTGACGTAATCGCTGCGGTTGCACATAAGATGGATTTTGTGGGGCTCAGAACGATGTGGCAAGTTTCAATTTATTTTCCAATTTAAGCCGCCATTCCTCTATTTAACTGGTTTAATTGTTAGAAAACTTTAAAATTAAACGCTGTTAAATGTAGGAATTTAAGAAAGATGCTAATTGCATTAACGCTTTTGCTTTGATCGAGTATAAACCGAATCAAAGTTGATTCATGACAGTAGATACGATCGATCGATGCACATCGCCCACATACGTCATATGTATCTGTAGTAATTTCCGCCAAGTGCAGCTGGTTTTAGCCGATTGTTGGCGTTCTGGCCAAGACCAAGACATCTGGTTCTCCGCTTTAGCCATATCTACTTCCGCCTGGTCTCATATGGGATATCTTGAGATATCTATAGATGTTTAGCTGTGTGTATTTGCAATTGCTCCCTGAACGAATGGTGAAAGTTGGAGCACTTTTGGATGAGGTGCAGGTCATTGTACACCAGTTCGAAAAAAGTTGAGTGCCTGTCGTCTGATCGTCGTTGTCCAGACATGCAAAAGCAATTGCTCAACTTTAACAGTTTGTCGTCACACGGATCCAATTGCCATATCTTATCTGTACTTCCACCGAAGAGACAGTCAAAAACTCCGATTGTTGCTCCCAATTACATGAATGGCGACAATCCCTTCATGGAATTTTAATTGGTAATTGCCTGTAGATTATTCAGATCTGTTGCTACGCGGAAAGCAATTAATATTTATCGTTTCTTTTTACGACATTATAAAGCTTATTGATCGTTTGATATTTGATGTTTGTTACTTTGCAGATGCTCTATTTATGTATATTGCAGAATCTATTTATTACATTTTTAGTGTACTGCCTTTCAAAAATGTTCAATATCGTACTGTAAACAAGCAATTGGTTTTATATTCCTTATTTCTTAAATTAGATATTATCTTTTGATTTCTTATCATATCATAGATACATTTTTAGTGTACTGCCTTTCAAAAATGTTCAATATTGTATTGTAAACAAGCAATTGTTTCTATATTTCTTATTTCTTAAATTAAATAATAACTTTTGATACCTTACCATAAGTTCCAATATGATCGTCACTTAATTCTGCTTAGGGTATATCTATTTGGAGCTTGTTTTGGGGTCGCTCTAGACATTTGCTCTCTAATAGAATCGAATGCGTGCCAAAAGAGCGAAAATGACTCATGGCGCCGTGGATGAGATGCTGACCATTGGGCTCTGTGCTATTTTCAGCGTCTGTTTTTGAATCAACTCAATACTGGTTGTTTACCTTTCTGAATTTGTACTCTGTTGGGTTTGTCGAACTGAATTCTATTTAATTTTCGAGTTCAGCAAGCTTGAATTTACACATTTTTATCTCCTTTCGATCGACAACTTGAATGTGTCTTGAAAATCAAACTGAATGTATTTCTATTATGAAACTCTTATAATATAATGTTTATATCTACATCGTTAAAACCATACATTTGTAAATAAACAAAAAGCAAAACCAATTTTCCAATGATTGCGCAAAAAGCTTTGGTAATTGTTTCAGACGGGGATTTCCGATTAGAGTTGAAAATTACTACTGATAATAAAATTGACGGAAACCATATGAAAGCAATTATTTTGTTTATTTTAAAGAATCTAATTTCCCAAAGAGGAAATTTTAATATTTGAATGGGGAAAATAAAATCCCTATTTCCGTTTGAAACCTACATTTTAAGATTAGTTTTAAAATGTAATTTTTAAAGCTATATATTTTGAATTTTTAAATAATTTTTATTATACTAAATAATTATAATAAATCCTATTGTTTTCCCTTTGCAGAAACTTAACCGTCAAGTGCATTTACTAGCCTAGCAAAGATGAGCAAACCAGGCAGTGCTCCTCCGCAGTTCACCTATGTGCCGCCCCCCTCGGCCCCGCCCTCTTACCAGGAGGCGGTGGGCGGGGTTAAGCCCGTGGGTCCATACACGCCCGTTGTTGCGCCCGCCACGACGGCGAATACCACGATTGTGACCACTGTGGTGCCAATCAGCCGCACCTCGACGCACATGATCTGTCCATCGTGCCACGCCGAGATTGAGACGACCACGCGCACGGAGCCCGGAATGATTGCCTACTTGTCCGGATTTTTGATTGCCCTATTCGGGTGAGTTTTGAGTGGTTTTTTGAGTTTTTTGAGAAGATACTTATGGCATCCCTTTTTATCAATTTTTAGTTGCTGGCTGGGATGCTGCCTGATACCTTGCTGCATCGACGACTGCATGGATGTGCATCACTCGTGTCCCAACTGCAGGGCATATTTGGGGCGCTACCGTCGATAGGATGATTGATGATAGATAGGATTGTCAGGATCGAAAGAGAGTGTTTACTTTAAGCAAGCGTTTTTGCCTTTATTTATTTAATTGTAGTAATGTCGTTTGGATTCCACAGCGAAGGCAGTTGGAACGAGCCAAGGCTTCCCCTAATCTAACTTCTAGCTAACTCGCTAAATTGCTACGCCGTTTATATATTTTTGTCGGTTCGCCCAATTCTTAAGATATTATATATGTTTCTGCCACGCTAAAGATAGTAATACGTGTACATTAAACAAAGAAATATATCCAGCGCTTCGCGGACGGGACAACTACTACGAAAAATTAAATAATAAATGCGCTTTTCTATGTATTCGAAATATATATGTACTGGCCTGATCAAGCTTGGCCCTTAAATATTTGCACAAATTGTGAATCGATTCGAAGGCAGCTTGGATCTTTTGCACATTGTTTGAGATAGATAGAGTTTAGTCCAAAAGACAAAATACAAGTTATTTTTGTAACCATTTTGTAAAAGTCTTCGGCGAAAGTGCATATTGTATACTACGAAAGCTAATCTCTGTAATAATTAATCACCAAATCTATATAATTGTCTTTTTATTTTTAAATAAAACGGAAAATGTCACTAAAGTGGTTGGAAATTGAAAAATAAGGGTTATAATAGAATAGTCCAAAAAATGTCTTCAAATATTTATACCGAAGACGAGTTGCACAGACGGTTTCCAAGAGAAGATGAGCTGTTTAGGAAATATGGGCAATATCGCCGTAGATACCAGAGAACCAGTATACTTGCTTATCATAAAGGGTGGCATTGTAAACCCGTATTTCGGAATCCGTACAATGAGGAACTGGTGCCCCCGACTTCAGTGCGCGGAATGAAAGAGCTCCAAAGAGAACAATTTCGCCGGAGCATCCACATCCCCCGCTTATTGGTGCCCCAGTCCAAAATGAGACCTGTGATGGAGCTGCTCAAGAAGTTTCTGCTCAACATGGAGCGACTGAATCCTGTCCGAGTTCTCGGCGAGCAACGGGAGGTCCTACTGCATCCAACGAAGGCTGCCTGTTGGGATTCCCTGCACGTGGTTAATCTGAAACAGCAACGGATCACCCCCAACGACTTCTACTTTGCTGAACTTGAATTGAGCTATGAAAACTGGAGTGCCATCGAGATCCTGAAGAGCGTGCTGCCGATGGAGGGCAAGGATCGCATCTTCTATAGGAGAGTCGGGCAAATTCTGCATGTACATCTCAAGGATCATCTGCTGCCCTACAAAAACCTCATTGGCCAGGTGCTCCTGGACAAGATTCGCGACTGCCGCACGGTTGTCAATAGGATATATGCCACAGACAATCATGAAGGCGATTTCGAAGTGGAGTTCCTCTGCGGGTCACCAGAATGTGAAATAGAAATCAAACAGTACGGTTTTTCCTTCAAGTTTGACTTCTCCAAGGTGCCAAAGAGTTTCTGTTCCTGGGAAGAGCATGGAAATATTGTCAAGATGCTAAAATTAGGAGATGTTCTTTACGAGGTGTCTGCTGGCATGGGTCAGTGTAGTGTTCCTGCTGCCAGAAAAGGTTGCCTTGTCCTGTCCAATGAATCCAATCCCGAGATCTTCCGCTGGCTGCAGCATAATGCCAAGAAAAATAACTGCCCTCCCAGATTGAGAATGTTTAACAAGGACGCCAGGCAGTTTATACTTGAAGATTTGCGGGAGAATTTGTTTAAGCTTCTGCTGGCCACAAATACCACTACATATGGAATCCATATAGTAATGAATTTACCAGATATGGCAGTGGATTTACTGGATGCATTTCGCGGGCTCTACAAAGCTGACGAACTGACTGACTTACCCAAAAACGTATCCTATCCCACAGTTCACATTTACTGCCTTATCGAAGCAAATAGGACTCTAGAAAAAGCCAAGCAACTGGTAGAGGAACATTTCGGAGAAATTCTAAATGACTGTCTGCTCCAGAATGTGATTTATATTGGAAATATATCCCAGTCCCGGGACCTGTACCGAGTTTCCATTAAGCTTTCCCTTAACTCACTCACCACCAGAGAAATTGGAGTCCCAAGGAAGCGTTGTGCGGAGGAGGAGCAGGTGGTCGCAATTAAACGAATTATTTGAGTCTTTATATAAACACCTCTTTCAGGAAAAACTTATCCAAAGATTAACCGCTAAAGAAAAATGTAATATTTTTTAACTCTAGAATCTCTTTTTAAAATGTACATTGCAAAATGTACAATAAATGTATTTAATGGTTTTAAAATATATTTAATTTTAAATACAAAATATTTTAAAAATAATTATTTTTGAAACAGTTCTTGATTTGGTATATTTTTTTAAGATCTAGTATTTTTGTAACGGACATCGATGTTTTGAAGCAAGTTATCGATATTTCTCCGACTCTGGTTTTTTGCGTTTGTTTGGCTTTTTCACCTGAATCTTAGCCTTATCCGGAATATTAGAGGTACATTCAAAGGTTAATTGATATTCAGGGGGATCTGCGAAGGCTCAAGGAACACCTGCACCTCTCCACACCATCGGCACCTCTGTTACCTTCCCCGAAAACAGCAAAAAACCCCAAGAATCTAGGTCGCACGTGTTTGGATGTTTATGGTGGGCAAATTGAAGGTCCCGGGTTTAACGATTATAACGAATCGTTTACGTCACTACTTTCGAAACATGGACGCCCAGGAACTGCAGCCGCCCAGTGCGGTGCGTGGAATGCAGGAGCTGCAGAGGGAGCAGTTCCGGAAGAGCGTCCAGGTGCCCAGATTACGGGTGCCCGAGTCTCAAGTACAGCGAGTGATGCCGCTGGTCAAGAAGTTCCTGCTCAAAATGGAGCACCTGCATCCGGTCCGGGCTGTGGATCACAACCGGGAGATCCTGCTGCATCCAGTGGCTATTAAGGATTGGGAATCCCTGCCTATAGAGGATCTGGAGAAGCAGCAAGTCACCGCAGAGAACTTCTGCCTCGCCGAACTCGAGTTAAGCTACGAAAACTGGAGTGCCAATGAGATCCTCAAGAGCGTGCTGCCCGCGGAGGAGGAGGGCTTGACCTCCTACTCCCGCATCGGTCACATTGCCCACTTGAATCTGCGGGATCACCTGCTGCCCTACAAGCAGCTTATCGGCCAGGTGCTCCAAGACAAGCTGCCCAATTGCCGCACGGTGGTCAACAAGGCCTCGTCCATAGACAACACCTACCGCAACTTTCAGCTGGAGCTGATCTGCGGCGAGGCGGAGTACCAGGTGGAGACCAAGGAGAACGGCGTGCCCTTCGAGTTTGACTTCTCCAAGGTGTACTGGAATCCACGCCTCTCCACGGAGCACGAAAGGATTGTAAAGATCTTGAAGTCAGGAGATGTGCTCTATGACGTCTTTGCTGGCGTGGGTCCGTTCAGTGTTCCTGCTGCCAAGAAGCGCTGCCATGTCCTCGCTAATGATCTGAATCCCGAGAGCTTCCGCTGGCTGCAGCACAATGCCAAGAGAAACAAGTGTTTAGCCAGTATAAAAATGTACAACAAGGACGGCAGGCAGTTTATAGCCGAAGAGGTGCGGGAGGATTTGCTTAAGCGTCTGCTGAGCACAGATACTACTACTTATGGCATCCACATAACCATGAATCTACCCGCAATGGCTGTGGAGTTCCTGGACGCTTTTCGTGGTCTCTACAAGGCAGAGGAACTAAACGAGTTGTCTGAAAACGTTTGCTATCCCACTGTTCATGTTTACTCCTTTGCCAAGGGTGAGAACACCAAGGAGTTGGTTCGCCAACTGGTGGAAAACAATCTGGGAGTGAACCTAGATGAGGAGAACCTCCTCCAAAGCATCAACTTTGTGAGGAATGTGGCTCCCAACAAGGACATGTACAGGGTTTCCTTCAAGTTATCCCTGAAATTACTAACCACTTTAAAAGACAATGAAATCAAGAGAAAGCGTTTGGCGGAGGAGGAGGAGCCTCTAACCGCCAGTAAAGTGAAATGTGTTTGATATCATAGATACAATAAAGTTGGAACTTTTGAAAAATTAAAGCAAGTTTCTTTTCTTTCTGCCTACTTTCAGATGGGTCGCAACAAGGCAAACAACAAAAAGGTGACTCCTGGAGCCGCCAAGCCAAAGACTACGCTAAACAAGTCCAAGAAGGCCAAGAATGTGTTCAAAGTGGGCGATGGTAACAAGGGCAAGGGCAAGAAGCCCAAGGAGGTGCAGGGCAAGCTCAAGCAGGTGAGTGTAGGAATTACAGCTAAAGAGAAATTAAGTTACTTAATTACTTAACTTACAGATCAAGGAATCTGTGAAGGCAAAGCAGGAGAAGGTGGACGCCAGCCTGAAGACTCTGCACAAGGATCTGGTGGTGAAGAAGCCAAAGGCCCCAGTGGCGCCCATCAAGAACAACAAGAAGAAGGGGGCCAATGCCCAGAAAGTCTCCGACACTCTGGGCAAACTTAAGTTCTAAGCGAACTCCGCGATTTACGTTTTACGTATAGTAGATGTAGTTAGTCACCATTGATTGTTGAAGAATTTGGTCTTATCCAAAATATATGATAGCTATAAGAACAGTGATGGGAGATGGGTACTCTTCTAGGTTTCAAAATCTACAACGTACCTCTTCTTGACCTTCTTCTTTTTTTAAAAATTTATACTTTCATTCCGTTAACAATCGAATACCTGATATATATATAATTAATCCAAAGAATAGCTAGGCAGTAGAAATAATCGTATATCCCCAATTTATTTTAAAGTATATTATGCATTCTTTGGGTATTTATTTATACCTTTTATACTACCTATTAGGTATTATATATTTTGAATCCTAAAATTGGGTAGCTCTCCCATCACTGTTTCAAGGCAACCTAGACAAGCACAGGAGGCAAAACGGCACCTGGGATTACGGTGGGAGCAATTGGAGTTACGGGTGCAAGAGTAGTGCTCTCTGCAGTTCCATTTACATTTAAATTCCAGCCGAAAAGCTCACGTATAATGCCATCTAACTGAACTGTATTGATTCCCGCCTTCTGAAGTTCAGCCAGCACCTGTGTGGTTTCCACGGAGCTCAACCAGCGTTCGTACATCACTTGTAGACCCTGTAATCTCAGCCAGAACTGGGCAAAGATGCCCTGTTGCAAGACCTTTGCATTGATGTGAGCCCGAATGGCGTAGAGTGGAAAGTAGAGCTGCACTTCGTTGAGGAATCCCTGCCAGCCGAAGACGGTGCCGGACCAGTAGGGAAATTGGTTCAACAGACTGACCTTCAGACGCTGTTCCTCCATTTCGAAGGAACCACCCGAGGCCAGGAGCTGCTGGTCCACCCACTGCAGGAAGATGATGAGCTCCGGCTGCGAAAGTAAACGCCAACGGGCTGTGAAGGCGGCATTGCTGTTGATGATCCGCACAAACGACTGGAACTCGGCATCGTTGATGAGGTAGCGCACCAGTAGTTGATTCAAGGGTTTGTACTGAATCAAGCGCTGGATTTCATCCAGATCCTGGGATAAAGTGGGTGGAGGAGCCAAGGTGGCGGGCGGAGGTTGCACCAAAAGATTATTAGTAGGAGGTACCAGATGAGGAGACCACTGTGCCTGAGATCCTCCAGCCAGAAGGATCAGGAAGAGGCAACCCAGAGCGATGATGGCCATGACTAGGAAGTGAGCGAAAGATGACTACCTAACTAAAGTTAGCAGATGCTTTTTATATCCCCCGGTTTTATTATTATTTGTATTATCTGCTGATAGCGACTACCGGAATTTGGCGCAGCATTTCAGTTAAACGTCATCTGATAAGCTATTTCGATCTGTTTATGGGTTTACCAACTTTCAAATCCCCCACGGAAGTCTGGCGGTTGGTAAACATAGGTATACCCAAAAAAAGAAAGGCCTTCTAAATATACGAATTTATAACATGCTAAGCTTTATTCTCAAAGTGAATCACCAACAATCCGGATGGACATGGACCACAAAGAACCGCAAACGAACACTTCATAACATTAGGATTTACATAGCTCCACAGACGTACACACAAAGCAAATGAAAACTGGGGATATATGGGATTTATCTTCTTTTTTTTTGGTGGGGATGATTACCAATTATCCTCGCAAATAAATAATTTCGAAAATGGTATGTGTTAAATAAGCAGAGGTAAGATTAGATATGAGTAATTTTAGTGAATGATTAATGGTTAATTATAAACTTGGCTATTTTACTTGTTTTTCCTGCTCTGGTTTTCAAAGTCGATTAAGGTAGGTAATATTTTCAAAATATTTTAATGAAATAAATGTTTTTTTTTCACAATAGTAAACAATTTAATATTCAATATATAGAAGAAAAATTAAAAAAAAATTCTATCCTTAAAAAACTGTGTTTAAGTTTGAGTTTTTCAAACTTTGACTATTTCAAAATTTCATTTATTTCGATCGTTGTTTTTAATTAATCAAAATTTATATAAAGTAATGGATCGATAATAATATTTAAATTAGTATTCCACACATTAAATTACAAAAAGAAAAACGATTATCAAACATTACCCACTGTTTTAAAATATTTATAGATCATATTTAGAAAACCGGAGCAGGACTTGCAAGGATTTACGTATACAGATTCCAGTACAATGTACTCGGGGAGGGGCTAGGATACCTTCAACTTTACCTTAAGACGTATAAATAAGTCGTATGTAATAAAAACTAACTTAACCGATAAACGCATGTGAGTATGAGCAGGGATTCCAGGGACTCCGATCTCCAGAATGGTCTAACTACCATCCCCGATGATCCGGCGACGCAGCCAGCCGGGCACATAGCCCCTCACAGCCTCGCCCAGCTGGCGGTAGATGATCAGTCCCAGGATGGGCAACACCAGGCGGGCATCCTTGAACAAGTACACATAGCAGGCGACCAAGAAGAGCACCAGATCCGTGCAGTAGCTGAGGGCGGAGCGCACCTTCTCGTGGGCCTGCTCCTCCGACTGGAGGATGGCCAGAGCGGCGGCCTTCTGCAGCAGATCCCTGTCGGCGGCGGAGAGGATTAGGGAGGTCTGTGGAGGGCTCTCTATTTCAGGGGGACCTGGTCGGGTCAGGGAGGCATCTCTTGACCTAGTGCTGGAGGGAACCCTCCTCCGGATGACCCTCTTCACCTTCACCAATCTCGTCCTGCCCCTCGCATCCGGACGAGCCTCCACCATCTCGCTCATGACGCTCTCAGTCTCGGATTCGCTCTTGTTTTTCGACTTGGGTGGGGGCACCACCAGCACAGTGGGGTATTCCGGCTCCTCATCCTCCTCTTTCTGGGTTTCCTGCTCTGGAGATTGGTGGAATGCCAGATCACTGGCTGCATCACGAACATGCACGAGTTGTTCTCTTTCCGAGATGGAGAGACGTCGTTCCCTGACGACAGGAGGAGCCAGGAACATATCATCGCCGCCACCGGTGGCCAGTCGCTTCTTCAGCTCCTCCGCATGGCTGAGCACATCCTCCTCATCCGTTTCCGCCGCCGCCTTGGCCGCCGCTCGCTTCAGTTCATCCCGATCCAGGTAGATCGGGGTATGGTATCTATGGGAACTGCCCACTTCCCTTACCAAATCACTGTAATGATCCACTGCCGCATGAGCCTCCTCCTGCATGAGACGCTCCTCCTCCTGGCGACGCAGCTCCTCCTCCTCTTTAACCCGCCGCTTGGCCTCCAAATCCGCCGCTATGGCCGCTGCATTGGTCTTCTCCAGAGGATTGGATATCTCCTCGTTGGCCTCGGTGTTCTTCTCCGTGGCGGATCTCTTGTCGCGGGTGAAAAACGACTTGATTCCCTTGGCCAGGTCCATTTTAAGGGTACTCCCCGGATTACTGGTGGTTAGAGTGGGTAAAGAAGAAACTGGAGGACTTGTGGTCACCACCATTTCACTTTCAGTATTTCTGGGCGAAGGACTAACAGACTGCTCGACATGCTCATTGGAGGACCTTTTGAGTATGGGTTTGGGCACAAAATCCGGACTGGGCAGTGGCACTGGACGATTGAGCACCACGGCAGCCTGTTCCGGAGTGGGAGCTCTATATGGAGTGAAGGTTCCAGCGCCCATGGTGCGCGGATGATAGGTCTCCAGATCCCGAGGACTGGGCGATCGAGTTCTGGCCAACAATTCCATCTTGAACTTCTCTATGGAGTCCTGTTCCGAGGAGGCAGTGCTCTCTGTGTAATCCGAACCCAGGTCGTTGCTGGACTGCTGCTGCAGTTGCTTCTTTGGCGGATACTCCACATCCACATCCTCATCGAAATCCAGATCCATATCTTCGCTATCATCCGCCGTACTTTCAGTCAAATGTTCCTCCTCCACATCCAACTCCTCCGGTTCCTCCTGTTCCTCCTGCTCCCGAAGATCTTTCTTCGGTTCCAAGGGCAACTGTCCAGTGGTGTGGATCCTCGTCAAGTCACTGACATTCTCCCTGGAATCCCACTTCCTCGAAATGGACACCATATCCGCCGACTGCCTACGCAATTCGCTCCTCCTCTCAAAGGACAACCGTTCCGCCTCCGAAATGGAACCCAAACGCTTGCGAAGATTGGCTGGCGTTTGATGGGACACTGGGGCAGCCAGTTTATCCTGCGATGTCTTGCGGGATTTGGAAGCCTGCTCCAGTTCCACTGCCTCATAGAACCTGGCCATGGCCCTCTCATACAAAAGTTCCGTGGAGCTGACGGATCGACGGAGTGGAAAGGTGGTATGCAGATTGGTGAACTCCAGGAAGGCCAGATCCGGGGCAGAAATCGAAATGGGCGGTGGCTGGATGGCGTCCTCCAGGTCCAGCTCAAAGGAATCTTGTTCTGCGAAGCAAGAGAAATATGGGAGGGGTTTTAGTTTAGTTTAGTTTAGTTGGGATATGAGGTTAATGGGTGATTCTTTATCGTGAAATCCTTATAACTGGGTAGTTAGGATAGTAAACTGATTATATTTTGGCAGGAATAATACTTTTTAGTTAGTATTTAAACGAAGTTAAAATGACTATAATAAGTTTTAGTTAGAATATGAATTAAGTTAATGGGTGATATTTTATCCCGAAATCCTTTGAACTGAATAGTTAGGATGGGCTAAGAGTTTTGGTATATAATGATGATATGATATAAAATGATATAATTAACAGTTAGGATGGTTATAATGAATTTTAATTAGTATATAACAAGAAGTTAGTGGCAGATCCTAGATCTTGAAATCTTTATAAATGAAAGTAACTTAAAATGTTTATAATGTATTTGACTTAAAATATAAAATGATCTTAATGGGTGATCCTTAATCCCGACATTCTTATAGTTGGATAGTCAGGATGGATATAATGGGTTTTAGTTTTGGATATGAAATAACTTAGGGGGTGATCATTAATCCTGATGTATTATTAATAATAAGATGTATGTTGAAAGTTCTGCAATCCTTAAATATATATTAAGGATAGTTAGCTGATAATAACTGCAAATGGCTATAATGAATATTAGTTAGTACAAAAAATGAAAGTTAGTGGCAGATCCTGGATCCTGAAATCTTTATAAATGACGGTTATAATGTATTTTACTTAAAATTTAGAAATTAACTTAATGGGTGATTAATCGTGAAGTCCTTATAAATGGATAGTTAGAATGGGTATAGTAAGTATTAGTTTATATGTAAAACGAGTTAATGGGTTATTATTTAATTTTATAAATCATTATATATAGTAAGAATAGGTAATAGTGATACTAACACAGGATGGTTAAAGTGAAATTTAGTTAATATATAAAATGAAAGTTAGTGGTAAATCCTAAATCCTGAAATCTATCTAAATGAAAGTAACCTAGGATGTTTATAATGTATTTTACTTAAACTATAAAAATTAAGTTAATGGGTGATCCTTAATCCCGAAATCCCTAAAACTGTATACGTACTGTCCTTATCCTTGACCTTGCTGTTCTTATCGAAGACCACCAGCATGAACTCATTGCTGGTGTGGACCTCGTCGTGTTTGTCGGCCGACCTGGAGAAGCGCCTTGGCGACTTTGGAGCTGGTTGTGGTGGTTCCGGTGAAGGAGTTGGCTCAGGCATAAGATGCTGCTCCTGTACCTCCTCCTGCGGCGTTGGTGGAGCACTAATCTCAATGGTGGGTAGTTTTTCACCAATCACAGCCGACACCCCGGAGGCCACGGCCAGCGCCAAAGTGGGCACATTTCTGGCCGGGCTTAGGGTCTGGCCAGAGAAGCGTCTCACATTCTGGTTGACTCCCAGCTGAACGGGTTCCGCACTCCGCAGTAGAGCTGGTGTAATCTTGATGGGTTCCGGTGGCGTTGGACTCTTGCGCAGAGGAGCCGGTTGCCTTTTGTTAGGTGGACTCAAGCTCCTCTTGCGATTGGGTGACGTCTTCTCTGGTTTTTCCTTCGGAGGAGTGGGCAGCGGTTGTGGACGTGGTGGCACAGGTGACTTATCCTTTGGCTTGGGATTGAATAGCTTCAAAGGAGAGGTAGCAGTTGGTGACTTGGGTGACCTGGGTGCTGGTTCGTTTGGCTTCTCCACCGGTGACAAGGTGGTGGTCACCAGCGTTAGATTAAGTTTCGGATTGGAGGATTGACTATCGCTGGCCAGCTTATTAATCAAATCCGCACTGCTCACCGAGGGACTCTTGCGCACGTCCATCTTCAAGGCCTGATCCGAAGTTCCGTAGGACATCTCGTGGGTCAGTTGCTCGTTGTCTATTAATTGAGGTTTGGGTTTTCGTTTGGCACTGGGCGACTGTTTGGGCGACATCCCAGTGGCGGCATCTGCATGGGGTCTTGGAGGCGATAGGGTCTTCCGACGTGGTGGCACCTGAACAGCTGCTCCTCCTCCCTTTGGTTTATCCTTCTCATCGCCCGCAATCTTTGTAGCCGACTTGGGTTTGGTAATGCCCCTTTTGGGATCTGGTATAAAGAGCAACTCCGACTCACCCGAGGGTTCACTTAGCCCATAGGGATTCTCCGCCTTCACCCGAAACTTGTACTCCGATCCCTCGATCAGATCGTGCAGCGTGGTGCTCAGTGCCCTCGTGGTGGCCGCCTTGAGCCAAACATTCCAGCCCACTCGAAAGTATTCCACTATGTAGTTGCCTATCTTGCAGCCGCCGTCGTCGAGAGGAGCCGTCCACGCGAGAGTGGCCGACTTGCCAAAGGACATATTCAGTTTGGGAGTGCCCGGCGGATCGGGTCTGGCCGTCACGGTGACCAGGAAGGAGGTGCTATCCTCGCCCAGTCTGTTCCACGCCTTCACCATATACTCGCCGCGATCCTCGCGCAGCACATTGTCGATCTTGAGCAGCGAGTTCTTCTCAGTGTTGGTTATCTGAAATGGGTGGAAAGATCATTTAATAGGTAGTTAAGTTAGTAATGATATATTATCAAGTGAATAAATTATAGACACTTTAGCTATTTTTAAACGCAATGTTTTCTTTTGAAATATATTTATAAGTTTATATGTAAACATAAAGAATATTTTTATTTTATTTGAAAAACTCTGGCAAAAATAAAACTTTATCAAGGAGATCGAAAATGGATTAGAAACCATCTAAAAGAAGAATTCCAACGCTTTTTTTCTATCGTTTCACATCTAAAGACATTTTTTTGAATTATTGAAAAGATTTGTGATATATTATCAATAACCATTTATGATCGCTATATGTTCCTACACTCAAAGAATTTGCTTTACTGGCAATTTTATCTATATTTCTGGAAAATTTCTTAAATTTAATAAATTTTGATGATTTTGAAGGAAATTGCTTTACCAGTAGAACATTTTTTTATTTTAAAGAAAAAAATCGCCCGTGAAGGAAATCCATAGGCGATTTTTTAAAATTCAGGGCAAATATATTTTTGAGTGTATTAAAAAAAGTTCATAGATTTGAACTGATAGAATATTTTTGTTTTATGGGAAAATTCGATTAGGAATGGGTTGAGAATCATCTAGGATAATAACTTCTGAACATTTAACATATAACCCACCTCAAAGCGTCCACCTGGAGCGATGACCTCGCCCTCGTGGAGCCACGTAATGGCCGGCGGTGGTTGCCCAGCCACGCCCACTTTAAGGCGCAGCACCTCATCGGCCTCCACAATCAGCCCATCCTCGTAGGTGCGTGGCAATCGAATCTTGGGCGGAGCCTGGACCATCAACCTGGCCTTGGTGATCACATGACCCGCTCGATTGGTGGCCGTGCACTTGATCTCACCCTCGTCGGTCAGGGCAACCTGGTGAATGACCAGGACACTGGCCTCGTTGTCGTTGACGATCTTCGTGCGGCGACTGCTGAAGATCTCGTAGCCATCCTTGAACCTTGAATTAACATAAACAAATTATAGCAATATTTTAAAATCCTTTATAATCCTCCTCTACAGCAAAATTTTCCGTTAGTAATTTGTGGTTTATTCCCTATTAAAGCATGCAGTTTTCCGTTCGAAATTTGCTATTTTTGGTCTGTTGGCCACACTTTCAAGAACATAAAACTTACCAATTGATCTCCGGCGGCGGTTCGCCCAGGATGCGAACGCGAAACTCGATGCGCTCGTCCTCCACGGCATCCGTGTCCACCAGTTCATCGATGAAGCGGGGCACGGTGATGGCGTTCCGCTGGAGAGTCACCGTCAGGGGATCGGATAGCTCACTGGCATCCGAACGACCCACAATGTTCTCGGCAAAGCAGCGAAACTGATACCGCCAACCGGGTTCCAGTCCACTGATGCAGACATCACAGCGATCGATCGGAGTGGGCGTGGCTCTCACCCAATGGGGCGATCCCATACGCCGGTGCTCCACCGTATAGCCAGTGATGGGGGAACCACCATCATGCAAAGGACGATCCCAGCGCAGGTTCACCACATCCGGTTGCTGTTCCGGCAGCGCCACTGGCGTCAGAATGGGACGACCGGGTGGTGAAGGTCGCTCTGATTGGGAGAACAAAATAGGGTTTATAATGAGGTATTCAAGCAAAATCCTAACTAATTATTTTAAACCATAAATCTATCTATAATATGATTAGGGAATTATAAAAATGTAGGTGTGCTCTAAAACTTTGATTCGAAAAATCGGGTTTAAATAGGGTTTATATTAAGGTATTCAAGCAAGAGCCTAACTAATCATAAAGTTACCAATTTATAAAATATTTTTCTGGATATTTATAATATGATAAGGGAATTATAAATATGTATGTTTAAAAATTTGGATTCGAAAAATCTAAAAGTTTTAAACTTAAACGTTGAAAATTAAATAAAAAACATTTAGAAATATTCAATTTTCAAAACGAAATAAATGGTCAAAACTCCACAAAAAGTCGACAAAATGGTTTTTTTTATAATTAAATAGCAGTTCTATAGATCATGTTATGGACACAGAAACTAACAATTGTACTTCCCCTTAACCATATTGTAACGGTTTTGAGCCCTAAAAATGTATGCAGCCTTGGTAGTTCTCAGCATAATGGCTCTTCCGCTTTTGCGGACGACAACATTACTTTGACGTTGTGAGATTTTTGGGGCCAAACAGATGAACACGGCAACCACTGAGTGTGCGAGTGCTATAAATAGACGAATTTTAGCGCTCCCACCAGCCAGCCAGAGCTATGTGGGCCTGTCTACTCTTCGGGGGCACCCTCTAATATCTTGAAAATCTCGAATCGGACAAGGAATACGACTGGGACTCCAATGTATTCCGGAGTTTATACTTGCCTGCCGACTTCCAGTGGACATTCTTCTTCGGTCGATTGCCCTGCGGATGCGTGTGCAGCTTTCCCGGCTGATTTCCCATTTCGAGATATTTAGATATTTAACCTATTTGCAATATTGTGCTTGCCTATACAGAGGATCTATATATAGACAGTCGAAATTAACTTAACTTAACCCGTCGTTTTTGTATCGCCAATAAACACACACTTTAAACTTTAACTATTTCAACTCCAGGTGCGGGTTAATCCTAATAATGTAACTTTCGTAGCGTTTTTTGGCTTTTGTTTGCAAGCGTTGCCATTTTTGCGGCGCGTTAAATAATCCGTTCCGTTCGGTTCGTCAGCCCAGCATCCACCTCCTCCTCCTCCGATCCACGAAAACTTTCTGCTCTTTTTCAAATTTGAATTCGGTTGGGTTTGACGGTGGTTATCGACATCGATAGGTGATGCAATCGATAGCTACTTTCAGCTATTTTTTAAAAAACTTTTTTATTTCAAAATAATTTGTTGTACATTTTTATAATAGTAAAATGTAATGGTATAAAAAAAAATTCGAAATCCATTGGCACCTTACTTACATTAAAATATTGATTACAAATCATAACAATATTTTCTTTCCCAATTTGTTAGCTTGATTAAACAAATATGCCTCGCATTTTAAATTGTTTTAATAATTATAATTGGTTGACACTTTTTCTTATTTTTTCCCGCTGTATTAAGAGTTGGCTACTTTCTAGCTAGACATAAGTCCATCGCTAGTTCCCCTTATCGATAGTTGGCAACAGTCGTGGAGTGTCATCACAGGCACAAATTATGCTTTTTTCCAACAACAATTTTTTCCAGTTCTTCCCGAAAAAGATTCGCTATTTTTTGTAGTGCCGCCTTGTAGTGTTTCCTGTTGACTTGTTTTTAAACCCAATACGATCCGGAAAGTGCTGTCCATCGAGTCCTTGTTAAAATACGTCGCTGACCTGCTCGCATGTGTGTGTTTTGGTGAATAAAAAGCCAGTGAAAATGCCCCGTCCTTGGCATGAATTTTGGGAGGCTGTTGTGCTACACTATTTGTTGGGAAAATAAAGACTTAGCATAATAGCATTGCAGTACGGAAAAGCCGCAGCTGTTCCTTTGTGACAGGTGCAGCGGCACACACACACGCATACACTTACCTGCATGTACCTATTCCGCCCGTCCAATAACAACAACAACAACAATGGCCAGCACGGCGACCGCGACGCCAATGGAAATAGACGAATTCATAAATGGAGCACTCGTCTCTTGGGTGAGTACTTACTATAACGACGGGTAATATGGATAAACATGCTCGATATTTGCATGGCAAGTGGGCCTATGTGCTTGGCATAAATAATTCGAGTGTTCGATTCCCAAGCACTCGCATATGGAAACGGCGAAAACAACAAAAACAACAAGAGCGGAGTCGTGAGAACAACCTGCTTACATACTCACACACAAACAAACACAGCTGAGGTCAGCGAAATAGGAGACTTTTTTAATAATATCAAAATAAACAGTAAAAACAGTAAACAGTAATTTGCAATTATTAAAACATTTTTAAAAACTTTACATTAAAATTTGTTTTTTTTATTATAAATATTGCTTAGTTTTAATGTGTATTAAAATTATTTTATTAATAAATATTTACATAACAATTAAATTATAGTATATAAATTATTCCTATTCCTTTAAACTGAATTAATAGCAGATTAGATTAAGCAGAACCTTTAAAAAAAATAAGATTTAAAAATTAAAATCACTATAATTTTTTAATTAACTTTAAAGTTCTAACTCCTATTCGTTTCCCCCTCACTGTATGTAGTTATGCGGCTTTCCGCAAAAGAACCAAGGTCATTGTAACTTGCTCAAGACGGCTTACGGTACAAAAAGAAACGGAGGAGTGATGTGAGCTCTTGTCCAGCGAATATACATAGTTCTTTGTTGAATTCCGCATCTAAAAAACTGGTAATTTCTTCCTTCCCAGCTGGAATCATGTCTGCCACGTGCCGAGCTGCTGGCTGGATACACTTCCCTGCTGGATGGCCACATAATCCACAGCGTCTGGCTGCAGATCGATCCGGAGCCTCAGAATAATCCCAGCGAGCTGAACGATCTGAATGGGAAGTCCCTCAGCATCGCCAGGGCCAAGAACTTCGAGTGCATCGTGCGGAATCTCAAGTCGCTCTTCGAGGAGGAGCTCGGCCAGACCATTCTGGTGCTGCCCGATGCCTTCACCCTGGGTCATCATCCGGAGACCAGAAATGGCCTAGATCAGATGAAAACCCTGCTCACCCTGCTCCTCGGCGCAGCGGTGCAATGTCCCAACAAGGAGCTGTTTATTGCCAGGATCAAGGAATTGGATTTAGAGACGCAGCACGCCATCGTGGCTCTGATCAAACAGGTCACCGATAGCCACAGTCTGGTGCTCACCGAGGATTCCCTGGAGCGACTGACCCCGCAGAGCATGTACACCCACATCCTGCGCCTGACCAAGGAGCGGGATCTCATGTATCTCAAGTGGATCGACTTGGCGTGCGTGGAAACCGAAATGGCAGTCAGCGATAATCTGGTGGAATGTGGCCAAGGTGTTGGTGTTCCACGTTCCCCTTCGAATGGCACCGCCACCTCAACTCCCTCATCGTCTTCCAACTCGGAGAGCAATCACCTGGCCGTGGAGTGTGCAGATCTTCGCTCCAAGAACCGCAAACTGCGTCAGGAACTGTAAGTTAAGGTGTTATTTACTTTCCTATGTGGTTATCTCAATTATCTACTACTCTTTTTAGTGAGGAAAAATCCGAGAATCTCTTGGAGCTGCGCGAGGAGCTCGATGACAAGAAGGCGCGCTTTGACAAACTGCGCCAGGAGAGCCAGGAATGGTTTACGGAGGCCAAGCGGGCCTCAGCATACCGGGATGAGGTGGATATCCTAAGGGAAAGGGCCGAAAGAGCCGATCGTCTTGAGATAGAGGTTCAAAAGTATCGCGAAAAGCTCGGCGACTCGGACTTTTATAAATCCCGCGTGGAAGAGCTGCGAGAGGATAACCGTGTGCTGCTGGAATCAAAGTATATTAATGAAAAATATATTAAATCTCTATTTAACTTACATTTTTTACCTTCCCAGAGAAATGTTAGAAGAGCAGCTGCAGCGCTACCGCAAAAGATCTGAGCACGCCATCTCCCTGGAGTCCGAAATCATCAAGTACAAGCAAAAGCTCAACGACATGGCCTTAGAAAGGGACGTAGATCGGTCCAAGCTAGAAGAGCTGCTGGAGGAGAATGCTCAACTGCAACTGGTGGCCAGGAATCTCAACTCAACGATGGATTTGGACAAATCCTTCTCGGAAAACGAAGATGATTGCAATTCGGGCGACAACAGCCTGTCCGAACAGCTAACGAATAATGCCCAAACCCGTGCACTCAAGCTGGAGCTAGAGAACCGTCGCTTGACTGCCGCTTTGGAGCAGCTAAAAGAGAGCAGCTTCCACGAGTCCACCAGCAAGTTGCTCGAGTTAGAGAAGGAGAAGAAAAAGCTCTCGCTGAAAACCGAGCAGATGCAAGAAAACATCCAAAGACTCACGCAGCAAAATGTCGAACTGGAGGGGGTCTTTAAGAACGCCCTGGAGGAGAACAAAAAGCTGCAGGATGCCGTGGACAGTCGCCAGAAGAGCTACGATCGTCAGAGTTTGGAGCGCGAGGCTGATCGTCAGAAGCTTTCGGATGCCGAGCAGCATGTGGAAACCCTAAACAAAGAAAAGCAACGCATCCAAACTTTAAACGACAGCATTCAGCGTAGAGCCGACGATCTGGAACGACTGGCGGAGAGCAAGGCAAAGGAACTGGAGCAATATGCGGAAAAATCCAAGCAATACGAGCAGACCAAACAGAAGCTCTACGAGATCGAGGCCAAGGTCTCCACGTTCGAGCGCGAGAATGCCAGTCTGCTCAAGGAGGTGTCCAAGCTGAAGGAGGGCAGCGAGCAGAAGTCTGTGCAGCTGGACGAGAGCATCAATCGACTGGAGGCACAGAGCAAGGAACTCCAGAAGCTGGGCAAGGCGCTCGAAGATTCCGAGCAAGTGCATCAGAAGTTTGTGGAACTGGAGAAGCAAAACCAAGAGCTGGCTTCGCAGCGCATTATTGACCAAGAGATGATAAGCACACTGCGCAACGACCTGGTCACTGGTACCCTAGTAACAAAGAAGGTGCGCCACAACCTGGAGAAACTTGGCCTGGCGGACGAGGAGCCGGGGGAGCTGAATGTAGAGCATGTGGTGGAGAAATTGGTGCGCAATCCGGAGACTTTCAAAACGGTGCGTGAGATCATGCTAAACGTGACCCGCGAGCAGCAGGCGGAGGAGGAGGAGCGCGAGGGCGGCGTCAAGTCGGACATGTGTGTGCTGTGCCACCGTCAGGAGATCTTCACGGTGGAGAAGAACATTGAACTCGCAGCTCTGGAGCCTCTGCCCCCCGCTCCTACGCAACCCTCTTCCCAGGAGCTGCGATTCGAGCACAAACTGCGAGTCAGTCCGGCACGAGAGTCCGCGGAGCTAAACCGCATCAAGGATTCCAACACACAGCTGCAGACGGAGAATGCTCGGCTCAGCGTGGATGTGGCTGCTCTGGGTTCGCAGATAACTTCTCTGAACACCCAGCATGTGGCTCTTCAGCTGGCCAACTCACAGTTGGCTGCGGAAAAAGACACTCTACTCAAGGACATCGATTCACTGCAGCAGGAGCACAAGCATGCGCTGCAGGATCAGGTGACTTTGCAGTGCCTGCACGATCAGCTCTCCGCGGAGTACGAATCGCTGAACAAGGACAAGGAGCAGCTGAAGGCAGCAGTGCGGGATTTGCGGCAGGAATTGCGCGATACCCGCGAACAGCAGACGGCACTGGAGCAGCGCATCGAGGAGCTGACCACGCAGAACAACAACATGAAGACCTGCAGCGAAGATCTGTCCATTCTGCGCACCGAGCACTCCAAGCTCACCGACGACTTCCGCAATCTCTTCGCCACCAGCGATCGCTTCAAGAACGAGTACAAGAACATCCAGGAGCAGTACAAGATGGTGCGCATGGAGCACTCGAGCCTCAAGCTGCAGAACACTGAACTCTCCGGCGAGCTGAACACCAAGAGCGATCAAGTGCGTCACCTGCAGGTGGAGTACAGCAAGGTGCAGCAGCGATGCGAGATGTTGATTCAGAACAATGCCGATTTGGATTCGGAGAGGAAAGCCTTAATGGACAATGTGTCCCAATTGCTCTCGCAGTATCAGGAACTTTTGGCCATTTCCCTGGAGGACAAGAAGCACTTCCACGAGGAGGAGAAGAACTACACGGAACGGGTGCACAGCCTAAAAAGGCAGAAGGAGAAGCTGGAGGAGAAGATCATGGAGCACTACAAGAAGTCTGAGACCACGGTGCATAAGAAGTAAATAACGAAGAATAAGGAGTTGAATTTGTATTAACTTGAGTATTTTAATCCACAGAAAACCCTTTGCCAGCATGCTGGTTAGAAGAGTGAAGAAGGCCAGCTCGGATCTGATGAACAAGGTGCCCAGTCGAGTAGGTTTGCTAGAAATTATTCCCAATTAATCTTAAATAACCTGGAATATTGTTTTTTAGAACCGTCGCTCCTGGGTGGATGATGCTCGCACCAATTCCCAGTTCGTCATCGGTTCCGAATCGGGCGGCAATGAGTCGGATAACAGCAACGAGGAGCCACTGTCCATTGCCTCCGACACGCACTTGCTGCAGCGGAATGTACCGCTCCGCCAGAGCCTGCAGCGGTGAGACATCCATCCATTATATAGATAGAAAATTCGGTTTGGGTTCATGGTTTCTGTTCTATTTACATGTATTATACACTCAACTCAACACACAACTCGCACCAAATAAAACAATGTATGTACTATATGTCCGAGTAGCGATTTGCTGGATAACTCGATCCAACGCGGCGGCGCCGTGCGCAGTAGCCTGCAGGCTCAGAAACGTACGGATTTGAATAACTCACGTAGAAATAGCGTGCACGGGTATGCGCTTTAGATGTTTAACAATCACTCCAAGCCCATTAAAACTTGCCAATTGAAACGAATTCGATCTATGGAATCAGTTGTCAAATGGCAACCACCTTTCCCTCTGCACAATGCGTGTTTGCATCCCTTTGTTGTCGCTCCTCACCTCTGTATTCAATATATATATTGTGATTTAATTACTGACTCATAAACCATTTGCTTCGCAGCAGTCTCGAAGCGCCAGACGTGACGGGCAGCAGTCTGACACTCGGCACAGCCGGCTCACGACGCACCGTTTATCTTATCGACGAGCACCAGAAGCTGCCCGATGGCTCCAGTCCCGGCTCCGCCCAGAACCAGCAGTCCGGTGGCAGCAGTGGCTCCGGCAATGCCGCAACGCCCACGCCCGCCGAACCCCAGACGCCTCAAAAGACTGCCGACAGCAGTGCTCCCACTGGGCCAGCCACGTTTCTCATGTACAACCGGATAAACACGACGATCGGCGGAGCATCGAACAGCGGCGATCAGAGCCCACTGCTGCAGGCCAGCGGCAGCGTCTCCGGCGGAACTCCTTTGCCAGATGACAAGTCCGCGAGGAAGCGGCCCGAGGACAAGAGCAACAGCATCTGGTATGAGTACGGCTGCGTCTAGAGATCCAACAACAATAAATCAAACAGTATACGTCCACACAACTTGAACTCGAATATAATGCATTTGCTGACGAAGTATTATTTCGTTTTAGAAATTAACGAATTTATTTTTAAACGCATTAGAACATCGATGTTGCCTTAAGCTAGTAGTTACAGATGTAAGATGTAAAGTGCTGCTTGAAACGCTATGATTTGCCTTAAGACATGTTTTACAATTAGATGTATAGTTTGTACCTATTTATGCAATTTATAAACTCCAGAAGACTACGCGACAACTGTGCGAACTCATATAACTATCCAGTATACACCCCTATATACACGAAAACTTTAAAGAAATATGTTAACAATTAGCTATACCGATGCCTCAATGTTACGTCCTAAGCGAAAGGCTTTTAATATTCGTTGATATATATATTTATATCCATCTGTTCATTTGGTGTCTTGTAAACTCGACTCGAATCTATGTATTCCTAACTATGTTGTAAACCAAACTCGTACTCTGCTAGCAGCTAACAAACGCGCCTTCAATTTGTGAATATATTTTTATATAAATTACTTGTAGCCTTGTACTATTTATTGACGCAAAGCCTAACACCGCAATAAAACTAAGCAAACAAACATACGTACAAATATCTCACTTTTTTGGGCAAGTCTCTAAAGATAACCAGAGAGATACATATAAGCTGATTCGTTCGTCCCCAGTATTTTAGAATGAAAAGCGACTGGAGACAAAAGAGATGTGGTGTTTAAAGGCCCTAGTATCACTGGTAAGTACTCTAAGCTGTGAAGATTTCTTTTTAATATTCGGTTGTTTTTAGCTCTTGGTCCAATATTTGGCGGCCACATGCGATGTGTGCCAAAGTGCGAGTAAAGTGGCTTGTCATAGTGAGACCACTTTTTCCATCTGCTATGACGGTGAGTGAGTTTGTCTACAAATAAGGGAATATTATTCATCAGTTATTTTATTTGCAGGAGTGCCATCTTATGATCTGCTGCCTTGTCCAAAGGATTATTATTGCACCGATGGTTTCTACACTTGTTATCTGAATGCCGATCCAGTCTGCAAGTCAGAGACCACAACCACGGAGATCCCAACTACTAGTACTACTGAGATTCCATCTACTACGACCACTGAGATCCCAACTACAACGACTACTACTGAAATTCCAACTACCACCACAACCACCGAAATTCCAACTACCACAACAACCTCTGAAATTCCAACTACTACAACAACCACTGAAATCCCAACAACCACCACAGAAGCTCCTTGGAATCCCGATGATCTCTGCCAGCAAGCCACTAAAAACACATTTTTTGAGAACGTAGATGATCCCACCTGCACCACGTAAATATCCTAAAAAGAAAGTATTACTTGGTGGTTAAACTTTAGTTATATCTTTCAGTTTTATAACCTGTTCAGTTGTTGATGGAATCCGTTCCACAAAAGTTACTTCATGCAAGGCCAATCAGTATTATAGTACTAGTTTGAAGGTTTGCACAGCCACAAAACCGGATGGATGTGTGGACACCACCACCACGGAGACGCCCTCAACCACTGTGACCACCACCACTGCAGCAACCACCACAACCACTGTGACCACAACAACTACAACCACAGCGGCACCCTGGAGTGCAGAAGCAACCTGCTTGACTGTCTCGAAAACCACATTGTTTAAAAACGAAGACGATCCAACCTGCAATTCGTATGTATAAATTTTGTGGATCCTTAAGAATAGCTAATAACAATAATTTCCAACCTTCTAGCTATCTATATTGCTATGTTTCTAGTTCTGGATCTGCTACTGCTTTAATAAAGAAGTGCAAATCAGACCAATATTTTGATGTCGAAGAAAAAGTGTGTTCTACCACCAAACCCGATTATTGCACCTAATTTAAGAACTGATAAGATCTGAAATCTTTAGGTTTGCATTATTGATATCAATAAAATAACCATAATATTTGATAACCGTTCTTGATATTGGTATCCTGTAATGTAAAAACCGATTTATTTTTTCAACCTCATTATTGCACATAGTTGTAGAAACAAAGACGATCCAACCTGTAACACTTACATATGTAAGAACAACTAATAATAATAATATCCAATCATCTAGCTATCTATATTGCCATGTTTCTAATGGATCAGCTACTGCTTTGATAAAGAGTTGCAAGGCAAACGATTACTTTGATGCCACAGAAAAAGTGTGTTCTGCCACCAAACCCGATTATTGCACCTAATTTAAGAACTAATAAGATCTGAAATCTTTTTATGAACATCATTGAACCAATAAAATAAAATAATAACCATAATGGGTGATATGTTATCACTAATAAAACTTTTGATATAGACGGGGCAGAGGTAAACCTTTTGGTATATAAGAACCTTTCGGGTTTCTCAAACTGGCAGTAAGCAAAAGACAGTTGATCATGTGGCTGCGACTTATTATTTCACTGGTAAGGAACTCCAAAATATTAATATTAATAAAAGTATTTCAAGACCCCTGGATTTTAGGTGCTGGTTCACTGCCTGCTGGCGATGCCAAGAAGTCCAGAGTCGGATGACCAGAGCTCGGACTCTTGGAGTTTGGAAACAGCCTGCCAGAATCTTACGAAAACCACCATAATGAAAAACCAAAATGATCCAACGTGTGCAAGGTAACCAAGTCAATTTAGGAGTTTTCCATTTCTGAACTAAATGATCTCAATCTTCTAGCTATGTATATTGCTATTTTGGATCTAATGGACCCCCTGTGCCTTTGGTAAAGACTTGCAAGTCAAACACCTACTTTGATGACACTATAAAAATATGCACCACTATTAAACCTGATTCGTGCACATCAGATAACCAGAACTCGGAATCTTGGAGTTTGGAAAAAGCCTTCCCGGATATTACAAAATACACCGTATTGGAAAACCAGGATGATCCAACGTGTACAAGGTGTGCAAGTTAGTTTAAGGGTTTTCACTACGTTAATAACGATCTGAGTTTTCAGCTATGCATATAGCTATGTTGGTAAGACCGATTACAGCATAAGCTTGAAGGTCTGTGTATCCACAAAGCCGAATGAATGTGAGGAGGCGGAGACACCCTCAACCATTGCGGCACCCTAATTTCAGAACTAATAAGATCTGAAATCTTTTGGTGTACATTATTGATACCAATAAAATAACCATAATATTTGATAACCGTATCCTGCAATATAAAAACCAATTTCTTTTTTCAACCTGATTATTGCACATAATTGTATAATTTCTAAGAATTGCAAAGATCTAATAAAAACACTTATAAATGATAACAATTTCATGATGAGTCATTGATTATGTGGGTGAGGTGATTCTCGAGATAATACGTTATATTATACTGATTGCTCAGCCAAAAAAGGTGTTTGGGGAACTAAGGTATTCGCTAAAACCAAGAAAACATTTACAATATTTAAAACATATAAATAAAACACCAGGAAGGAATCTTTTAATTCCATTAGATAAATCTGCATTTCCAAAACAACCAGATTATTGTTCTTGGCAACACTCAGAGTTTCCCCAGAAATTTGCACATATCTGGAGAAGTACGTAAACAAAAATAATATACATATGTACATTTATGGCTGACAAAATAAATTCATAAAAAGTACGCAATAAACATTAAATACATTTCCAAAGCGTACAGAGATAAACGATGCTATAGATTAAATTCTACCGGTATTTAAAGGCCCCTCGGATGCTTCAAGGTTTCAGTGTGAAAGCAAAGTGAAGCAAGGTTAAAACGACAATGTGGACGAGTCTTATTTTATCAATGGTAAGTTCGAAAGGACTACTGGTTGACTCCTGTAAATAATACCTATTATTCCTGAATAGCTTCTGCTGCATTGCCTGGTTGCATTGCCAGCTCCTGAACTAAAAGTCCTGGATTCCTGGAGTGCAGATACAGCCTGTCAGGAAGTGGATAAATCTGTGATGATTGAAAACCAAAACGATTCCACATGCACCACGTAAGCAGCTTTATAGATAATACCGATGACTAAGTCCTAAAGTGGAAATTTACTTTCAGTTTCGTATATTGCTATTTAACCAATGACTCAACGAGAGCTCTAATCAAAAGTTGTAAAAGTGGGCAATACTTTGATTCGAACCTTAAAGTCTGCAGTATTAATAAACCCGAAGGATGTGCATAAAAATAGCTAAGGCTATATGTAAATAGTTGAGACCTGCACGAGAAATGAATAATACTCATCGTGTAATAGATGTATTATAGTAAATTATTTTAATACTATTAAAATGGTAGTAAAACTTTCCGAAATTACTTAAGCAAACAGAGATTTTTAATATTATATCTCATTATAAAAAATTACAAATTTATAAATTTAATTCGAAATCTAGCAATTGCTTGGTCGAGTGGGTTGACAGGCCTCCGTATCTGAATTGTAGTATTGATTCGTGTTGCAGTAATACAGCCAACCCAGGTAATCCTGGCTCAGTTTATAGCAGTAGACATACCTATAAATTATAATGCATAAGGATAATTCAAAAGTATGATAATAATTATACTTACATTTGACACGTTGTATCTGTTTCAACTCGAAAGTAGCCTTTGCTCCTTAACTTAGCGCAATAGACGTTGGGATCTACTTCAGAAGACTCTGTAGTAGTACTTGGAGTGCTAGTGGACTCAGTAGTTGGTTCAGAAGTTGTGGGTAGAGTGCTAGAATCTGTTGTATTAGCAGGAGTGGTGGATTCGGTACTCGAATCTGTTGTAATAATAGATGTTGTGGAATCTGTACTGGATTCTGTAGTGATTACTGGTGTCGAAGTTTCGGTCACTGTAGACTCCGTGGTTTCTTGAGTACTGGAATCCGTGGTAAATATAGGAGTAGTAGAATCAGCAGTTATGGTAACTGGCGTGGTCGAACTTTCAGTCACTGTAGACTTGGTGGACTTTTGAGTACTGGAATCTGTTGTTATTTCAGAAGTAGTAGTATCCGTTGTTTCCCTTGTAGTCGATGCTGTGGTCACTGTAGACTCTGTGGTTTCTTGAGTACTCGAATCCGTTGTTATTTTGGAAGTAGTGGAATCTGAACTGATTTCAGAAGTAGTGGTTTCTGTAGATTCCGTAGTTTCCATTGTAGTACTTCCTGTGGTCACTGTGCTTTCCTGGGTACTCGAATCCGTTGTTATTCCAGAAGTAGTAGAATCCGAGGTTTCCGTAGACTCCGTCGTCTCCATTGTAGTGCTCTCTGTGGTCACTGTAGACTCTGTGGTTTCCAGGCTACTCGAATCGGTCGTCGAATCTTCCAGTTTAAAGTACAAGATAATTTAAAGTCCCCGGGCAATAAACCCATAAACATAAGTGTTATATGTATATTTACCAACCTGTTACCAAATCCGTTGTGGTCGTAGAAATATCAGTGACACAAGCCGGCTGTTAAAGAAGTTAAAGAAGTGTGAGATTTGGCACGTCTTTAGAAAGCTAACTAAATCTCACTTCCGCTGAATCCATGGTCGCACAGAATCCCGCCAGGACGCAGTAGTAGCCCTCCCGACAGTTTGTCACTGCACTTTCATCCACAGTTCCCTGACCGAAGCAAAGACCATAGGCAGTCTCATTTAAACAGGCGTATTGGTTATTTGTCGGGGAACAGTCGGAACAATAAGATTGTCCAAGAGTGCCATCTAACATCCAGTTGAGCAGTAAGATCTGGAAATAAATGTAAAATGGGTCACTTTCTTCGGGTTTACTATACTTTAGACTCACCTTAAGAGCTATATTTGCCAGCATGGTTTGTCTGTTTGGTGGGAAGAGCAACCTACGTGTGATGGCTGGCCAAGTGGCAATTCTCTTTATAGGAGCCTAAGCCCGGCCGCACCTTCAGTTAGCGTTTGCTTAGCGCCCATAAAAAGATAACTAGCCATTCTTATTACCCAAGGCTCCGAAAACTTTACAATGGCCATACAACACAATTCGGCACCGCTGCCAAAATGTACAAATAAGACTGGAACGCAGGTGTCTGCTGATCATTCGCCGAAGATCCGTAAAGTTGCGAAGATGTTAAAGTTCTTGGGTTTGGTGAGTTCTAAAGATTGTGATTATGTGATTATTATATAAAAATTAGGAAAGATTCATACCTAGTTTAAAATAAATAATATAAGATGATCAGATCAAAGGCGTACAATCTCCAAAAGAAATCCTAAATTGATAAATAACACTGTGCAGCATTTTTAGTGCTTTTTAAATTTACCTCGATGGATGCTATATTTTTGGATTCGTTACGAATTCCCAAGTTAAACTGCGTTTTCCAAAAAGTTCCCCGACGCAAGGATTCTTAGCAAAAGGACCTCAAAGTTCGAAAAATGCTGAAATTGGCCAACTTTGCGGAGCTCTCAGAGGCAAATGGATGCATGGTTTGATTCGATGTTAAAGTTTTTTAAAAGATACACCGTTTATCTTTTAAACCCCATACTTAAAAAATTTTTAAGATTTTTTTTTAAGGCAGAAACAAATTCTAGAAAACATAGTCAAAAAACATAAAAGTATACAGCTGCGGTCAAGATGGTAGTAGTGTTGCCGCCCTGTGTATTTAAAAGTTTGTTGTTGTAATTGATCTTTTCCTGGTAATATTGTATTGATTATAATTTTACTATTAGACTAATTGGATAAGAAATAATTACAACATCAAACTTTTAAAAACACAAGGCGGCGACACTGCTACTATTTTGACCGCAGCTGTATGTTTTTCAGTTTTTTGACTATGTTTTTTGGAATTTATTTCTGCCTTAAAAAAAATCCTAAAATTATTTTATGTATGGGGTTTGAAAGATAAAGGGTGTATCTTTTAAAAAACTTTAACTTCGAACCAAGCCATGCATCCATTTGCCTCTGAGAGCTCCGCAAAGTTGGCCAATTTCAGCATTTTTCGAACTTTGAGGTCCTTTTGCTAAGAATCCTTGCGTCGGGGAACTCTTTGGAAAACGCAGTTTAACTTGGGAATTCGTAATGAATCCAAAAATATAGCACTCATCGAGGTTAATTTTGGATGCTACATAGTGTAATTAATCCCAAAAAGTTCTTTAAAAAATTTGCGAAGATGTAAAAGTTCTTGGTTTTGGTGAGTTCTTACAATTAATCTTCTATTCAATTAAATTTTTTTTTAGGAAATGTGGGTACACTTATAATTATGGCGCTCTTCACTATTTGTTGCATGTAGAACATTATTTTAAGAGCTATTAACTTATAACTGATAACTAAACGTCGGATTTTAGGTTTTTTTTTTTTTTTTAGTGTAACTCATATAATTTTACATTGATCATCCAAATTAATGGCTATAAAACGTATAGTACAAATAGGAACAAATAACTTGATAACTATTTAACGGATTCAACTTTATAATTCCAATAAATCCCCGCATATATTTCCAGTTTGCCTTGGTAGGTCTACCAATCGTTTGGATCCAGGCAGACTGTAATGTTTGCCAAACAAACGGAGCCTCCTGCATCAATCAAACAGCGTATAACTTGTGCTTCGGCGGCTCCGAACCGAATACCAATCAGACCTTCGTCTGCACCGATGGCCTGGTGTGCACGGATCAGCCGGTGATCTGCTTCCAGCGGAGCGAGAACCCCGCCAGCTGCGGCGACACGGACAGCTGTGGCCAGTGTGGTCCCAACTACACCTTCACCTGCACCTCGCTGAACACATTCGCCTTTTGCTTCGGCGCCCTAACGCCCACAAATGTCACGGGAAGCTGTCCGGATGGCTACTTCTGCGACGCCTCCACACAGGAGATCTGCGTGACGAAGACCACTGATGATTCCATCATCTGCCACATTAACTAACAGAGCTTTAATATAGGCAAACGTTTAGAAAGACCATTAAATCGTATGCAAATTTTATTCCTCTTTGTATTTATTTTCCAACTTCTTAAAATAATTTCGTAATACAATTTCAATTTTCAACTTACAATTTTCAAACTTCTTATAATATTTTCGTAATACAATTACAAAGTAGTATTAGAAAGAATGAAATAACTGACACATTCAAGAAACAACCATTGTTACTCAAATTAACATACAATTTTTGTAAATTGACGAAAATTCAATATAAACTTTGGACAGTGGGAACACTTATTCTCCGGTGTGAGTTCGCAAGTGAGCAGATAGTATTGTAGATCGAGAAAAAGACTTTGGACAATGGGAACACGTAAACGGTCGTTCTCCTGTGTGGGTTCGCAAGTGCTTAGACAGACCTGAAGAATGTGTAAATGACTTTGGACAATGGGAACACTTGAATGGTCGTTCTCCTGTGTGGGTTCGAAAGTGGATCTTTAGACTTGAAGAAACAGTATAGGACTTCGGACATTGGGTACACTTAAATGGTCGTTCTCCAGTGTGAGTTTGCAAGTGGCGACGAAGAGTGCATCTACGTGCGTATGTTTTAAAGCAATGATCACACTTGAACGGTCGTACTCCTGTGTGAACTAGCAAGTGGCTCTGTAGACGTGAAGAAGTAGTAAAAGACTTTGCACATTGGGAACACTTAAAGGGTCGTTCTCCTGTGTGGTTTCGCAAGTGCAAAGTCAGAGAAAAAAATATTGTAAATGACTTTGGACACTGAGAACACTTGAAGGGTCGTTCTCCTGTGTGAATTCGCAAGTGCACTTTTAGATTTGAAGAAGTCGTAAAAGACTTTGGACAGTGAGAACACTTGAAGGGTCGTTCTCGTGCGTGAGTGCGCAAGTGAACACGAAAATCGTATTTATGTAAGTATGTCCTTGAGCAATGTTTACACTTGAACGGTCGTTCTCCGCTGTGAACTGACAAGTGGCTCTTTAGACCTGAAGAACGAGTATAAGACTTTGGACATTTAGAGCACTTGAAGGGTCGTTCTCCTGTGTGAGTTCGCAAGTGTCCTCGAAGACTTGCTTTAGTTGTTAAAATCCGTGCGCATTGTAAACACTGCAATGGGTTTTCCCCTAAGCCCATTTGCTCTAAATCTTCTTCAGAGCTCTCCATCCTATCTTCGGAATCGGTCTGATCTATTTCGAGTGTTTTTTCTTGGCGATTGTCTCCAATTAATTTATCTTTTTCGGTTGTCACTTCCTCAGAGCAATAGGATCCTTCATTATCGCATTCTCCCTCCTTTATTTCTTTGAAGAAGCAGAAGAAGTGGTAGCTTCTTTCGTACCTTTCAATAATATCGAATGCATTCTGGGCATCCTGCAGGCAGGCTGAGCAAATGGTTTTGGGTAGAAGATCGTCTGTTTCCACTTTACAACCGGTGCACTGAGAAATCATGTTTGCAATGGAAATCCCCGATTCGTGTTTCGAATCGAATATATTGACCATATTTTCGGCAGGTATTAGACAGGCACGACATATTGAAGACTCCATGATCTGAAATTATAAACCCATGATTTATAAATTAACAAGAGAGAACGCTATAGTCGGGTGCCCCGACTATCAGATACCCGTTACTCATAAAAACTTTGATCCGCCGTAACTTTTTAACGAATGGTCCGATTAAAAAAATGCCTTTTACATTTCGATAGGTATTCATAAACATAATAAAACTGCATTTTTACTTTTCCGAAATATTAAAATTTTTAAACAACTTTTGTTACTAGTAGGATATCTTCTGGTTGCACGATAATATAATACAATACAATAAGCAATTATTAGGGTCTTAGGCTCTACCCTATCTATCAGATATTATATCAGATATATAAGTAAAAGTATACCAAATAATAGAAACCTGACACAGGTAATTGGCGTCTTTGGAAATTCGATAATCTCCACTCTTTAAGGGATTTTGTGGGTTGAAGAAAGGGTTATTCCTTGTGGTTAATACCAGGTAGTATACGGACTATAATCGGTTATATATACATATATATAATAACATCCTTAACAATAATTACCTGACAGAGGGACTTTGTATAATCCGTATTCTTATCTTTTAAGTAGGTACCAACTTCGAGCAATGTTTCAGGGCATCTACAACACGTTAAGTTGCAAAAATTAATCTGAAAAAACAGAATCATTGTTTAGACTTACATATACAAATATATAATTAAGAAAGGCTTGGATTAGTTGCATAATTAGTTTATGATATGACGACGAAATTACTCGAAAATGAATGCTTTTTGATAATTGAATTTCTTATTGATAAAATTTCATAGGTCACAAAATATTCTATCGCCTATCTACCTATATATATATATCGATTGCCGCCAATTGGGCAAATTTATTTAAACAATTACCTTTTGAGTGGTTTAATATTGCGTAATAATCGGTAATAAATTAAATTCATTCTCAAATCTTGTTGGTATTTATTTTCCAAATTCTTATCCTATTTTTGTAATACAAATTTAAAGTAACATCAAAATTGGTAATGGTCGTTAATTATTATAATCATAATATATAAAGCCAAAATTAAACAACATTTGTTAGTTAAACTAACAGGCAATTGAGAAGATTCATTTTTCCAAATAAGCAATTTAACTGGATGACAAAAGTTGACCCGACATTAAGAAATCGGATTTTCTCATTTGTGGGTTCGCAAGTGTTCAGTTAGAGATGCGGATCGAGTAAAGGACTTGGGACAGTGGGAACACTTAAATGGGCGTTCTCCAGTGTGTGTTCGCAAGTGGGCCTTTAGAACTGAATTATGAGTAAAAGACTGCAGACATTGGGAACACTTAAAGGGTCGTTCTCCTGTGTGAGTTCGCAAGTGATTAGACAGACTTGAAGATTGAGCAAAAGACTTTGGACACTGAGAACACTTGAAGGGTCGTTCTCCTGTGTGAATTCGCAAGTGCACAATTAGATTTGAAGAAGTCGTAAAAGACTTTGGACAGTGAGAACACTTGAAGGGTCGTTCTCCTGTGTGAGTGCGCAAGTGAACACGAAAATCGGATCTATATACGTATGTCGTTGAGCAATGTTTACACTTGAACGGTCGTTCTCCGCTGTGAACTGGCAAGTGGTTCTTTAGACCTGAAGAACGAGTATAAGACTTTGGACATTTAGAGCACTTGAAGGGTCGTTCTCCTGTGTGAGTTCGCAAGTGTCCTTGAAGATTTTCTTTAGATGTTAAAATCCTTGAGCATTGTAAACACTGAAATGGATTTTCCCGTAAAACCATTTGCTCTAAATCTTCTTCAGAGCTCTCCATCCCAGCTTCGGAATCGGTCTGATCTATTTCGCATGTTTTTGTTTGACCATTGTCTCCAATTGATTCGACTTCTTTTGGTGTGTCTTCCTCAGAGCAATAGGATCCTTCATTATCGCGTTCCTCCTCCCTTAATTCTCTAAAGTAGCAGAAGAAGTGGTGGCTTCTTTCGTACGTTTCAATAATATCGAATGCATTCTGGGCATCCTGCAGGCAGACTGAGCAAATGGTTTTGGGTAGAAGATCGTCTTTTTCCACTTTACAGCCGGTGCACTGAGAAATCATGTTTGCAATGGAAATCCCCGATTCGTGTTTGGCATCGTAAATATTGACCATATTTTCGTCAGATAACAGACAAGCACGACATATTGAAGACTCCATGATCTGAAATGATAAAATGATGGGTAACTTTCAGCGATAAATGTAAAATAATTCATAATACGTACCCTTTTAATGTTATTAAGCAAAGGTGCCTGCTTACACTTATTTTTAGTAGAATATCTTCTGCTAACGTCGATAATATAACACAAAACAAATTGGTCTGCGGAGACCCGAACAAGTAAAGAATAATTTTCGATCTGACTGTAATAGTTGTGGCGACGACTTTATATTTCCTGTGAGATATAAATGAAAAAGGATACTAAATAATAGTAGCCTGAGCCAGGTACTTTGGAAAGTGGAAAATCTTATGTTTCCAAATATTCTGATCAAAGTAATACATGATCCTTAAGGGATTTCCTTGCGGCTTATACCAGGTAGTACACGTGTTCTAATCGGTTATACATATATGCAATAGTATCGTAAACAATAATTACCTGAACGATATATTTGTAAAAGTTTCCCAAATAATAATGACCTGACACAGGTACTTGTTGCCTTTAGAAAGTCCGCAATCTTTTGTTTTACAAAGGTACCAACTTCGAGAAATCCAGTTGGAAGCAAAAAGGAATCTGAAAGAGAAGCGGTGGTTAGACTTATACCCTTGAAATGTGTTTGTTTTTAAAGATTGCATATTTTATTTAAGTCCTTACTGATAGGACGATACACGAAACACTTAAAGGATAGGAAACTAAAATTCTAAATTTTAAATTTACTATCGAGCCCGCTAAAAACGTACTCAATAGTAAACATAGGTCGATTAAAATCACTAATTAAAGTTCTTAAATAATTTTTAAATGATTAGTACTACAGCTAATTTGCAAAAGCAAGCCTAAAGATCGAGAAACTCGTCGGCATTATCCGTTTTCTTCTTCTCCAGCCAGGAGCGGGCAGTTCGTAGCGAGGGCAGCCGGAAGCGCCACTCGTCGCAGCAGTACTTGTACACCTCGTCGCCCAGTTGCAGCAGCTCGGTGGCGAACTCCCGCTCGTCATCCTTCCAGGTGCGATCCTCGGAACCGCCGAACATTTCCATGCGCAGCAGGGCGGCCATTGTGGGTCCCAGGTACTTCTTGATGGCCATGTACAGCTGTGGTTTGCCCAGTGAGTTGGAGGCGGGTTTGGGAGCCTTCGGCTGTTCTGCCTGCAGTCGTTTTAGCTTGGCATTTTCCTCTGAGAGTCTATCAAACTCTGCCTGTAGTTTGTTATAATCCTGAAGGAGTTTCTCATGGAGGGCGTCTTCGGAAGAAGATGGTTTTTCAGTTGGCTCTGAGTCACTACTACTCTGACTATCCATATTCTCTTCGTCGTTCAAGAAACCTGGGGATTCGGAATGCACAGTGGGCTTCTCTTGGCTGGGATTCTGCTTAAAGTGGCTGGATTGTGTGGGCTTCTCTAATTGTGGAGCCTTTTGCGTTTGTCTCTTTACATTCTCTTGCAAATTCTTCCCAATTTGAACAGGGTTTTCAGTCTTTTGTTCTTGTATCTTCCTTCTCTTGGCCTGATCCTTCGTAGGTTGCTTCTCTTCCTCCAGCTTTCTGATCTCTGGTTTATTACTACTTGTTTCGGCCTCATTGGTCACCATCTGCCTTTTGGTTGAATCTCCAGTCTGCTCCTTGGCCGTTTGTTCTTCATTGGCAGCCATTCTCTGAATCTCCACAGGCCTTTGAATCAATTTAATGCCCAGCGAAGGCTGCAGTTGACTCATTATATCCAGAATATTTTGAGGCACCGCTGCCTTCTCCTTGGCCACAGGCGACTGCTCCTGCTCCGAATTTATCAAAAGATCGATTTCTGGAGCTTCGTCTTCCGATGGTGGCTGTTCCTCCGCCTCAGTTTGAGTTTCCTGTGGTTTCTCCAGTCTCTGCCCACCATCATCATCATCATGATCTTCCCCATCGCCGTCCACGAAGCCCAGGGGACACTCGAAATCCTTGGGCGGTATAAGATGCGGCTGCGTTGGAGGCTTCAGCTTCACCAGAAGTGCCTCGCCGTTCTGGTCGAGATTCCCAAAATCCAGGGCCAGATCCCTGTTGATCCTCAGCAAGGTGGGCGTCTGCTTGGGAATCAGCCTGTCCATTTTGTAGTTCATGAAGGATTCCGCTCGAAAGTGCCGGGCACACACGGTCCGCGTGGAAAGTTTGGTAGTGGACGCATTTGAAATATCTGGATTTGCACAGTTCTTGACCCAATCCTTTAACCTACTGGGGTCCTTGGCCGGGAACTTGAAGAAGTGCATGCTGGGGTTGCGGCCGGAATTTACACGACAATCGCGAAAACAACATTTAGTGCCGCCCATAGTTTCTTAAATAAATAAATAATGTAAGGACCAAACAAATCTCAGGGACTTGGCCGCCAAGCACGCTTATAAGGTACTCACCGGCTAATTAAGGATTATTCGGAATAGGAGTACGCCAACTTTGTTGCAGAAAAGCCAATGTGAACTCTTTCGTGCAATCATAGAAAAACCATGGCTCTCAGAATTAAATAAATTTAAAAATTTAAAAACTAATGTAGTTTATTTTAGTAAACCTATCGGTAGTTATCGAATATATAATGTGATTTATATATTCCTCTAAAAAATACCAAAAAACAACAATGCACCAGAGTGACCGCCAACTTTTGCTTTCTCCCTAAAAATTCCAGTTTTCCGCCTAAATTCAAAAAATCAGTTAATTTCGAACATGTAAGTAATATCTCAATCAAAATTTTTAAGAATTTTAAACAGCAAATAATATAAAAATGAAATTATAAAAAAATTATATTGAAACTTGCCTATTCTAAGATATGCATGAACTAAGAACTCTTTGCAGGTTTTTTGATTTTCAAAAACGTAAGCGAACCAGATTCATATATTTTATAAAATCAGTATTATAATCAAGAATACAAACCAATTTAACTTTATATTGTTTATAAAGAATAAATGTAAAAAATATTAGTATTAAGTATAAATAGTTGAAAAAGCTGTTTTAAAATTTAATCAAAAATTTAATTTAATTAATTTAAATAAAATACAAAGGAACATCGGAAGGTAAGCATAGTAGGCTTATGATAGCCAATAATACTAGTAAACCCAATCCCAGTGGGCTGTGCTCAACCTTTCGGACTATCCAAGGGAACCCCAACCTCACCCCGGTCAGTACAATTTTTGAATCCGCCCGCACAGGTTGCGCTCTTTTCGAACGTCTAACAACAATTAGCCGAACTGATTTCCAAAAAATTTAAAAACACAAAACCCCAAAAAAGAGGTTCAATTTCCCGCTTATCAGAGTTCGGAACCAATGTTTTGGTTTGGTAAAAAAATTTAAAAAAAGAGTTGCCAGATCATTTTTACGACGGAACAGGAATTTTGAAGTTTTTTTCTTCGAATTTGCGCGGTTTTTTATGGATTTTTTAGTATATTTTTGACGTTTGGTATTTCTCGTTTGGTGCGGCGCGGTCACATTTCAACCGGATTTTCCATCCCTGAAAAAAAAACTTTTCTAGAAATTTCGAGAAGCGTCTAGAATTTTCGCGGCTGGGGTGGTTTTTTCTATAAAAGCGGCAGCGCGTCGAACCGGCATTCGAGTCTTGAAAAAATTTCGTGCGGTGTGCGTCGCAGCGTCTGAAAAGTTTTGTGAATTTCCCATTCTACACAAAGCGAAGTGAAAATATCTACATTTTTTCCTTTATTCTGTGAATAGAACGAAAAACATACAAGCAAGGTGAGTAATGCCGAAAAAGAGTGAATAATTTATTTATCAACGGGAATGGCCGAAATGTGCAATTGCTTGGGGTTGTGCATCTCGAATGTTCTTGACCCAAATGCGGAATATCGATTTTAAAGTTCTAGAAACCAAGTGATGCAAGATGTTTTTCACTTTTAATTGAATACGCGATTCTTTTATTGCTTAAATCATTTTTGCCGCTTTTTTTAAGGGTGACTCAACAACGTGCACAGAGTCGCCGAAAAAATGCCGGTTATTTTTTTTGCCAGAGAAACTTCTAGACTTTCTTCTCCAAGCGCATGAATTAAACAGTATTCAAAATGGGCTGTTTAATTATAAATTCCTTTCCTTAATTAACCCTTACACGTGCTTTCCTTGCATTTGCATTTTATACTTTGCACATACACCAATACCTGCAAATAAAAAAGTGGCGTCAGTTGGTGAAAAATCTTGATAACATCGTGGTTTTCATGTTTTTGTTCCATTTTCATAATGGTTGCCAGGGAGATTAGTAATTCTTGGCTTTCTAGATGTTTCCAATTACTAACTTGGTTATGTACGAATTTTCAATGTGCATTGGTCATATATACACATACATACTTGCGTTCGCAGACACGTGCAGATACAGTGGGGGTAGGAAGAATAGCAATCTATTTTATTAATTTTAAGATAAATAATTGTTTTGTGTTAAACGTATTATTTTTTTTGAGGATTTGCGACATAGAAGTTTCTAGTACACAAAGAAGGCTAATTAAATATATTTTTTCAACTTAAAGCCTAGTACTCACTTAAATTAAAAAGGCAACGAAACGAAAATTTCCATACAAAAATGACAGGCGGAAAATTTCATGATCAAAATTTTGTATGGAGATTTTCATTTCGTAGGCTTTTCGATTGAAGTGAGTAATAGGCCTAAAGAAATTAAAGACCCCTGAAAAAAGTATATATTTCAAATTTATCTCTTAAAAATTTTATTTATGTTAATTATACTTCATGTTCAAAGTAATACTTTGAGTGCTATTACTTTGACCCCCACTGTGTTTGTATATGCGCATGTTAAATAAGCCATGCGGTGGTGCAAAAGAGAGAGGAGGGAGAAAGAGAACAAAACGGAGGGCAGCTGCTGAAAAATGCAGCTGCTTCTCTTCCATTTTCCACCCACCAACTTATCCATTCCAATCCCTTCCAGATGCCGGAAGAAGCAGAGACCTTCGCCTTCCAGGCTGAGATCGCTCAGCTGATGTCGCTGATCATCAACACATTCTACTCGAACAAGGAGATCTTCCTGCGCGAGTTGATCTCGAACGCCTCCGATGCTTTGGACAAGATCCGCTACGAGTCGCTGACGGATCCCAGCAAGCTGGACTCCGGCAAGGAGCTGTACATCAAGCTGATCCCGAACAAGACGGCCGGCACTTTGACCCTCATCGATACCGGCATCGGCATGACCAAGTCCGATTTGGTCAACAACCTGGGTACCATCGCCAAGTCGGGAACCAAGGCCTTCATGGAGGCCCTGCAGGCCGGTGCCGATATCTCCATGATCGGTCAGTTCGGTGTGGGTTTCTACTCCGCCTACTTGGTCGCCGACAAGGTGACCGTCACCTCGAAGAACAACGATGACGAGCAGTATGTGTGGGAGTCCTCTGCCGGTGGCTCCTTCACCGTGCGTGCCGACAACTCCGAGCCCCTCGGACGCGGCACCAAGATCGTGCTGCACATCAAGGAGGACCAGACCGACTATCTGGAGGAGAGCAAGATCAAGGAGATCGTGAACAAGCACTCGCAGTTCATTGGCTACCCCATCAAGCTGCTCGTCGAGAAGGAGCGCGAGAAGGAGGTGAGCGACGATGAGGCCGATGATGAGGAGAAGAAGGGCGACGAGGAGAAGAAGGAGATGGACACCGATGAGCCCAAGATCGAGGATGTCGGCGAGGATGAGGATGCCGACAAGAAGGACAAGGATGGCAAGAAGAAGAAGACCATCAAGGAGAAGTACACCGAGGACGAGGAGCTGAACAAGACCAAGCCCATCTGGACTCGCAACCCGGATGATATCTCCCAGGAGGAGTACGGCGAGTTCTACAAGTCGCTGACCAACGACTGGGAGGATCATCTGGCCGTCAAGCACTTCTCGGTGGAGGGACAGCTGGAGTTCCGTGCCCTGCTCTTCATTCCCCGTCGCACGCCCTTCGATCTCTTCGAGAACCAGAAGAAGCGCAACAACATCAAGCTCTACGTGCGTCGCGTCTTCATCATGGACAACTGCGAGGATCTCATCCCGGAGTACCTCAACTTTGTCAAGGGCGTCGTCGATTCCGAGGATCTGCCGCTGAACATCTCGCGTGAGATGCTGCAGCAGAACAAGGTGCTGAAGGTGATCCGCAAGAACCTGGTCAAGAAGACCATGGAGCTGATCGAGGAGCTCACCGAGGACAAGGAGAACTACAAGAAGTTCTACGACCAGTTCAGCAAGAACTTGAAACTGGGTGTCCACGAGGACAGCAACAATCGCGCCAAGTTGGCCGACTTCCTGCGCTTCCACACCTCCGCCTCCGGCGATGACTTCTGCTCCCTGTCCGACTACGTGTCGCGCATGAAGGAGAGCCAGAAGCACATCTACTTCATCACCGGCGAGTCCAAGGATCAGGTCAGCAACTCGGCCTTCGTGGAGCGCGTCAAGGTGCGCGGCTTCGAGGTGGTCTACATGACCGAGCCCATCGATGAGTATGTCATCCAACATCTGAAGGAGTACAAGGGCAAGCAGCTGGTCTCGGTGACCAAGGAGGGTCTGGAGCTGCCCGAGGATGAGGATGAGAAGAAGAAGCGCGAGGAGGACAAGGCCAAATTCGAGGCTTTGTGCAAGCTGATGAAGTCCATTCTGGACAACAAGGTCGAGAAGGTTGTGGTCTCCAACCGTCTGGTTGATTCACCCTGCTGCATTGTCACCTCGCAGTTCGGTTGGTCCGCCAACATGGAGCGCATCATGAAGGCCCAGGCTCTGCGCGATACCGCCACCATGGGCTACATGGCTGGCAAGAAGCAGCTGGAGATCAATCCCGATCACCCGATCGTCGAGACTCTGCGCCAGAAGGCCGATGCCGATAAGAACGACAAGGCCGTGAAGGATCTGGTCATCCTGCTGTTCGAGACCTCGCTGCTCTCCTCCGGATTCTCGCTGGACAGCCCCCAGGTGCACGCCAGCCGCATCTACCGCATGATCAAGCTGGGCCTGGGCATCGACGAGGACGAGCCCATGACCACCGAGGACGCGCAGAGCGCCGGAGATGCCCCCTCGCTGGTTGAGGACACCGAGGACGCTTCCCACATGGAGGAGGTCGATTAAGCGAATCGCTAAACTCAAACAAACCAAACAAAATTCATTCTATCACTCGCATTCTCACATACACAATTTACTTGCGTTTCGAACTTTTGTACTTAGTTTACTACCGCCGAGTTAAATTTTGTATACCCATTAACATTTTGCCGCGTTGTAAGCGACAAAAACAAACATACGCTTAACTCATTATATAAACAAAGCAGAATAGGTTCCCGCAAAACATTCAAAAGCAGTTGTCGTCTTAAGAACTTCTAATTTAGAATCCAAGTAATTTATGTATAAAAACTAAAGACTACATACGCTACATAGCTATATAAAGAGTGGAGTAAATGTATAATTAAGGTTTGATGACCCGATCGATGATAAACATAAAAAAACCAACCAAATAAACAAGCAAATGTGTTTTAAAATCCAAATTTATAAAAGAGTGTTTATTGGGGAAGGAAATAGGAGATCTATGACTCCGATTCTTTGCGGAGCAGCTGCTCAATGGCCTCCACTGTAGATGCTCCCTTGCTGATCAGGATTATCTTGTTGCGGGAACGGGATCCCTTGTCCAAAGAAACATCGCTCTTGCGCAGACCGAGAACCTTGGAGAGGAACTTGACCAGCTCCGCGTTGGCTTCTCCTTCGCTGGGCGGAGCGGCTATTTGGACGCCCACGCCCTCGAGTTCAATGCCCGTGATTCCATTGTGCTTGGCACCCGGCTTGGCCAGAATTTGTATGCAAATATTGCCACTTTTGTCCACTGTAATCGGGTTGGTTTCCTTTGCCGGCGTGGATTTCGCACTGTCAGCCGAGGCCTTCGATTTCCCCTTGTTCTTCGACATTATTTGGGCGTTGACCGATGTAAACAAGCGGCGCATGAACTTTGCGTTAATTATTTTATTTAATTTATAAATTTAAATGCATTTTAATGGGAATTTTTAGCTTATTTCGCGTTGTCTTGGGCGTCAATCAGCTGTTTTATGGGTAAATCCAGGGATGAAGTAAATGTAGGGATGGGCGTGATTCGTGAGTGAGAAAACCAGTATTTCAATAACGGTTTTTTATTTATTAATTTAAAAATGGTAAGAATTAGAAATTCCTTAAATTAAATTCTACGCTATTGTTTTACTGCTGTAATAATTTTTTAAAATCCGAATATTAGGTAAAATTATATTTTTTTTATTTCATAATTCTTACAGTGACTTTATTTTAAGATCCAATACCCACATGAAATCCCCAACAAATTAAAACCAATCTGTTTTAGGTAAAAAATTATCATATATTCATCATTGTTATGTACTCATAGTTTCTCCTCTACTCGTCTTTGCATTAGAAAACAACGCTTTAACACTTTGCACTATTTAAAACTGCATCGAGAAGCATCTTAAAAATGCATTTATCGCCTATAAAATGATCAGGATCATAATCAGTTGATTTTTTTTTGTGAGTGTCTAGGAGAGAATTGCAGGAATGCACATTGCAGAGCTTACAGTTAAATTAATTAATGCAAAATGCGGTAAAATGGACTTAAATTTTGTATGTGTTTTTATAAGAGTAGATATTGCAGACACGAAAATAAAGCCAATCTATTTTGGGTTCTTCTCTGGTTGCACATATTTTCCGGTATTAGAGCTAGGAAGGGGGTGTTCTGGAAAGGCTATAGGAGTAGCAAGTGGAGGTTCCGGAAGGGTCTATTATCTTCCTCCAGATGCGGCTGCTTTAGATTGTGTGTTATGAAGAGGGGGTTTCGATTCCTTCCTTACGCTGCGCGAATCGACTGAATGATCTGGAAAATGGCCGAGCCGCAGACCACAAAGATGAAGAGCGCCAGGAGCCAGGGACCCACGGGATACTGGCCCTCTTTCGTTTTCTGTAAAGATAGGGAATTCGAGATTAGCCTTGACTTGTGACTTTTTCGGATGGTGAATATATGGTATATTGCAGTTAGAGATTAGTGGAAAACGTCTAATCAAAATTTCCAGAAGTGCCGATAACACACACACACATGACCAGCTTCCTCACACGCACGCACGCACATACATACATGCATTACCAATAATAAAATCAATGACGGCGTGGCACTTTTGGCCATTGATTATCGGCTAATTGGAATCCAACTTTCAGTGTTATCTTTGCTTTCCCTTAAACATACATGTTTTTACTACCATTTTCAGGCGAAACTCACCGAGGATTTGGGTACGTTGCCACGCATTGTCACATATTTGCTGGCCTTCTCGTTGGCGACGCGCATTCTCTGTGGAGGAGCCATTTTTCTGTGTTGTTGTGAAGCACACGTCGCACTGGAAGACACAAAGGAATCGCAATTGAGGATTAATTAATTGCCAATTGTTCGAGCTGCAGCTCGCGTGCAGTTGACCACTTTAAATGGCACAAGCTGTTGGTTCTAAATGGGTCTTTTTCGGAGAACACTCGTACCTCTCAGCCCAAAAATAACAAAACGAATGAGAAAGCGAACGACACGACACGTATACTGCCAGGGATGCAAAACCAGGGCGGCGAGTGTAACTGTCAGGGATGCAGAAAGCCGTTAGGTGAAGTTTGACTTTGATTAAAAAAAAATTGTATATGTTTTAAAAAACATTTTTATACAAATAATTTTGCTACTCCAGGCTTCAGGAACAACTCAACTGGTTTTGAACCATAAACGAAAAGTAAAACCCAAATTATGATTATATTATTGATTATATTGATTTTGTTAAATAAATAATTCCACCAATACTGGAATTATTACGAAATATAGAATTCCTGGGTAATGTGATTTAATATTTTAAGTAAATGTTTTTATAAAGTCACTTATTACAAATTTAATTTTTCAAAATAATCATACTTTTAAAAATAAATTAATATTATTTTTTTGCCGAATTTATTTATTTAGTTTTTAAATTATCCTACTCTTAAAAATAAATTAATCCTATTTTTTAGCCATATTTATTTATTTATTCTTCTAGCTACTTAACTAGCTATTTTCAACCGTTATTTAGAGTGCGTCGCACGGTCATACTAGTGTGACCGTGCCACACTCCGACCGACACCCGAGGACAACGTAGCGTAGCTGGAGAAGATCATCAATTGCAGCACAGGAGCAGGAGCAGGAGAGGAGTGGCCGTTGGGTGACGCACTGAATCGATCTCTCACAATACTGAGCAGGAGGAGCAGCAGGAGCAGCGGCCGCAGCCATGACAATGGACGCCACCGCCCTGCCGTCGGAGCTGCTCGTGACCCCGCAGCCGCTGATTGGCTTCTGCGGACTGGACACCGCCCGGTTGGCGGTGCACAAGGCCGTTTGGGAGGCCTTCAGCGGCAGTCTGCAGCGCAAGGCCGCCGATAGGGCGGCGGTGCAGTACAAGCTCCTGCCGCCCAACTACGAGTTTCCCGTCGCGAAGCCGAAGAGGGCCTCCTACGAGTGGTACCACCCGAAGGGCATACTCAAGCGCAACTGGATGCTTAAGCACCTGCACGTGCTGCCCTCGGTGGTGGTGCTGTTCCAGGACATGGAGTGGAACGACCTCCAGTGGACGGAGAAGCAGGTGCAGTGTGCGGGAATCGTTCAGGCCCTAAAGAATTCCCTGCAAGAGCGGAATACCCGGCTGTGCCTGGTGCTGCTGCAGAAGGCAGCTCCTCTGCCACCGGGCGAGGATCTCCTGGCCGCCGAGCGAGCCGCCAGTCTGACCAACGCCTGTGGCATAACCAGCAAGATGCTCTTCATACTCCCGCACACGGAGCATTTGACGGGCTACGCATTGCGTTTGGAGTCCGCCTTCCTGGACATGGCTCAGTCCTACTACGCCCTCATGTCAAAAAGGATACGCAACCATCGGGATCAGCTGACGGCGGCGCACACCTCGCTGAAGATTCGCCACCAATTCAAGCTGGGATTCGTGGCGGAGATGCGGCAGGACTTTAGCACGGCTCAAAAGTGGGTAATCCTTGTTTTTGCTATTGTTCAATAGCTAATCCTCTATTCTTTCGTAGGCACTATTTCCAGGCCTATGCCAATTTGGATGAGATACGCATAAATGATGGCAATTGCCTGGAGATTAAAACTCTGGCCGGGTTTCTGAACTACAAGATCTGCCGTCTGATGTTCAAGCTCAAGACGCCGAGGGATGCCATCAACCAGTTCATCATCCATGTGGAGAAGTACAAGTCGCGAGTGGGTTTCAAGGATCTGGCCTTCGAGCATCATGCCTGGCTGAGCACGCAGTAATGTTTATCAGAAATCTCTATAAAATCCTAGTTAACAATATCACATTTGTTTTCAGACACTCTGTCTTTGCTGAGCTATTTTGCGAGGCCATCAAGAACGGTCTGCCCGCCCTGCAGACGCAACATCCCGGAATCTACTACCACAAGGCAGCTGAATATGTGATGAAGCGGCGGGACTCCGCGCAGGAGGCCTATGCTGCCCTGCAATCCGCGGCGGAAGGAACGCCAGCTCCCTCTCAGAATTCTCTATCTCTGTACACCGAGTTCTTTGGCATACGAGCGGTGAAAACCGGCGATTTGCTGGCCGAGCAGCAGGCCAACGTGCAGTTATGTGATCAGGAGCGCGGCTATAATCACTCGTCGGGGATTATAGCTTTGCTCAGCCAGGCGATGGCCCAGTTCAAAATCTACAAGTGCCTCAGGTTTCGCAAGAAGCTAGCTATTGATATGGCGGAGGAGTACCTGAAGAGCGGCGATCATGCCAAGGCCTTGACGTGAGATAATAGATTTATACTTTCTTCGATTAGAAGAATACTAATTGTAATGCTTTCCCACTACAGATTGTATTCCCTAATGCTGCCCGATTATCGCCAGGAGAAGTGGTCAACGATATTCACCGATGTTCTGCTGAAAACGCTTCGCTGTGCGCTGCTCTCGGGCTCCGTGGCTGACTATATATCCTGCAGTGTGGAAGCTCTGTCCCTGCGCCATCATGGCGAGCAGGCAGAGCGGATTCTGCTGCTGGAGAACCTTTGGCAGGTGTTCCAAGGTGTGCCGCCCATGCCGAAAACCCAGTTGACGCCCGAGGCGCAGGCCTTGTGGACCAGTGCGCTGACTACCGTGAAATCGCCCATTCAAATTGATTTAGATAAGGTCAGCGATGTGCTGGAAATGTGCGCCACATTCGAACGCGTTCAGCTGAACAACGACGACTTGCTGCAGCTGCAACTGATAGTGCGGTAGGTTATTTATCTGCCTCATATGAAACAGTTTCTAATAGGTAACTTTCTTTCAGTGTGCTCACGGATGTTCCCTTGAGAGTGCGCAACTTCCATGTCATTCTAGCCGATGCGGCGAATCCGCAGAACAGCTACAAACTGGAGGCACTCAAGTATTTCTGCTTTCCCAGCCTCACGCTGTTGCGTGGCCAAACGCAATCGCAGGAGAAGCCCCCGCAGGAGCCCAAGAACTTTGAAAAGAACATGAGATTGGAGCCCGGCTCCTACTATCAGCTATTCTGCAGCACCGAAGCCCAGCAGTTCCACGAGAACACCCAGCTGCGCATCGTTCGCCTGGAGGCGCACATGGGCACCGACCAGGTGGCCGCTTTACTCACGTGCAGCTCCAACTACTCACGCCAACTGTTCCGGCACCACACGCGCAGTCGCGATCTCGATGACAATGTGACGATCAATCCCATTTGCTACATTGCGCCCACGTAGGTCGAAAAAGCGATTCGATTTATTTCCGGACAATTGCATGCAAGCAGCGCATTTAATGCTCCACTGAACATTCTATTCCAGCTTTCATCTGGACACGCAAACGAACCTTGGCCATGGCTCGGATGAGGAAGCGACTGCCACGAGAATGCTGGTCAACGAGTACTATCCTGTGGTGACCACCGTCAACAATCCGTACAATGTCTATCTGCAGAATGTGGGCGTACACATTAGTGTTCCCGTGGGCCTGAGAAATAGCGGTGAGTCATTTTTATTATAATTCATTAATCATTCATTCATAATTGTCGAGCTACTGCGCTGGTACAATCGAATTGATATCTGCGGAGATATAAGAAGAAATTCGTGATCTAGGGGTCCAACACTAACAGAAACTAGTGTTATTAATCAATTTAAATATTTATTGGAATCTTTATATCTTGGCTAATAACTTTTAACTACATCTTAAGCAACTATCATTACTTGTACTATTAGTTTTTGGCTCACATTCCCAAAGCCTTGTCGATGAAGCTCCTTACAGTCTTGACATTCGTATAGACTCCTGGCGAATTCTTCCTGGCACAGCCAACGCCCCACGAGACAATTCCACAGAGTTGACCTTGATAGACGGCCGGTCCTCCAGAGTCGCCTTCGCAGGCATCTTTTACCCCGGGAACTGAGGCACAGAACATGGTGCTGGTGATGGTGCCACGCAACTTGTACTGGTTCATGCAGGTCTTACGGGGAATCAGCGCCACATCCACGCTGCGCACTTGCATAGAAACCGCCTTATTGCGCTCCGTGATTTGTCCCCACCCAGAGACCTTGATCAGTTCGCCGGCCGTAAAGTTGACTTTGCACAGCTCAATGGTGGAGATTTTGGGACCACTGATGGGGGATTTGAGTTTCAAAACAGCCACATCCGTGGTAAGGGTTCGCGTGTTGTACGCCTTCGGGGTGTAGACCTTTTCCACGCCCATTCTAAGACCCGTTTCCGTGAGTTTCGTGACTCCGGCGACGACCAGGATGCGGGAGGCACCCACTCCCTTGACACAATGGGCAGCGGTGACCACATGTTGTGGGGTGACCAAGGAACCGCCGCATAGAAAGTTCCCCGCAATGCGGAGGTTCACCAGATAGGGAACACTGGCAATATCCACTGGTATTCCGCCCACAATCCGACTGTTTCCCTCGTTTCCGGCTGCCCAGGTGCCTGGGATCAGGTGGAGCGAGAGCCAGAGCCACCACAGTGTCGCCATCGACGGCTCACTCCATTTCCTATCCAATCTCCGGTAGCTGTAACTACCAAATCGCGAGTTTCCGATTCGCTGGCCAACTGAGTAAGCACACCTTTTTTCAATCGCTATTCCGACGACTCGAAACGCGCGGCTCTGCGCTCCGATTTATATGCCTTTTAGGAAACAATCATTACACAGCACACACATATTATTTTATTGCGCAAATAATAATTATTTTAATCAAGCATTTTGTGCGGCTTATCGTTGGATTCCATCAGCGGATTTCGGTATGGGAAATTGAAACCCAACAAAAATAGCTGTGTAATGGTTTATATCGGGTGTTCTAGACACTTTTTTTTTACCGACCTTGTTTCGGTCGTTCATCAGATTCAACAAATTAGTTGATTAAAATATTACCCATTGATCTCGATATGAATAAGATCCTTTTGTCATTAAGGTTCCATGTATATTCAACCGTTTTGTAGGTAAATGATTTTTTATCAAGATTATATACCCAAAAAATCGATATGAAACGTAGATCGATTTTACATTATTAAAGATCAATTTTAATTTGATATGTGGTCAGGTAAATTTAACCTGGTCGGAAAGTGTATTTCATTTAAAAGTTTTGCTTAACCTGAAATTTACATGGCCATGTCGATTTTACGGGAACATGCTTGTTTTTTTGTGTGGTGTTGGTAAAATAAAAAGATAAAACTTTGATCCAAAGAAGAGGTCTTTATTCTTTAGAAAATACCTATAGACTTATAGAGATTAAAAAACTTCATAGTAATCTAGATTCTTCATTAAAGTTTTATTTAGAATGGCTAAAACTTTAACCCTTTTGGGGGTTATTCTATATTTATAGGAAGATCTTATAGTTGGTAAAATAGCAAGAAAAGAGTTGGATCAAAATAGGATGAGAGGAGAGGAAATTAGTTTACATTTCTCAAAAGATCTAATTCCTAATCCTGCGCAGTGTTTGCTCTATAAAAGAGTAAACCCTTTCGCTAGCCACATTGGTGTAAACACCTGGAAATGCAGCTCTCCCACAGCCAAATCCCCAGGAGACAATGCCGCAAACTTGACCGCGATAGACCAAGGGACCTCCTGAATCGCCGGAGCAGGAATCCCGGACACCACGCACAGCGGCACAGATCATGGAGTCGGTTAGTTGGGCAGTGATTGCATAAGATAATTGGCATTCTGCACCAGGAAGCACTCTCACCATGGCCGTACGGACTTGTTCGGCAGGATCTCGATTGTTCTCGCGCGTCACTCCCCAACCACTGATCCTGGCATAGGCGTTACCCTCCGGTGGATTTCGACAAGGAGTAATGATGGCCACTTTACCGGGAATCAGAAATGCAGGCTCCTGCAGTTGCAGCAAAGCCACATCCATGTCAAAGTTGGTGGAGGAGTAGGTGGGTGAAACATGGAACATTTCCACCCGGCGAATCACGGGAGCAGCTTCATCCAACCGACTGGCGCCGGCATGGACCATGTAATCCTCTGGCTGGGATCCATAGACACAATGTGCTGCACTGAGCACAACACTCGTGGAGATTAAGGAGCCACCGCAGATGAAGAAGCCATTCTGTCGCAGGTAAACCAGATATGGAACCTGGGATATGGTCGTCTCCTGGCCTCCCACTATGCGGGATTTGCTGGAGGAAGCGAAAGTCAACTGGCAGAGCCACCAAAGCAACCACAGGCCAACCATGGCGTGTCCAGACTGACAGCTACTATGTGTATACAGTTGGCTGTCTAAATTGGAAAGTGATAATGATGCTAACCCGGAAATTGGTTCACACGATTTAACTATTATTTGGAATTCCGGAAGGGGTTTCAAATTTAATACACAGAAAAAAAAACCGATATGAAATAGGATTATTTCTACCTTATTTCATATCAATAAGAATCCGAACATATCAACATGATATTTTATCATATCATAAAAATACCAAATTTAGTATTTTTTGAGCAAATAATATAAAAAAAGATTAACATGGTCTTTATTCATATCAAAATGATATGAACAACTTGATCTTTAAAAAATATCAAATTGACCATTACCATTTTTTTTCTGTGTACCTATTAATACTTTGAATTAGTGGTAATCTTACATTGGGCACACGTCGATTCTTCTTTGAAAATGATTTATTAACATTTTTATTGGATCACCAGCAATGTCGCTGGATGAAGTTCTTCAACCAGTACGTAATGGATGGACTGCTGAGCCGGGTGTAGACACCTGGATAACCACTGCCGCAGCCATAGCCCCAGGAAACGATGCCCACCGGGCGGCCGGAGTAAATGATGGGACCTCCGGAGTCACCTTTGCAGGCATCTTTGGCCTCCTCACCCAGAGCACAAAACATATTGTTCGTAACTCGTTGCTGAGCCGAGTCCATGGATTGGATGCACTGCCTCTGCGAGACGAGCTGCACTTTCGCCTCCTGCAGGCACTGATTCCAGTTGTGACCCTGCTCGCTGGTGGCACCCCAACCCAACACCGTGAGATTGGCCTGTCTGGGCAGATCGTTGAAGTCAATCCCCACCAGACTCGCATTGCCGGCGATGTCAAAGGGGCGAGTCATTCGGATCACAGCCACATCGGAGTCCAATCCGCGCTGGGAGCAGTAGTTTGGAGCTAAGCCAACATACCAGGCTGGACGCACATGCTCGGGAGGCGATTCATCACCTAGACACTGTTGTTGGGCATGGATTGTTAAATCCCGCACATCCTGATGCCTTCCCTCCAAGCAATGAGCCGCTGTGAGAACGCAGCTGGGCGAGATTATCACGCCACCACAGCGGAACTGGCCACCACGTCGAAGATTGACAAGAAAGGAATGCTTTTTTACCTCCCCTGTTTTTCCTCCGAAGATTTTACCAAGCGGAAGATGTGAGCAGGAATTCCCATCCACTTGTAGGAGCACTGCTAGTCCAAAGAGGAGCTTTAACATGGTCTACTGGTGTACTATAACCTCCGCAGCTATGTTATATATATCCACAAAATACCCCTTCCTGCATTCCCAAGTTAATTGCCTTGAGATAAACTTTACTTATTTATTATAACTTAAAACCTAAGACTTAGGAATTCTCTTTAACCACGCGAAGAAACCACTCGCGGATCACAGGCACACTGGTGTAGACACCGGGCAGCGAGGAGGCGCAGCCATAGCCAAAGGATACGATCCCGGCCAGCTCACCGCGATAGACCAAAGGTCCTCCCGAGTCGCCATCACAGGAATCCTTCTTGTACAACTTGGCGGCACACATCATGGAGCGGGTAATCCTATGGATACCCTTGAAGGCAGCTATGCAAGAAGATCGCGACCACGCGGGAACCAGGACACTGTGCACCCGGGTGGCAGTTGTTGTGGCATCGGCATGGAGATAACCCCAACCGGATACCTTGACCAAAACGCGAGCTGGAACGGATTGGGAGGCCAAAGCAATGGTCTCTATATTGGCGCCCGTCATGTCCGAAGTCAGTCGCAAGGCAGCCACATCCATGTTCAAGGTCTTCCGATTGAAATCTGGACGAATGGCCACGAAATCCACCTGGCGAATGGTGGCATATGGACCCGCCTGATCGGAGGCACCTCCGTAGATCTTAAACTCATCCTTGTTCTGCTTGTAAACACAATGAGCGGCGGTGATGACCCAACGCGGTTTGATCAGCGATCCTCCGCAGAGTTCCGTGGATGTGGTGACCTGTACGAGATATTTCTCCTGCTTAATGCTGGACACCTGACCACCAATGATGCGCGGCTGGATCTCCTCGCTGCCGTAAAAGGAGGCGGAAATTCGGTAAGGGAATCCTAGAAGAGGAATAAGAAGCAGCAACAGCGAGGGCAGAATCCGGGCAATCATTGTGGTGGTTATCCAACTAGATTGAAATCAGAATGGAACTTGATTTTATATCCAGTAAATCTGGGCGGAACAAGACATTACACAATCTTTGCACAATTGTTCAATCAACCATCTTTGCCGGGAAGTCAAATTCGGAAATTAAAATTATAAAAGAGGAAATCTCTTCCGATTTTTCGGTGTTCAAATAAAAGAAAGAGATAAAAGAAACTAACAACTAGTTATGCCCCACTTCATAGGAATTGTTTATTCTTAACAAACAATAATGGTAAATATTTAATAGTCAATCAATCGGAATAAAAATTATAGGAGAGGAAATCTCTTCCGATTTTTCTTTCCGATTTTCTGTTCAAATAAAAGAAACTAACAACTAGTTATGCCCCACTTCATAAGAATTATTTATTCACGACAAACAATAATGGTAAATAGTAAATACTAACCATGTTTGCCTTAAAAGTTTACCAGATATTTAATATTTAATACCTATTAAAGTAAAACGATTTGGGATTGGTTAGTCATTATAAGACGATTCTATCGATCGATTAAGCCGTGATCAAACCTTTTTAAAACTTTTAATTAGGGACCTAAAATTCTGTTTTTGTAAACAGTAGTTGTTTATTTTATCTGTGGAATTCACTTAGGCCCAACTAACATATGCCTGTTTGTTTCCAATGTTTTAATATGTTTTATTGTTCAAAAATATTTACTTATAATGGTTATAGTCGAGGCTAACGCTTCATGCGTCAAGATCATGTGCTGTTTTGGATATTCTATACCTTGTGGTATAATCAATTGTTATTGCTATTTTTAAAACCCCACATTGCCAAAAGTCTTTGAAGATCGTGGTGTTTGGTTAACAAATATTTATTAAATCGCACGTAGCAACTAACGACCTTAGGTTCTAGTTCAGAGTTCTAGTTTTAGATCAGACTTGCGATCCCTAATTATTGGCCATAACCTTGTTGGCCCAAGGACGAACTGCGGACATGAGTGTGTAGACGCCAGGATAACCGGCTCTTGCGCATCCATAGCCGAAGGATACGAGGGCCACCAGGCTGTTGTTTATCACCACCGGGCCACCGGAATCTCCGCTGCACGAATCCTTGCCAGCAGCGCGGGCACAGATCATATAGTTGGTGATACTAGCCTTTCCCCGGTAATCCGTTCGACACTTTCGCTGCTTGACCACTCGTATGGTGGCGGCCTCCAGAGTTTGGGAGGCCGTAGTGCTGCCCTCCCTGGTGATTCCCCAACCCGCAATCCGAACTTTGGCGCCCGCTGTGGGGCGCGAGGTGGCCATCTTGATTGTTCCGATATTTGTGCCCGTCAACGAGGCATTCAACTTGAGCAGTGCAGCATCCATGTTCATCTTCTGCGTCGTGAACTTGGGTGCTATGTGAATGGAGTCCACCGAGCGAACAATGCCATCGCTGCCATCCAAAGTTTTGGTCCCTGCACGCACCGAAATATCGGAGGCACTGTGTCCTTTGACGCAATGGGCGGCTGTAATGACCCATCGATCGTTGAGTAGGGATCCGCCACAGAGACTCGTTCCGCGACGCAACTGGACAATGAAGGGAAAGTTGGAAATGTTGGCGGTGGTGCCACCCACAATTCTCGATTGTATTTTAGCTGGACTAGCGGATGAGGAGGTCTTCTTCTTTTGATTGACCTTTTTGGTAGAAAGTTTTTTGGCGGTAGTTCTATTGGTATTATTTCTTCTAGCTGCCAATTTGTTTCCACTATTTCCATTTCGAAGCCTCCGATTCCTCCGCTGATTATTCTTGGCCACCGCTTCACCCAGTTGGGTGAGCTCTGCCAGGAGCAGCAGGCCCAGTAAGAGATACTCCCAACGCCAAAGCATCTCGCTGTGAACTGTGGTGTTGGGTGACCTTGTCCCGGCTTTTATGGCCGGATATTCGGTGAAAAGCATGGGCAAACCAACTGAGCAAACACCATTGGAAGGCACCTTCAATGCGGCATTCTTTTTCAGGTGACGTCAACGATCAGGGTTAACTAAACTAAAATACTGATTAATATCTAGCAATATCTGCGCATGTTGTCCGCTATCCAATCGGATAGGTAACTGACATCGGAGTAAACCCCGGGACTATCTTCGGCGGCACAACGATGAGCTCGACCCCAGGAAACTACGCCGACTAGGAAGCCATGCGAGTTAACTACTGGTCCTCCGGAATCCGCAGCACAGGCATCTTTTAAGCCCGGCAACGAGGCACAAAACATGCTGGAGGTTATATTCCTGTAACCACTATAGAGTTCCCTGCATTCCCTTTGCGGCATCACTTGCACATGGACGCTGTGCAGCTGATTGGGCAGCAAAGTGGAGCTATCGTCTGTTAAACCCCAGCCGGAAACCCGCACAAAGGAGCCGGGACGAGGAGATCTCACGGCCAAGGGGATGGGTTGAGCAATAGAGGGCTGCAGAGGATGCTGGAGCTGCAGGATGGCCACATCGTGATCCAAAGTGGAGCGACTGTAGGCCGAAGGGAGGAGTATCCTCCTCACATAGCGGGCATTGCTCATATCACTCAGATAGGTGACCCCGCCGCGAACCACAAAGTCGGATGGTGGACCCTCCTTCAAACAGTGGGCGGCGGTCAGGACGCAGTGGGGAGTGATCAAAGAGCCACCGCACTCGAAGTTGCCACGTCGCCGGATGTTGACCATGTGCGGCTGATTGCGCACATCACTCGGATGACCACCAACCACTCGGGGAACTCGTCGCAGGTCCAGATCCTCTGCGGTAATCCGAGGAATCCAAATCACCCACAAGCACATCATCAGAGGAAGCAGCACACCTTGCATCTCGATCTTAAGACTCGTCTGTAATGCTTACTTCGATGGACTGGTGGGCCAAACGATAGAACACAATCATTTATAGAGCCCAGCGACACTGACCTTACCCAATGTGAAACCCACTTACAAAAAACACCTGTTCATCGATGTTTACACACGGCAATGAACTTGGTATTCTGTAGGAGATATGAGGAAGTTGTTTAGGCGATACTGTTCCCACTTCATGATGTTTGTTTGGGGTTCGGAAATTAGATAAGACAGAGAATGGAGAGTGGGAACACAATCAGTCTTCTTGTGACGGGAGTTCCAATCTTAAGATAAGATATCATAAATAAGTGAAAATAAAGGTTTGTAACCTTATCCACATGGTAATATTGTACGTTATTAAGTCAATATATAAAAAAGGGGAATTGTTAATGAATCACTGACTATAAGAAACTAATAATAATATAGATATGGTAATAAATATGGTACGTTGATATGCTAAGTTTAAAAGATGTTCTTTAAGGTCATAAGATGTTTGTTTTTATTTAATTACTGAAGATCAATATTTGAAAAAATGGATAGTAAAGTCAATCATAAAACATTATAAGCAATGTTTCAAAGGTTTTCCTTGTTATTGGCTCTGGTTTTTAAGTTTAAAAGATATTATTTAAGATTAATGTTTGTTTTTACTTATTTACTGAAGATCAATATTTGAAAAAAGGGATAGTAAAGTCAAACATAAAACATTATAAGCAATATTTTAAAGGTATACCTTGTTATTGGCTCTTTTTTTTAAGTTTAAAAGATATGATTTAAGATCAATGTTTGTTTTTATATTTTTACTGTAAATCAATATTTGAAAAAAAGGATATTAAACTCAATCATAAAACATTATAAGCAACATTTTAAAGGTTTACCTTGTTTTTTTGACCCGAGTTTTTAAAATATAACCATATATATTTTGCAAAGTAAGAACTATTATATTATTCACCTAGTCCTAATCCGTCACCGTTTTATCTTCCAGTTTTCCTCACCACGGACATCTCACCGGGCCGCCAGAAGCTGCATTCCCAGATCCAAATAGATGTGGGCGAACTCTCGGCTCATGGGAGCAACACGGCCACCTTCTACATCTTCAGCCTGGCAGAGGCGGAGATCAAGCTGCAGCAAAGATTGAGCTACACCCTGGATGTGGATCGCGGGCCAGGAGGCGGTGGCACCAATGCCCGGGTCACCACTGCTCCAAACAGCTCGGAATCCACACCCGATCACGAGGTGAAGAGTGTCGTCCAGAGCCTGGCTGCGATTTCTCCGGTGCAGATTGAGTATTTGGACGAGACGAGGTTGCGAAAGTCCCGCGAGGATACGCTAACAGTGCGATGCTACGGCGACTTTAAGTTTACCGCCCGTTTCTACACGCTGGACCGGAAGCCCCTGAACCAGGTGTATCGTGGCGAGAACTTCCTGCTAAGAGCCAACACGGAAGTGGTGGCCGTGGACGATGTGGAGATACTGGACAGCTTCTTTATATGTGTAGGTATCTCCATAAAGATTTATACCCGTTTCTCGTAGAGTAAAAGGGTATATTGTATTTGTGCAAAAGTATGTAACAAGGAGAAGGAAGCGTTTCAGACGCTATAAAGTATATATATATATAGCCATGTCCGTCTGTCTGTCCGTCCGTATGAACGCTGAGATCTCGGTAACTACAAAAGCTAGAAGGTTGAGATTTTCCACACATATTCTTGGGCTTCCTACGCAGCGCAAGTTTACTTCAGCCGAGCGCAACGCCCCCTCTAACGCCCACTAACGATTTTAGTATAAAGTTAGTAAAGTATAAATGAAATTTTGTTGTGCATATTTATACCTATCGAAATGTAGAAGATATTTTTCAAATCGGACCATTCATTAAAAAGTTATGCGCAATTAAAATTGTATATATCCATCTCCCTCGCACTCCCTTTAGCCGAGTGACGGGTATTAGATAGTCGTGACACCAACCCGACTATAGCGTTCTCTCTTCTTATGGTTTTCAATCCCATCTAGGATCACAACCTAGTGCAATCAAACTACAGCTTTAAGCAGAAGAAATACACCAACAAGTACAGCGCCGGCGAGCAACTGGAGAGCGTGATAGTGCTCCGGACGAATGCCACGCTGGGCGACTGGACGACAGCCCGGGATCTGGATCATCGCGGCAAGCTGGAGGGCAAGGCGGTGGCCAGTAAGTTCATTAGGCCCGCCGTGAAACCCTCCTCCTCGGAGGAACCTCCTGCTCCCACACCTCCCGCCGGAATGAGTGCCTATATGAGCAAGAGTCTGGTGACCAAGATCCCCACCACCATGACCATTATAAACAGCAATTCGGCCGTTTCCAATGCCCTGCAGGTGGCCAATGCGGGTGCGATGAGTAGCTCCATGCAGTCAGATGATGTCAATGTGGCCGAGGAGGCAATGAGTACGCAGGAGGCGCTGAAAACCACGCGACTCATCTACAACAAGGCCCTGGAAGCTGTCCAGGGAACGGGTCATTGTCGTGGCTTCATCAAGGGCATCTACACGCTGGAGGCAAATCCCTCTACTGTACCCATTTTTGGAGTATTCTGCATTCGCTGGCGAAGGGCAAATGGCAAGGAGGAGAACGAATCCAAGTTTGTGATCAGTGGTCTGGGTATTGCGGAGCCACCGCTAAATATCTACTGCACCATCGAGGAGAAGATGTTTGTGAAAATGCCCATGGCTTTTAAAGTGGTGCTGAAGAACCCCACCACGCATGTGCTCCATTTAATAGCCAACCTAAGCATCAGCAAGACGGATAACTTTATATGTTCGGGTCACAAGCAGGTGAGGTTTTTAAACAAATACTAAGAGCCCTGCATGAATGGATTCAATGAATTATTTTAAATTTTTTCTCTTTATATGAATGAATTAATTAGAATTTTGAGTTTAATAGAAGTGAATAATACTAAGACAATTTCTTTTAAAGAAGAAAGAGCCATATTTTGTGATGAAATCTGCTTAAATTTTATTTACTATGCAGTTAACATTGATTGGTTAAAAATGTTCCAATTTTTGTTTTAAAAAGAAAAAAAACAAACAAATTTGGAAAATTCCTAAAAATTATTCATTCAACTCGAAATGAAAAAGTAAAACATTCAATTTATTTCACATAGAATTAAAGTAAACCAATCAGATATTTCATGGCATACTATGATAAAACAAAAATTGAATGATTTACGCAGGACTCTAACAAATACCTTTGGTATTCCTATCTATTAACTTTCTTTTCCCCCAGCTGGACATCTCCATAATGGCCTACGAGGAGAAGGAGCTGGTCTACAACCTGTATCCCCTGCAAGTGGGCTGGCAGGAGCTCCCAGTCCTCAGCCTGGAGTACAACACCAAGGCGGATCCGCAGAAGAACGACAGCCAGAATGCCTTGCTCGATGAACTGGTGCAGCGAGCACTGCCCAAGCGAGTCTTTGTGCTGGTAGGTTATCCATACTGATCCTTGGATCTAAAACTAATTTATTTAATTTATTATACCCTCAGCCACCTCTGAAGCAACAGAACAAGTAGCGATGATGATATAGCGATGATGCCGCTTTAGTTTAAGTGTTTTAAAGTTTACAGAAAATATCACTAAACCGGTGTGTAAAAATGAACTACGCCTACTCCCTCTTTATTGCTAACAACAAACATACATACATAAATAGCTATATTTAGAGAGTTACATAGCATAATACTTGAGAGTGCGGGTGATGATGATTGTATCGTAATTGTATAATGTATTGTTAAACGGGCCAAGTTGATTACGGCGCTTTAGATAAGCTGTGCTAAGTCCTGGTCAGTACCGCAAGTTGCACATATTTTCGTACATCCTTTGAACGTACAGTAATAAATATAAAGTATAAAGCATACAAATATATATCGTTGAAAGAGCGCTTTAGAGTTTTAATCATTTCCGGACCTCTTGCTGCCCGAAGCAAACTTGAAGACTCCCTTTTTCTGATTACGGTTTTCATTCTGCATGGAGAAAGTTAATTGTTAATAAGTATTTATTTAATATCTAGTAATTAGTAAACTCACTAATAACCGATTTCCGAACAGCATCACAGCCTTGTCCTCTGCCTCCTGCGGCGTGGCTCTTTCTCCAGCGGACAGAATCGGTTGCCGCTGGTGGATATGAAGCTTCTGTTTGATGGCCTGCGAGAAGATCACCCGCCGGCTGACCGATTTCATGGCCAGCAGCAGATCCAACCAGGTCCAAGTGACATTGTGATACTCCAGCGTTGGTATGACTAGTGAGTAGTCTGTGATGTCCTCCAGATTCTTCTCCTTGTTGCCCTTGTAGCTGACGCGCACGGGAACTTCGGGTATCTTGATGTAGATAAAGAGCTTGTTTTTCTCCGCCCGCTCCTTCATCTTCTCCACATCATCCTTTTCGATCTTCACATAGAATTCCGAGTCCTTGGCGCCCTTCTTGCCCTTTCCAGAGCGTTTGGTCGACGAGGACGATGAGCTGGAAGGCTTGGCCTGTAAATTCGTGGTAGAAGCGGAGCTAGTTGAAGCATTGTCGTCCAGTTCGTCGCTGACTTCCGTTTCGGAGGCATCGCGATCGGGGAAGCAGAACTTCAGCATTGTGCTGTAGAACTTCTTCGTGATGGCAATCGTAATGGGCGCCACATTGATCTCGAAGTGCTCCTTCACCGATATTCCGCCCACGGGAGCCTTCTCGCGGCAAAAGATGCGCAGCACCCGCTTGTGGGTGTCCACCGGCATGTCCTTTTGGATTTCGGTGGCCAGCAGGACATCGCGATAGATTTCGCGCGGCAAAAGGTTCTCCATGCGAATGTTGCCTAGTTCTAAGAGATGCTCCACCGAGTCGTCGCTCTTGGACTTTTTGGTGTACAGAAAGGCACTCAGTACCAAATCAGCTATGCCAATCTGACCATCCGTTTCGGTGAGTCGCCACTGGGCACGCTTAAAGCAGATCTCATTCGTACGCACCATGGTCACCGACTCATCCGAGCGAACGTTTAATATTTTACTAAGCTGCGACAACTGGGTTTCCTTGTAGCACAGCAACATCATGTCCAGATCCTCGCTAAACGTGTTCAACTCCTCCTTGCTCTCGCGGATCATCTGCTGAACGTGATCGTATTCCTGCCGCAGCTCCAGAGAGTCACCATCCTCGATCCGCTCCTTGCTAATCATATGGGTGTCCTTCTCCAGCGAGCGAATCTTCATCAGCAAACTGCGGATAACCGTCTGCTTCTGCTGAATGGGTCGCTTCTGATCCTCCGTCGAGTGCAGCTGCAGCTGGAAGCGCATCCTCGTGAGCTTCTCGGCCGCCTGCTTTCGCTGCGGCTCCACATAGAGCAGGAGATTGTTTACAATATCCAGGATCATGGCGTACTGCAGCGAATTGGTGCACACATCCAGATCGTGATGCATCAGCGTGAAGGCATCCACGGGATCGTCTTGCTTTTCCCACGGCGATTGTAGCTCCTCCGAGGGAGGAGGAGGCACCTCTGTAATGCTATTTGGATCGATGGCATCGCCGTAGCTCACGTAGAAGAACTCGCACTTGCACTTGGACACAATGCGCTGCAGTTGGACGGGCTGTGCCTCGCCAGAATTGTCGCTGAGGAAGGCACCCACAGTTTCGGACACCACACCGCCCACACTGCGTCCACTGCCCACCAGATGCGAGATGTCCGGCAGATTGTTGATCACCGTCTCGTCCTTGTCCTGTATATTGTCCACCGTCAGCCACATGATTTCCTTTTCCAACAGGGAATTATTATCCCCGGCGCTAACTGTCGCATAGTACTGCATGCACTCGAGCAATCCCTTCCAGGTGGTTTTCGAGATCAGCGAGCGTTCGCGCCAAACGGGACGGTGCTCCCGCTGCAGGATCTCCGCCTTGGCAGCACTGATGATCACATAGCCCGATGTCTCACAACCTTTGAGGAGCACCTGCGAGTTGACCAGACTAATCGACCAGTTCTCGTGGATTATATCCTGGGCGGAACAGGCCTGCAGCCCCTGGAGCTGCAATTCCCTGGACTGGGTGCTATGATCATCGCTATACACATTGAACTTGTGATCCGCCTCCGCGATGAGCTGCTGCAACATGGCCGTGGCATGGATCTGCGCGGGCGCCTTCTTCAGCGAGGCATTCGGATTGGAAACTGGAAGAAAAACAAGAGAGAACGCTATAGTCACTCGGCTAAAAGGGAGTGCGAGGGAGATAGAATTATAAACAATTTTGATTGCGCATAACTTTTTAATAAATGGTCCGATTTGAAAAATGTCTTCTACATTTCGATAGGTATAAGTATACACAACAAAATTGCATTTATACTTTACTAACTGTATACCAAAATCGTTAGTGGGCGATTGTGGGCGCTAGAGAGGGCGTGGCGCTCGGATGAAATAAACTTGCTCTGCGTAGGAAGCCCAAGAATATGTGTGGAAAATCTCAACTTTCTAGCTTTTGTAGTTTCCAAGATCTCAGCGTTCATACGGACAGGCAGACGGACAGATAGGCGGACAGACAGACGGCATATATATACTTCCTTCTAGCTGTTAGATACTTTTGCACGAATACAAAATACCCTATTACTCTACGAGTAATGGGTATAATTATATTAGCTATATACTTAAGGTATCAAACTCACTTGGCAAGACCTCGCTCGTAGTGCTGGACAAGGTAATGGTGCTATCACTTCGCTTATGCTTTAGCACAGCCGAACTGGGACCCTCTTTGCGATAGCTTTTCACCGCCTCCGTCGACAGATTGTTCTTCAGTTTCTGCGACTTCATGAAGGAATCGAAAAGGGCAAAGGCCACATCCCGATTGCTCTTCGTCCAGGCTCCCTTCAGATCGTAGACCACCAACTTGTGCGTGGGCGTCGTGGACTGCGCCTTGACATCCTCCTCCGTGCTCGTGGCCGTCGTGGGTATCAGTGCCTCGCGTCCGTAGGAAACCTTGGCCACGCTTAGGAAATAGAATCGCACGATCTTAAAGGCATCCGCTGCACTGGCCAGGTTCTCGGAACTGCTGTCCATCTTCTCGGTGAGAATGCTCTTCAGCCAGATTTCGGCATCGTTGAGCTCACAGTTCATATAGATCGTTGACCAATCCGCTCGTGGCCTATGAATCAAACCATCGTCAATGGGATTCAGGGTCAGCGAGTGCTCGGAACTGAAGGACACACGGCGGCCATTCAACTGGAAACCCTTTTGCAAAGCATGCGACATCCAGTAGAGCACCTGGAACTTGTGCAGGCACATCTGCAGGTTGGCCTTCTTGTAGTGACGACTCAGCGGCTTCTTTCTGGGTCGCACATTATTGAAGACTGGTCCTCGTCTTGTGGGCCTCGTCACGCCCGAAAGAATGAGCTGCAGGCTCTCAAACCATCTCAAAGTGCTGCCGTACAGCACCAGACTGGGTATATCCACCTCCAAATCCTCGCCCGCCTTGGGTTTAGTTTCAAAGGAAATCCAAATATTAAGATTAAGCGAGCGGAAGGCGCGGAAAGAATCGTGCACTTGGTTACTCGAGTACTCCGGCAGCTTGTCCGGCGCACAGGGCATCACGGCATGGTGGTCATTGGGATTAGCTAGGCAAACCCACTTCAGTTTGATTGTCAACTTGAGATTGGGAAAATGCAGCAGCCGGCAATCGTCGTATCGCGAAGCTGTTCGCACCGTCACATTGAGTTCTCCTTTAAACATAATCTTTGCATTGGTCAAAACAATTCCACAATTATTCCACGTCAACTCCATTTCCTCGGTGGTATTATAAGGATCCAGCGAGGCATGGAGCAATATAGTAAACTGCTTGGCTATCAGAGTTAACCGACCATGCAGAAGTAAACGCAGCTTATCCCAAAACGGCAGCGGAGGCGAGGGATCCTTCGATGGAGCCGAGATCTTCTCAAAGCTCAAATTGCACTGGGCCATCACAGGTTCCCAGCAGGCGCCGAAGGCGTAGCTACAGCTCTCCAGTTCGCAGTCAAAGTCATGGTAGAACTTGAGCGAAGGCATGCTGCGTTGGATGACATCGGTGCCAAAGGGTTCGCCCACCTCAATAAAGACGTCGCGCTTGGCTCGCTTGGAGCCCATTTGCTCGGCTCCACAAAGATTGCCGTACAGCCGCATGCTCTTCACACAGAACATGGGTTGCGGAAAGTCCCTGGAAATATATATAACATAAGTATTGATATTACTATTCCTTTAAAAGTCTTTATACCTCAACATGAACTTCCATTCGGTGCAGCTGATGTTGACTCCGCGGCACCACAAGGTAGAAAACTCCAGTCCCTCCTCCGGCCAGGGACTCTCGTGATCGATCTCGCGCATTATACGCGTCACATTGTCATAGCCATGGATGGAGGTATCCGCCATGGCCATGATATTAACGTCCGTCATGATCCAGGCCAGCAATCGGGTGCGAACAGGGCCACTTTCGCGAATCTTCTTCGATCGCTGTATGTAGATCTCCGAGTTCTTCTTCACCAGATTGGCATAGAGACCCTCAATCGTTCCGGAAGGCAACAAAAGACGCTCCGAGCAGAGCTCACCGATCTTCTTGTCGAACAGCGCCTTGCGCTTCAAACTCTCCAGATATTCATCCACCAATAGGACATAATTATCACGTAGCTTGACTTCAAAGGGATCGTCGCTGATCTCCAGCAGGAACTCCTTGATCTTGATCACCAAATCACAGGGCAGCGGCGAGTCCACTGTAAACGGTTTCTTCTTGTAGTTGTGCACCTGTTTCAGCCACTTAAAGTGCGAGGTGCACTCGCCATTGACGGCGTTATAAAAGTCGTGATCATAGGGGAAAATGGCCTTAAAAGAACCAATGGTGGTGACCCACACCTTGTTGGAGGCCAGCTGAAAGCCGGGAAAGTTTTGCCGCTCTTGGGTGAGCACCTCCAAGCGCGGCACCGACTGCAGATCCAATTCCTTGACTGTAAATATGTGCTGATCGTCGATCTTGACGAAGACATTCTCCGCATAGATCATACATCGTTCCTTGCGACTGAAGAAGAGGCTCTCTAAAAATATTTGAATAGAGTGACGATCGGAGAACTTAATCTCAAAGATGGTGCGCCTTTCGGCCGACAATTCCACCACGAGTGCTCCTCTGGGAACGGTTTTCTTCACAGGCGAAGCTGGAATTGCCAACTCCGTTTTCAAGTCTTGCATATCCCTCACCAAAGTTAACAAGTGCATGTGCAAATTGGCATTCCACGTGGCCTCCGTATCACCGGGTATATAAATGGACAGCTTGCCCATTGAGCCCTCCACTTGTTCGTGCTCCAAACGTATCATTTTGCAGGTGGCAAACACGTCCGAAAAGTCCGTGAGACAAAGTGAAGAGGCGGTCATCGAACGCATGATGGCCATTTGGAACTCCTCGAGCTTTAGAGTAGTCAAGTTCTGAGACCTCGAAAGATTTAACTCTGAGAAACTGAGCAGCGTGTAAACGTTGTGATGATTAACAAAGTAGGCCGTAATATCCTTGACCTTAACAGACACTCGCAGTGAGGTAGATGATTGTGATGATGGCTGCACGTTGACCGTAAGATTTGGCCTGGTCTGTCCTGAAACGTTCTTTGGTTTGATGCCCCGGTACTGCCGCAAACACTCCATTGACTTGACCACAAATTCCGCTAGTTGCATGCTGTATTCCGTGCGGAAAGTGTGCACGGAGATGTCCAACTTAGTGGTGTTTGCATAGGAGCAGAGCTTAACCAAGCTCACTCCGAGGAAAAAGGGAGAACCGGGAGAATGAGTCTTCTTCAGGTTATTCGTATCGTTGATGGAGTTGCCCAGATTTGACCACAGCGTCTCCACCATGAGCTCCATGCTCCACTGACGTTGATTCAACAGCAAGTTGAGGAACTTGTTCTCATATAGGTTACTCCGCTTCTCCTCGATTTGCTCGAGCAGAAACCTCGTGTGGCTGACACTCATGGCGATGTGCTCATCCTCCAGTTTCATCAGGAGTGAGACATTGAACAGCTCTGCACAGCCCTTGACTACTATCCTCTGCATAATCCACTCGAGAACTCCGCCCTCCCGGCGATGACTACCACGCAGTAAATTGCTCTCTGCTACCATTTCCATATGCAAGCTGTCCGGCAGAGATTTCTGCTTGTGTATCAGCTGCATTGGCTGCGATCCGCTGGAGCGCTGGCGCGCCAGGAAATTGTTATTAACAAAATCATAGATCTCGCTGTGGTTATAGATGATTTGGAATGTCTTGAGCTTTACATAAAGATTAAAGATGTCTTTTTCCAGCTAAAAGGTAAAGGATGTTTAGGGATTTCTAGGATTATTTCTATTCTATTTTCTATTCTTACCACCGAGTCTATGGTGAATTGTTCTACAAAGAGCAGCTTTTCATATTTGGTATCAATGTCCAAATGGTGAAAGCCCAGTTTGGCCAGCATCGAAGGTAGCAGCGTCTTTTCATCCGTGACTTTCGAGTTAAACTTGCCCGAGATCTGTAGTTAAAGAGTATTAGCAATTATTAATCGAAGGATATATCAATTTAAATATTTTTCTAATTCATTTCGAATTGAATAATTTTTATGAATTTTTGGAAAACAAAAAGTGGAAAATTGTTCACAAATCTATGTTAACTGCTTAGTAAATAAAATTCATGCAGATTTAATCACAAAATGGCCCTTTCTTCTTCAAAAGAAATTGTCGTTTGAATTATTTCGGGATGCATGCCGTTCATTCATTCAATTCTATTAAACTGAAAAATCTAATTAATTCATTCAGGGCTCTAATATCAACCCACCTGAAACGACTGCAGCTTGGCACTAAAATCGTTCTGTGAGTTCTCTTTGACGGCCGAAAAGGTGGCCGCCTTGATGCTAAAATTAAAGTTCTTTGGTATAATCGGCGCCAGCTTCTCGTAGTTGTCATTGTCGTAGGTCCTCTTGGAGGAAGCCAAAGGCTGCGTGGAACGCCGCGACTGCTGACCAGTCGATGTCCTTCGCTTGGCCTCGCTAAGGAACTCGTACAGTCCGCCGTGGATGACGGATTTGGCATTGTTGATGACGAGACTAAGGGTCTGTAAGGGGTATAAATGATAAGTAAGCTATGGAAACATAAGATAGACAACCTACATCCATGGACAGCGGACCCTGGGCAAAGAGCGAGGCATCCAGGGTCATATCGAAGCTGACCTCGCCGAGGCAGGGTCGAATCTTGTTTAGATTCTCCAGCGACTGTCGCCGCGAGCTGCAGTGCCTCAGCATCTTGGCCTGCGCCTCGCTGAGCGCCGCATTCACCAGCAGCACACGAGCATTCTGCACGATGCTCCCGTCCAGATGAAGCTCCTTGGCGGTGGCATGGATAAACCAGCCGGGATCAAAGTCGTTGTTCATCAGGACCACTGATATGTTGTTCACATGCACCGCCATGAACTGGGCAAAGGTGATGATGCTGGCCGGCACTTTGGTTTGCCGGAAGTCTGGCACTCCCTTCGTCTTCGCCGTCTGCGTTCGCCGCAGTTCATAGAAGTCCTCCGTGTCATCCTGCCGACTATGGATGTCCTTGTTGATGCGGATATCCCGGATGTAAATAGAGAGCAGCTTGGTCACCTCGGTGGTGAAGAAACTGCTGCGCAGACACACCTCCTCGATTTGCTGTGCGAACGAAAAACAGGAGTGTTTATTGCCTCGGAAAACCGGGGGTTAAAGGTTATCCATACCACCGAGAAGCCGCTCTTGCTGATGTGCACATTCCGCAGCGACAAGTAGGGCAGCGAAATGCGGCCGATCCGCACTTTGACCCGAAACCTCTTGACCAAATACCAGCTAATAACCGTGGGCAAGATCCTAAAATGGAAAGTGATGGTTCAATTATGCGGGCGAGAAACGCGAGCAACCCACCAGTAGACGTTGATGAAGAGCACCAGGCAGAATAGTAGCAGCTGTAGCATCATGTTGGCTCCTCAAATACCATAGTGAGCCAACATTTAAGTAGTATTATTAATGTTTTAAATGTTGTTACTAAAATTTAATGTTGTTGTTGTGTTGTTAAAATCGGTCCACCTCCCATATGACATTTCGATATCAGGGTGTCGGTTTTGAGAAGTTGATCGATATTATTTTTACGATTAATAATGAAATTAAATGATTAATTAATAAATTAATTAAGATTTTCCATCTATTTTCCATTGATTTTCATTGGAAACTGATTTTTAACCGGAAAATATAAATTATTCGATTGCCCGAACCATCTATCGATAAACAAGCTTTTATGTTTTCAAACAAAACAACCAAAGCGCGCGCATTGATCGAGGATATATATATATCAGGATATATTCGATTCCCATGACGAACATCTCGCCCTCCGTCTCCCTCGACGTGGTGCTTCCAATCCTGGGCATCCCCACCCAGACGGCCGAGCTGATCCTCCACTTCATGATGATGCATCCCGAGGCTGTGGCCGACGGACGCGTGGATCTGAGGGAGCAGATCTGGACAGCCCGAAGCCGTTCTATCTCCACATGGACGAGCTCTTCGCCCCCGAGGTGATTGATATCTCGAGGCTAATATATACATATGTCGGTGAATGGTATATCTCAGTGTATAAGGAATGCTAGTTTCTTGGACTGCTTGTGTTTCCTAGAAGCTCGAATTATTTCATCATCTTATGTTATTCTTCTTTGCTTGTGCGGCGCCACAAAAGTGTAGCGCGACACACATCAGCGTTGCCACCTTGCATGATTTTGTCTTGTCCCTTTTGAGAGGAACCGTTATAGCGAGGCGTCAGCGTTGTGCCGCTTTCGCCGTGTGTGGTTCGAAGGAACATAATTGGCGATTAGAGAAACGAAGAGTCAGTCTCTGTAGATCGACGCCTGTGTTCAGACCGAAACTCACTCCGCTCTAATGGAACCCGAGAATAATTCGACACATACATATATCCTGACCCCGACCATTATTCTAGATTTGCAGCACACCAAAGATCGGATGGAAATGCAACGCGTTCGCCATCCAGTCCGTAGACGGCCTGTACTTCCAGGTCGTCTACGCAGACGTGGTCGCCGCCAACAGCTCGGAGCGGGCCAAGTTCCACTTCGAGTGCGTCATGGAACGGTTGGAAAAGTACAACCTGGCACATTACATGGTGGCATTTGTGTCCGACATCGGCCCCCTGAACAACTTTACCTTGGGCAGATGGACGGTGCCGCACCTGTGGGACAAAACCCACTTGCTCGACTGGTTCCCGGAGATCCACGGATTTCGGAACAGGACCCTGGAGCGACCGTACAACGTTCGATTTGGGCGGTGTACCTTCCGAACCGCATTCGCCGACATCAGGCGGTGCCTCGACAAGGAGGTGTCTGCCGTGAACGCTCGCTCCAGGAGGACCGACCAGGTGCTGGAGTAGAGCCTGCGCCAACTGTACACAATGGAGGCTGCGGTGGAAAGATTTTTCGCCTGCAGCGGGGTCGACACGTTTGAGCCCAGGTACATGTGCAACGACAGTCTGGAGCGAATTGGAAAAAAGTGGAAAAATCGAATTCAATCATTGATGCCTCCCAACGGTCCCCTGGACGCTGACACATTAACCGAGGAGGGTTGGGAGATCTTCCCAAAGGTCTTCGGCCTGCTCGCCTACGGCGAGGGGTACCGCGACACAGAGTTTCCTCAACCAGCGCTCGACCATCACTAGCCGCCTGGGGAGTTGACCGTTTTTTTTTTTTGGCTTTGATTTCAACGAACGTTGAAAATGAAGGTTGGTCGCACGACTAGTGCATATGACCAGATACTTTGTCTTGAATTTTGTAATACACAAACATAACCTAAAAGTGAATCCACACCACGAGGTCCCTTGCCCTACCCGGCGTGAAATGTGCGTGTTTCTTCAAAGGCCTGTGAATGTGGACTGGGAGTTGACCGTTAAAAACTGAAATTTAACTAGTTGCATTAGAGGTGGACAAACAGCGATAGCAAGCTGCGATGTCTAGAACCAAAACATCGATAAAAACAACGAGAGCTTCAAAACTTATAATCGATTTATAGTTAATCGATCTTTTTCCAGCTCAAGTTCTCAGTGCTTTATATCGGTCGGCACTGTGAGAGGCAGAGGATGAGCAGAACAATTTCCTATGCTCACTTAATAGGACGCTGCCGACCGCTGCTTTGTATCTTTAATAAAACATGGTGGGATCTCTTTCGCAGCAATAGTGCTCTGTAATTTAGAAGCTTTAATTAAGAGCAACCCTGTAATGAAATGTTTTTGTATTATTATCAATGGGAACATAATGTGAATGTTATTTTGCCTTACCTCGATGTTACATATGTAAGTTTTTTTGATTTCAATTGTCTCGTGTAAAGCAGCGATGTGGTTGTTGTATTGCCTGCTATTTGGGAATTCGAACTTGCATGGGGGGCATATATAGGTGTTGTTCTTATGCACCCCGGTGTCCAAATGTTTGCGCAAGTTTAGTTCACTGCTATAAAGTGCAGGGCAAAATTCGCATTGAAATGCTTCAAGGAAGTCCCTTGTGTATACCCTCATTTCGTAGCATGGTGAGTCCGGGTCGCTTGTGTGAGTTGCGTCCGAGTGGCATTGGGTGAGGAGACCACAATTGGCGCACACGTGGAGCTCCACAACGCTCCCGTGAACCTTGAGCATGTGGCTCGCCATGTCCCCTTTGTTGCGGCAAAAAATGTGCTTTCCGCATTTCTGGCAAAGCCTGTGGCGCTTTGAAGGTTGGCTCTGGCGAGCATTGGTGGGCCTAGCTTCGGGATTTAAGTCTTCACTCGTCTGCTCCACTGTGGCGGGATGCTGGAATTGAGGTATTGAAAGGTCCGCTCCATGTGGACTCATTGACCGAGGAGGGGTTGGAGATTCATTCCAAGTCCAAAACAGATCACGAACAGATTTTTTGTTCTTCAGACAAATGGAGCACATCCAGCCGATTTTCTCTGGCTGTTGCAGCGCTGGCTGCACAACAGGCTGCTCAACATGATGCTCAACAGGCTACTCAACGCTAAGAAAAAATGTAATAATAAAACAAAAACGGCAAACCATTTTTGAGTAAAACCAAAACCATTTCACAGCGACATATTTGGACAACATTCTAAAAAAAATCGCAATCAAATATTCCATCAGAATTCGCTAAATTTTAGTGTTAAATGATCTTCCCCGAAAATCACTTCTATTTTTGTTCCGAGGGAATACGGCAGTTTTTTAACGATATCTTAAGAACTAAAAGTGGTACAAAATCAAGATTTTTACACAAAATAGAGCTTGGGAAGAGTGAAAAGGAAACCCCATTATTAAAAATAAAATCAATTTTTTTCCAATTTTTTTTTCAACTTTAAAGGTGTGCAATTGGCACAATTGCATTTGGTGCTTTGCATACTTTTTATACGATAAAGATAAATCAATTCCGACAACACCAAAGTTCGTTTCAATAATAATATAGTTTAAAATTAATGGCATATTTTTGCCATTTAAATTTTTTAAATTGATCGCCGTGTTTACTGAAGGTTCCTTAGAATACCAATAAAAATGTGAGCCTCTATTTGTTTGCATATATTTTGCATATTTTGGAAATATTTTGCATATTTTTTGCATATATTTTGCATATTTCCGAATTTATTACATTTGAAAAATCGGACCAAAAATGGACAAAAAATCCGGCGCTGAAATTTAAGTAGTTGGAATTAGAGGTGGACAAACAGCGATAGCAAGCTGCGATGTCTAAGCGCAAAACATCGATAAAAACAGCGAAAGCTTTAAAATTTATATTTAACAACGTTTTGAGGCAGCAAAATGTGCAAAAGATTAAAACAAAAAAAATTAATGCAAAAAGAAAAAAAATTCCAAAAAAAATTCATACAAACAGAATTCCGGGAGAATATGTCAAAATAAGAAAAATAAAACCAAAAAAAAACCCGGGAAATATGTTAAAACTAATACAACGCAAAAGAAAAAGAAAAAAATTAAAAAAAATCCTTAAAAATAGTGTGAATGAGAATGAGAGTGTGAATGAGAAAGAATGGGGGAATGAGAGTGTAAATGAAAATGAGAATGAGAGTGTAAATGATAATGAAAGAGTGAGTGTAAATGAGAATGAATTGAATGAAAGTGTGAATGAGTATGAATTGAATGAAAGTGTGGATGAGTATGAAATGAATGAAAGTGTAAATGATAATGAAAGAGTGAGTGTAAATGAGAATGGCGAGCTTCCGTGTGAATGGGAAGTGATAGAAAGTGTGAGTGAGTACGAAATGATTGAAAGTGTGAATGAGTACGATATGATTGAGTGCGTGAATGATGATCTTGAATGGGATGTGAGTGCGATTGGGAATGAATGTGAAAATTATATAATACCTATTGACACAATAATTAATACAAGTAACAATAACCAAACTGTGGAAAAATCGTCAGGCTTAATCGGAAAAAGCCGGAATAAGTGCGCCAAGTGCGGAGCCAGTATAGGCTGTATAACAAAATCGAGCGAGCCCGAGCTAACATGTAATCCCTCGCTCCTTGCATTTTCCTGTACGAATACCTATAAAAACATAAAGTACATTTTTAAATGCAAGTCCCTACGGGCCTTGGGAGGGCATAAGGGCAGATGCCTAAAAATACTTCAACAAACCTATAAAGAAAAGTCCAGGCCACGTCCTGCCAATTCCACAAGGAATTGGCAGCAGCAGCACAAATGCCCCAACTGTGGGAAAGATTTTTTAAGTCGTCAAGGCAGGGCGACCCACGTTAAATCGTGTAAAATAGTCCTTCAGTATATATTTTTTTCTACGCATTTTATTAAAAATCGTGGTAGTGGGCGTGGGCGGTGTGCTGGATGTCCTGGCTGTTGCAGCGCTGGCTGCTCAACAGGCTGCTCAACAGGCTGCTCAACGCTAAGAAAAAATGTCCCGAGCGAATGTGGTTGAAACTGCATAAAACAAAAACGGCAAACCATTTTTGAGTAAAACCAAAACCATTTCACAGCGACATATTTGGACAACATTCTAAAAAAAATCGCAATCGAATATTCCATCAGAATTCGCTAAATTTTAGTGTTAAATGATCTTCCCCGAAAATCACTTCTATTTTTGTCCCGAGCAAATACGGCAGTTTTTTAACGATATCTTAAGAACTAAAAGTGGTACAAAATCAAGATTTTTACACAAAATAGAGCTTGGGAAGAGTGAAAAGGAAACCCCATTATTAAAAATAAAATCAATTTTTTTCCAATTTTTTTTTCAACTTTAAAGGTGTGCAATTGGCACAATTGCATTTGGTGCTTTGCATACTTTTTATACGATAAAGATAAATCAATTCCGACAACACCAAAGTTCGTTTCAATAATAATATAGTTTAAAATTAATGGCATATTTTTGCCATTTAAATTGTTTAAATTGATCGCCGTGTTTACTGAAGGTTCCTTAGAATACCAATAAAAATGTGAGCCTCTATTTGTTTGCATATATTTTGCATATTTTGAAAATATTTTGCATATTTTTTGCATATATTTGGCATATATTGTATATACATTTTTTGCATAAATTTTTTTAATTTCTTACATTTGAAAAATATGACACCTAAGTAGAAATTTGGTAAAAAGCGGACAAAAAATGGACAAAAAAATCCGGTGTGGCGCTAGTAGCTAGTAGTTGGAATTAGAAATGGACAAACAGCGATAGCATTCTGCGATGTCTACGCGCAAAACATCGATTAAAACAACGAAAGCTGCAAAATGTATTTTCGATTTATAGTTAATCGATCTTTTTCCACCTCTGGACATTTATCTTAAATAAAAACAAAATCAAAAAGTTATCTTATCGCCGCTCCCGCGCCTCTTATTTCGATTGTAAGCATGCGAACGTGAAAAGCGAGCACCAAACTCGCGATGTTGCTGCTGGAGCTGAACATTCTGACCCTGAATATTTGGTGAGAGCGGAGCGAACATCTCCTTCTAAGGCTTCTGGAGCACCAGCATCATTGACCTCGATCTCTGTGGTTACTAACTATCTCCATTTACAGGGGCATTCCGTATGTGTCGAGTGATCGCGCACCCCGCATCGAGGCCATCTGCAAGGAGCTGGCCAGCGGCAAATATGACATCGTCTCCCTGCAGGAGGTGTGGACGCAGCAGGACAGCGAGCTGCTGCAGAAGGGCACGGAGGCCATCCTGCCGCACAGCCACTACTTCCACAGCGGCGTAATGGGCGCCGGTCTGCTGGTGCTCTCCAAGTACCCCATTCTGGGCACGCTGTTCCATGCCTGGTCCGTCAACGGCTACTTCCATCGCATCCAGCATGCCGATTGGTTTGGCGGCAAGGGCGTGGGCCTCTGTCGCATCCTCGTCGGTGGCCAGATGGTTCACCTGTACAATGCCCACCTCCATGCGGAGTATGACAACGCGAACGATGAGTACAAGACGCATCGGGTCATCCAGGCCTTTGATACTGCTCAATTTATCGAGGCCACCCGGGGCAACTCGGCGCTGCAGATCCTCGCAGGCGATCTAAACGCCCAGCCGCAGGACATCTCGTACAAGGTGCTGCTCTACACCTCCAAGATGCTCGACAGCTGCGCCTCGGACTCCTTTCGCACCAACGAGTGCCAGCACAACTCGTATACCTCGAAGCAGGCGCTTGCGCGGAATCCCCAGGGCATCCGCATCGATCACATCTTTGTGCGCGGCGGCGATCATGTGAATGCCGAGATAGCCGAGTACAAACTGCCCTTTCCGGAACGCGTGCCCGGCGAAAAGTTCAGCTACTCGGATCACGAGGCTGTGCTGGCCAAGCTGAAGCTGTTTAAGTTGGCCGCACGAACGGAGGAGCCGCCGGTGGCCACGATCGAGGTGAACTGCCAGGTGGAGGAGGGCGAAAGTTGTGCCGTTCGGCAACTGGGCGCTGGCGATGCTCTGGGAGGAGCATCTGACGATCAGCAGCAGCAGCCGGAGGTCCAGTGCAATGGCAGCTCTACTTCCATTCAATCCATGCCCGCCGCCAGAACTGCCGCTCTCCACGAGGCGCTGGCTTTGTGCGATGCTTCCCTGCTGCAGCTGAACACCGATCGGATACTCTACTACAGCGCCGCCACCTTCCTGTTCGTCCTCCTCGTCCTGCTGGTGGAGTTCACGGCCCCCGTGGGCATGCGCACCATCTTCCTGCTGCTCAAGTTCATCGTTTTCGGCGTCATCCTCTTCTGCGTCTTCATGGCCTCCATCTGGAACTACATGGAGCGAAATGGGGTGCTGCAGGGCAAGAAGTCGATGGAGGTGATGCTGCACCATGCCCAGAAGTACGAGTACTTCTACTGAGGCCTCTACTGAAGCTCAATGCGCATTTAAAAGCCCTATGTATTGTATTGTCCTTGACCAAGAGTTTAATTCCGACTCTGACTTGATCTTTTACGTCCTGTAATCTTGCAATGCAATTCCATGGTCTCTTCATGTGTAACGTCATCCATATCCCAGGAAACATAGTTCAATAAAAGCGACCAACATTAAGCAACACTTAAAGAGTGGCTATTTATTATCTGTAATCTTTTATATGCTATTGAAATGCGTTGTATACAATGAACGCTAGGAATTATAAAGGAAATCAATTTAATATATATATTCAGACAATACAGTGGGTCAATAAAGTGCTTTAAGATTATCAAAGCACTGCATGAATGGATTAAATTAATTATTTTGAATTTTTTGTTTTATATGAATGAATTAATTAGAATTCTGAGTTTAATAGAATTGAATGAATTTGAATTTTGAGTTTAATAGATTGAATGGCATAAATTTCGAAATAATTCAAACGACAATTTCTTTTTAAGAAGAAAGTGCCATCATTTTGTGATTAAATCTGCATGAATTTTATTTTCTTAGGGCCGCTTTCTCGAGTCCCTGTCAAAGTCCCTGATAGCTATCTGTTCGAAAAACTTAAAGACCAGATAAACTGTTCGTAAAAGCAAATCCGCTTTCTCGCCTGCTTTAATTTATCTGAACGAAACACAATTACAGAGTGCTGTTAACGCACTGTGAAGTGCAAAAAATGGCATGCTTCGATTATTTTATCAGCTGTTTGGGTATAACTCAAAGGAAAAGTAAACTGTGATTTCGTTTCTTCTTCATAGTTGGCTTTGGGAAATCAGCTGTCATTCTATCGAGCCGAAAACGCTTAACAGGGACTCCGAGTCCCTGTCAAAGTTAGCTCTCACATTTATGCTCGAGAAAGCCAAAATGCCTTAGCAGGGACTTTATCTGTTCGAGAAATGTTAGCCGGCACTCGAGAAACCGGCCCTAAGTAGTTAACATTGATTTGTTAAAAATCTGGCAAATTCAAAAAATGTATAAAAATTATTCATTTAAACATTCAAATTCGAAATGAATTAAAAAAAACATTCATTTATTTGACATAGAATTGAATTAAACAAATGTGAAATTTCATGGCATATGATAAAACCATGGACCGTAAATAATCATTATTTGAGATTTTTATTTTAAAAGGCCTACACTGAGGTTTTTACAAGTTTTAATCAACAATTTTACTGGTTTTTATGCACTTTATAGACATGAACAAATAACAGTTAACTTGTTTTCCAAATTTGTTGAAATGCATATACTTTGTGGACAAGAGTAAAAAGAACGTAATTTTTGACGTATAAAACAAAATATCACAGTAGTCTTTTTAAAATAAAAATCTCACATAATGATTTACGGTCCCTGGATAAAACAAAAATTGAATGATTCACGCAGGGCTCTACTCTATATATGCCCCCGCAAAGTATGCTTTACTTTCCGAAAAAAACTACCTGAATTTGTACATAGTTCTCCCACAAAAACCATAACCCACAAATGAACACAGATATTAGCTTTAATATTAGGGTGTTTTTAACATTTTTTCTTTATTCTCGAGTAGAAAACAGCTCCGCATAATCCCATCCGGTACAGTTTATTCGGGCTTTCCCTTAGCAAGCTCGGCCTTCTTTCCCTTGACGGGGGCGGGCTTCTGGGAGCGCAGGACAGCGGAAGCGCGGCGGAGGGCAGCCTGTAAAACGAAAGATATTCATTTAGTAATATTCAATTAAAGGGTTAACTAAAATATATTTTGGTTGAGAGCCTCAGATAGGTTTATCAACACGGATCATTCTGCGATCTTGGTTGTGTAGCATAAATAAAAAGATCATCATGACAGGAACCAAAATGGATTTTCGTCTAGCATTTCGATATTTACCTGTGTCAGGTCCTTGCGGTATTTAGAGCCGATGAGCAGGTTCTTCAGCTTCTTCAGGGAACGGCGGGGACCGGACTTGAAGTCAACACGCACGGTGTTCTTGGCGGGCCGCTGGGCATATTTGCCCTTCTTCAGCACGGCGGTGAAGCCCTTCTTGTCGGCGGCGGGCACGACTCCCAGGGTCTTCTTGTGCACGATGCCGCTGTAGCGGTACGAGCTCACGCTGGCCAAGTTGTTTGGCTCCTGGAAAGCGTAATTAGATAATGAGTTTACTTGTTTAATACCAGCTCAAGGGATATGACCAACTTTTGTCAGATTAGAGTTACTATCAAGTTGTATTCAAATATCATTGTGAAAGTTGTAAGTTGGAAACATCATTGAAAGTGGTTTAATGGTAGATTTAAGATCATATTTACTTACTGTGCTGAAGGGCTTCTTAACATCGCGCTTCTTCAACAAGAAGGCGTTGTTGTTGCGAATGATCAACCAATTGAGGTGCGAAGAGGTTGCCATCTCACGTCTGCAAAGGAATTAAATAAAAACCAATTAGTAGCTGCCCAAAATAACTAAAATATTCTACATTTTTTTTAAGTATTTCAGTTTTGGGTGATGAATATAGTCTTCAAGAACTCTTCTGCTAAATCAATCCTCATTAAGTCAAAACTGAAGTACTTAGGATAGGTTTCGATGCTTACCTTTATAATAGAGTATCCAAAAATACAATCATTAGAAAAGAACATGAAATAAAAAAGAAAGAGGGTGATTAGATACACATTTTTCGTAATACAACTTGAAAAGTTATTGGCTTTTTTCAGTTTTGGGTGATGAATATAGTCTTCAAGAACTCTTCCGTTAAATCAATCCTCATTAAGATAAAACTAAAGTTTAGATAGATTTTTACGCTTACCTTTATAAGAAAATCAACAGAAAAACCATCGGAAAGGGGTGAACATGGAACAAAAAGAAAGAATGATTAGATTTTTGTGTTTTTTAATTAAACACTATAATATCTTGTGTTATATTCAGTCTTGGGTGATGAATATAGTCTTCAAGAACTCTTCTGCTCAAATCATTCATCATGGAAGAATAATCCAAGCACATTTAAGACCACACGTGTTCTTACCTTTAAGGAAAAAATCCATATAAAAAGGACAGCGGGGGGAACAGCATGAAAATAAAGGAAAACAGTATATTAGATTTGATATTTAACAGCGCCAGATTAGCTTAGTAAGATGCAATTATAGTTCAAGTCCCGGTCTGGTTTCGCCACTAAAACAATTCACATTTTTTTTATTCACTATTTCGCCCGCTGTGCTGCACGTGTGGGTAAAACGCAATTTACCTCCGAAGTTCAGCGGGCCGGCAGCCAAAGTGACGGAAACACGTGGGGCAGGCATTGGGCCTCAACACTTGCGGAGCGTTTAGAACGCCGTGGGAACGCTAGAACTTAACCAAATCGAGACAAAACGCTAAATGCCCACCTTTTCTCGTTGAAAGACAAGCAGGAAAGAAATATGGCAGCCCGGCATAGCGCGAAGTTGGCTGCGCTTGCCGAAAACACAGGGCTGCATTTGGGGTGCAGTGAGTTGGCAGGCCAACTATCGATAAGAATGCGACGGCCCTGGTTGGTGTTGCCAGAAATGGTTTATTTTTTAAATTTAAAGATTTAATTCTACAGTTGCTATTGAAATTATTAAGGCAGGCTAGTTGTAATTTGTTGTTTTAAATAGTATATTTGTTTTAAGATGGTTGCTCGTTGTTCTTGGTTAGTTTCTAAATGTTTTCCCTCATTTTTTTAATTTATCCGTAAGTTCTAGAAATAAAAAAATCTGTCATAGTTTAAGTTAATTAAAAATTCCTTCAATTTATTTTAAAATTTAAATTATAAAAGAAAAGTGGCAAGAGCTGCCACCCCTCGCAAACCATAGATAGTATCGCTAAGAAATCGATCGACTATCGAAATCGATAGTCTACTGTCAGACACATTTCCGAAAAAAAAATTTCACTCAGTAAAACGTTAAATTAAAAGTTCAGATATCAACAAATCATTTCAAAAAGTTTTTGTTTTAGGCTGTGGTTTGTTTTTATTGTCGTATGTCCATCCAGAATTTAAACACTCGTGGTAAGTGGAGGGAAGGCGCGACCGCGAAACAGGCATTTCCCCGACTCTTACACATGTACATAAAAATGGCCGCCCTGCTCGTCATCGCCGTCGCCGCACATACATACATACACACACGCATTCTGGGGCAAAAGTAAAACACGCTGCGAGGGTGTGATTACATGCCTTACATCCCACAAACATCCGCCGATAATCGCAATAATCAATCCCATCTGCTTGCATTTACAGACCCCTTTGCTGATGCAATCAAGGGCAATGATGATGATATTCAAGACGGGCTAGTGCACATAAGAATCCAGCAGAGGAACGGTCGCAAGACACTAACCACTGTCCAGGGCCTGTCCGCGGAGTATGACTTGAAGAAGATAGTCCGCTCCTGCAAGAAGGTGGGTTTACATGGCTATAAAATGAGGGTTTCCCACTTGGCACACCTCAACTGTCGCAGAACAACTCGATTTACGCCTACAGCTGCGGTCAGCCAGTTAGGATACACATAAAGTCACCCTTCTACCTGCCTAATCCAGTCATATCTGGATAGTCACCCCAAAGTACAGCTTCCACAGCGATGTAAATATTCAGAGCACAGTTATTGATTTCCATGAGGATTTAGTATCTACTTTCTACCTGCTAAAATCCAATAATATTTGTATTACACTTGCAGATTAATTTAAAACCAAATTTATGGTTTGTTTGTAATGAAAATATGATACAGTATCATACAAATTATCATTCGTTCTATGAAAGTAAGAAATATTGATTGTCAGATGTATAGAGGATAACTACATTTAATTATTATAGGGGCTCTCAAATACCTTATGAAGGGAATTTGATGGTATAGTCAAATAGGATACAATTCTGCCTGATAAATCAATTTTAAAATGAGTCACTAAGTGCATAGTTATTGATTTTTATTAGGTCAGCTTAGTAGTCGAATTTTCTGTGCCATAGTTCTGACCACACCTGTATATAAAGCATGTACACAAACTGGGCTATTTTTAAAAAGCTAATACACCTGCAGTAATAACTTTTGTTTATTATTCCCACAGTCTAACCAGTAAACCATTTGATTTAAACAAATACTAACTAACTCTCTCCAATTACTCCACAGGAATTCGCTTGCAATGGCACTGTAATCGAGCACCCAGAGTATGGTGAGGTCCTGCAGCTCCAGGGCGATCAGCGTGAGAACATCTGCCAATGGTTGACGAAGGTGGGACTAGCTAAGCCGGATCAGCTCAAGGTGCACGGTTTCTAGGCGGGACGAACAAACAAACGGTGTGAATTTTCATACTACTATTTCATTCTTAAGCTCTACATCAACACCCCCGAAAAACTTGCAAAAGTTCTTTGTTCCGATTAATTCAAAACACTCTTGATAGAACATTTACACGAATACAGAAGCAATAGACCATTAACTGAGAACAATGTTATAAATAAAATTAAATGTTCAATTTAAATAAACGAATGTGTGCGGGCGCTGTCGTAGCATAATGGGACGAAAACGGAGCTTTGTATGTCTTTATTTGGTTTATTTACTTTTGTTATTGGTCATTTTTGGATGGAAATTTGAGCGGAAGTTGTTAATTAAGAATAAGGCATTCCACGTCAAACAAATATTTATAAAAAATCAGCCAATTCTCGGAGGTCTTAAAATATTTATTTAAATTTTTCTAAAAGTCGAAAAGGTGTGTTGATGAATTTAATCAATAAATAAAATAATTAAATGCAATTCAAATTTAAACTATTATGGTTTTTGTCCTCGCTGTACCTAAGTTCCCCACCTAGTAACACTAATTCCTGCGCCCTATTTTGGTATATTTTCCAGGTCAGCAAGCAGTCACACTAATTTAGGCACAAAAAATAGGAGCGCGAATTTTTTGCGTGTGTTGCTTTTTGCTGGAAAAAAAGGGTTTCGTGAGTGTCCAACGACCAAAAATTCGTCCCCATCAACTACGCGTGTTAGTCCGTCGGATTTGCCAACGATAATTCGGCAGCAAAACGTTGAGCGAAGAATACGTGGACGCGCGGAACGCTGGTGTTTCATTTGGTTCGTTCGGCCAAATTTAACAAGTGGTTTTGAGCCCCATCGACGCGCTGCAGCTGCACAGAATCGGCGTCTGCGGGCGGATTGACCAGGGATTTCTTTCATTCCCAGTGGTAAGTGCGATTTAACACATAATTATGCAGGTCATTTTCAAGGGGAGGGGGGCGGAGGGGCTGGAATTTGCTTAGCAATATTATGTTCTTGCACGCTTCAGGGTTGCCACCTTGCAGGCAGTCGGTATATTTATCGGTATTGCGGTATTTTTTCGGTAATTTCACTTGACATTTGTCAAATTCTGACAAAAATTAAGCAATCATTTAAAGATTACTGGCCAGGAAAAGTCGAGAAAACGCGTGCTGACTTGCATAATATTCCCAGCCCACTTTCATACAGTGCCCGGAAAAAGGAAGGAAAATCCCAGTTAGTTTTCAAATTACTGGTATTTTCAATCGCTTGCAACCCTGCCAGTCGATCTATCGAAACGGCGAAAGTTTTCTATGACGATGAGAAGTCGAATTTTTGGATTTTTCGCGTGACAAGTTGGTGGTGAAAAAAACCAGGCAGAACCTTAACAATTCATTTAGCAACTTGGCAAGCGATTGGCAACTGAAAAGCGCAACGCTGGCGGGTGCGGGCGGTGCAAGTAGGGTGTGAAAAGTCGACAAAAAAAATCAATTGCCTCTCGGTCGTTTTCAATTTTCAATTCACATTCTCTGCGTGTGCAAAAAGGCAGGGGAAAAGCGAGAAAAAAATAGACTGACTGCAAACGACAAAAAAAACGCAAACGTAAAAAAAGAAAAGAAACGGCGAACAGAAGAGGAAGAGCACTGAGGAAGACGAAGAAGACCGAGGAAAAGGCAACGTAGAAGTTGAAGAAAATGTGCAGGAAAAGGGGCGGAGGAGCAGGAGCCGTGTTTTCGAGTCGCAACCAGCAGCAGCAGCAGTATAAATAAATAACCATCGTCGACGCAAGCGAAAAGAAGCCCGGCACGGTTTTCAGCCCGATTCGCATCGCTGAAATAGGCAAAATCTAAAATAATACAAATATCGCAGTGAAAATCAAATTTTCCAAATAGAAAGAAGAGCTCCTCCTCGCTCTCGCTCGCTCACTCTCTCGGCCTCTCCTTCGCCGTCTCTCTCTCGCTCCCACTCTCGCGACTGGGTGGCAACGCGTGCGTGTGTGTGTGTCTGTGTGTGCCTGCTGTGTGTGTGAGTGTGCCGCGTGCGTGAGTGTGTGTGTGTAGCTCGAAAGAGCAAAAAAAAAAATAGATTTAAAAAAAAAATAAAAGAGAAAAAGCAAGGAGAAGGAGAAGCGAAATAACCGACTGTGTCTTTGTGTGGAATTTCTTGATAATTGCAACATACGTTACCATGGAATACTACCTAGGTTGGTAAAATAGTTAACTATGTGGTATATATGTGCCACCCCCCTATATACATGCATACATGGCACATGTGTGTGCACTTATGCTGACTTTGCTTTGCATTGCATTGCGTTTCGTTTGTTTGTTTTTTGTTTTTATTCACTCGAAATCGGCAGAGTTTTCCCAGCGTCTAGCTTCCTCCGATTACGAAAGTTTCCCGTTACGTCTAACAAAAAATTGACCTTGTTTGTAATACACTCAGACACACACACTCGTACATACACCACCCACAACTCACCTACATAATGTGAAAAGCCCCCCCACTCATACATACAAACCACTTGCAGGAGGATATGTGTACATGAACGGAGATGCAGTCAAGATCCAGCCGCCCGTCTACACGAACGTTCCTGTCGAGACGGCGATGCTAGCCACCAATCTGTTTGGCGCCACCACCCAAATCGCAGCCTCCCCCGCAGCAGCCGCCGCGGCAGCCCACATACCGTTGATCACAGCAGCCGCTGCAGCCGCAGCCGCCGCCGGAGGAGCTCCCCCAGTGGCTCCGCCCGTTGCAGTTGCTCCAGTGCAAGCGACCGCATCATCAGTAGCGGCAGCAGCAGCCGTTGTGCCCGCCCAGCAGCAGCAGCAGCAGCAGGCGCATCCACACCAGGCCCAGATTCTGGCCCATACGCACGTAGCCCACCAACAACAACAGCAGCAGCATCTCCACCAGCAGCAGCAGCAGCAGCAACAGTCGCCGCATCCCGCCCAGCATCTGACCTACGGCCATCAGCCGGCGCCTCCACAGGCCACGGCTGGAGGATCAGGAGGAACAGTAGGACCACCAGGATCATCCGAGGTGCAGGATCCAAACGAATACGCCATCATGAATGGCACTCTGGCTCAGACCCAGGATGGCACTGTGCTCTGCTACACCACAGACGCCCTCAACAACACGAATTTAGTTGCCCTCGATCCGCAGCAGCCCCATCAGATTGTAATGCCGGTCCAGGTTCCTGTCCAAGTCCCAGTGCCCGTTCAGCTGCCATCGAATGGTTCCTCCGATCAGCAGCTGCAGCAGCAGGGCAGCCACAATACAGCCGCCGCTGGAGGAGAAGAGCCCAACATACCGCTGGACAAGCTCAAGCAAATGCTGGCCACCCAGCTTGAGTATTACTTCTCCAGGTGGGATTATTGCTATTTAATGAAGTAGAACCTGCTCTTATTTTCCTTTTATTTCTACCCAAACAACAGAGAGAACCTGGCCAACGATACTTACCTGCTCTCCCAGATGGACAGCGACCAGTATGTGCCCATTTACACCGTGGCCAGATTCAATTTGGTACGGAAACTAACCGAGGACATGAATCTCATCACTGAGGTGCTGCGTGAATCGCCCAATGTCCAGGTGGACGAGGATGGCCTGCGCGTGCGTCCCAATCGCAAGCGTTGCATCATCATTCTGCGCGAGATATCAAACAACACGCCCCTCGATGACGTCAAGGTGGGTGACGAATGCCAGCCCCAAAATACTAACTAATTGGATTTCGTTTGCTAATTTTTTCAGGCTCTGTTCAGCAACGAGAGCTGCCCCCGCCCGATCTCCTGCGAATTCATCGCCAACAACTCGTGGTACATCACCTTCGAGTCGGACGACGATGCGCAGAAGGCATACAAGTACCTGCGCGAGGAGGTCAAGGAGTTCCAGGGCAAGCCGATCATGGCCCGCATCAAGCCCAAGTCGTTTATCAATCGCATCCAAGCTGTACCAAATAAGATGAACGGCTATCGCCTCACATCGCCGCCGACCGCGAATGTCTTTGATCCATCCGGAGCCGGTGCCGCAACAGTTGGCTATGCGGCTGCCCAGCAGCCACGCTATCTGTACACCAATGGAGCGGCCCTGGCGGCTCCCGCCTCAGTTCCGTACAGCAATCCTGTACTGATTGTGAGTATTAAGAGGGCATTAGAGGCTTAGTTTAGGTGTAATGTGTTGGGATTGATTTTATTTGGAATTACATTATATTATCTAAACTAATATAAAGTTCGACCCTTAAAAAACGGTCAGTAGCAAATTCCACCCAGAACTGATTGACATAAAAATCTAAAAAAAATCACATTAATTACTAAAATAATTATAAGTCATACATTTGTTCGATAAATGGAATATTTATTGATTTATAATCAACTTGTTCTTATCTTGTGGCTTATTTAACTTGTTAAATGAAAGTTCTAATGACTTGTATACTTATCTTTTCGATTTCTAATTAAGATTTTTATTGTTTGCAAAGTCATTATAATCGATTTCCATGACTAATGCTTTCAATTTATATTTTCTGAATTACTTTTTATATTATTGAATTGTGAAATTAATAGTAAATTTATTTTATTTTATTTATTTCTATAAAGCAAACTTAAAGTTAAAACTATAAGCTAACTAAGATTTTTATAATTGTCAAATTAGATTTTGAGCTTAATTTGGGCTTATTCAAGGTGTCGAATTAGAGACATTTTTATTTATTATTTGAATTTAAATTTTGAATTTAATTTGGGCTTTTTCAAGAAATGAGTAAATTTAATGCAGCCCAAATTGTTATATTTCCTTATAATTTTTTGAAAACTGAAATCTAACTCAAATCTTTAATTTTTTACAGCCGATTCCTCAGAATCAATTCTATCCCGGCTTGGTGGCTGGTCCCTGGCCGCCTGGCACTGTGGCAGCCACTACCGCCCATGGCCAGAACTTCTACGAGATTGGCGGCAACATATTCACCACCAATCCACTGGCTCCGCAGGCTGTGGCCGCCGGTTTCGCTCAAGCTCCGCCACCCACAGCACAAACGATGGTCGCGTCCAAGCCGCAGGGCGGTGGACGCTACAACAACAGTCACCGCGGCAATCCCAACAATGTGGGCGGTGCGAATTCGGGACCACGCGGCGAGTCGAGGGGCAAACCACCGCGCAACACACAAACAGCCTCGCACCTTCAGGGCGGCAGCATTGTGCCCATTCAGATAACTGGTGCCATTCCAGGCGGAATGGTGAGCGTGGTGCCGGCCAACATTGTGCAGGATCCACTGCAGCAGGCTCCGTTGCAACAGCAGCAGCAGCCGCAGCAAGTTCTGCAGCAGATTCAGCAGCAGCCAACGAGCTCAGCTCAGCAGCAACAGGCCGCGGTGCAGGTGAACAGCTCCACTCGTCACTATCCCATCAAGAGCAACTGGAAGGGTGAGTTTTTAAATGACTTTTATACAAAGAGTATGCTAATTATGATGTCTTTCCAACAGGTGGCATGCAGAAGAACCTGGACAAGAGCTATCATCACTATGCCACCCAGGTGCAGGCTCTGCCCGCCCACAGCCACCATCTGCAGGCTCAGCAGCAGCAGCAGCAACAGCAACAGGGACAATCCCAGCAGCAGCACTATCAATTGGCTTCCTCCAGCGCCGCTAGCGCTCCGCAAGTTACCTATGTTTCGACTGCTCCGGCTCAACCGCAGCATCAGCACCACCTGGTGGTTCAGCAGACGCAGCCACAACAGCAGCAGCAACCGCAACAGGTTGCTCTTCAGCAGCAGCAGCAAGTGCAGGTGCAGGAGCTGCAGGAAGCGGGGGAAGGCGGCGGCGTCGTTGAGCATGGCTCGCATGCCATGCAGCAGGTGAATCGCAGCAGCAACATGTCTGCCAGCTCCTCCTCATCGCTGGCCACTTCGATCAGCAAGGAGCCGCTGCAATGGCAGAATCGCCCGCGTCGTCGGCGGCGTGATGAGGAGGGCGGCGGACTCAACTATTCCCCAGGCGGGCGAGTTGGGGTAAGTAAACTGCATAAAATATGTATGTCTTTTAATTGAAATTTAAAGTAATTTAAATATTTAAGTTGCTTAAAGTATGATTTTTACCTAATATTTATTATTTTTATATTTCTTTTCAGCTCTATGGCAGCTCACCCTCTAATCCGCATCAGCAGCAGCACCTGATGTCCTCTTCCTCCGGCAGCAATGTACAGTCAGGTGGCGGCAGCGATGGTGGCGGAGCCTCGCATCGCGGCGGAGAGCGCCAGAGCCACTACAGCAGCATCCACGACGTCCCACCGCCGCAGCACCGTGGCAACTACAAGGGCAATAACTACAATCCCCACTACCATGCCCAGCATTCGTCGATGGCCAGTGGCTCGCACCACCACTCGCATCATCACAACGCCGCCCTGTCCTCCCAGCAGCAGCAGCAGCAACAGCAGCAGCACCACATGACCTCCGGCACTGGACAGCAGGGCTCGGGCGGCCATCACTATCATCACCATCACCACCACAACTCGATTGGCAGCAATGTGGGCAACAGCGGCGGCTTGGGAGTAAGCAGTGGTGGTTCGGGTGGCGGCGGTGGAGGATCCGGTGGCGGATCGGGCAGCAACAGTCTGTCCGGTGGAAGCAACGAGCGCGGCCTGCACCACAGCTCCTTGGGCTATCAGGGCCACCAGCATCAGCATCAACAGCAGCAGCAGCAGCAACAGCAGCAGCAGCAGCAACAACAACAGCCGCCGGCAGCAGTGCAACCGCCGCAGTTCGATTTGGAGGATGCCGCCTTTCCACCACTGCCAGCCACGTCAGCCACCGCACCGCATACACCTCAGGCCACTGGCGGCGCCTCCCTGCATAACTCAACCACCTCGTCCTCCTCGTCAGCGGGTTTGGGCCAGAAGCAGGCCCTTCACCAGCAGCAGCAGCAGCAACAGACGGCGCATCAGCATCAGCAGCTGTTGAACAGCAGCTTGGAAAGTGCTGGAGGCGAGGAGCAGCGCTCAAGCAATCAGCAGGGAATCGAGAGCGGCAGCCTGCACTTGGCCAACAGTTCCTCGGCCAACAACTGGGCCGAGAGCCGCTTGTCCGATGTGGTGCGCACTGGAGGCGGTGGCAGTGGAGGCGGCAAGGGCAAGGTTCGTAAGAACCAGCCGCATTTGGCCCACAACTATCAGCAGCAGCAGCAGCAGCGCAATCCACCTGTTAGCCCCACGCCTGCTGCCTTGGCTGCTGACTACGGGCTCCAGCTGCAGGAGGGCAACAATACTAAGAACGTTACTAAGCAGAGCTCCAGTAACAACAATTCGATCCATGTGATAAAGTGTCAAACACCAAATATCAATGCCAGCAGCAGTAGCAGCAAGGAGGAGGCAGCCGGAGCCCAGCAGCAGCAGCTGGAGAAATCAAACAAGACTGAGGATGAACTGCATCCAAAGCAGCCGCAGCAGCAGCAGCAACGACTGGTCGAAGGCTATGTTCAGCAGTTGCCGCCGCTGGCTGGCCACACCGAGTATTCCGCTGCCCTGGCGGTGGTGGATGGTGGTCTGACCACCAGTCTGGCCGAGTGCAGCCTCGGCCAGCACAAGAAGCCGCCCTCGGTGGCCGCCCTGCACGCCAAGAAGGAGGCCAATCTGCTGGAGAAGGCGGCCAGCGGCAAGCACAAGAGCGTGGCCACGTCCACGTCGACGGAGAACCTTTCGGCAGCCGCCACTGCCAGCAAACCACTGAGCTATGCCCAGGTGGCCCAGCACCACAAGGCTGCGGCGGCGGCAGCTGCCTCCGATGGCAAGGAAGCTGGCTCCGGCGGCTCCACCGGCACCCTGTCGCCCACCGGCAGCCACAAGATGGACCTAGTCTTTGGCGATCCCGCCGCCGTCGTGGCAGCCGTCGAGAAGAGCGGCCTGGCCACAGTAGTTTCGACCGAGAAGCGTGCCGCAGGTGGCGCATCGCCAGCCGCCGCGCTGTCCGGCAAACCAGGAGGTGTTCCTCCGGCCAACAACCAAGGCAGCATTGCTGTCGTGGTCTCTGCCAAAGAGAAAGGTGTGTGTTTTATTTATATTTTAATCTATATGGCCTATTAAAAGTCTTTTCTAATCCTTAGATAATCGTCCCAATGCCTCCGTTCGCCAACTGAGCAAGGAGAAACAGCAACACCAGCAGCAACATTACGGCTCTGCAACAGAGCACAATACTAATGCCAATGTGGGCTCGGGAACTGGCGGCAACCGCAAGTCCAGGGCCAACAACTCTTAAGGGAGAAGATGGGGAGACGAATGAGAAGACGAGAGGAGGAGAACCGTGTTGCCAAAGCGAGGCAACTGTGAGATACCTTTGCAGGATGCCTCTGAGGATGCATCCGACTGTACATATATGAAATTCCATGTGTAAATATGAGCAAACCCTTTTTGTTATACCTATAAGTGCTATAGATATTTACGAGCTAACTAAGGAGGCATATGAAAGGTGAGTTTGCTGTTTACTCCTTAAGAATTTTACTCTACAAATTATATATTTTTAGTAGTTGCCGCTGCTCGAGAGACGCGAAAAAGGAGAGTAAAGAAAGAGGACATAAGGCGAGCAGCCGGCGACGCTTGGACCAGTTATCATATTAGTAGGCAAAGACGAAGAATGAATGGTGCATACCTTTTCTCCAGCTATATTTAATCAGTTATCAGTTAATGTTAATCTACCCTAAGCTAATGTTACCTACACTCGATGGGTACACACTTAGTTTAGCGCCGCACGGAGGAGCAGAACGAGGAGGCGACAGCAGCAGCAGCAGACAGAGGAGAAGGAGAAGAGACAAGAGATGAATATGCCTAAGCTATCATTACGATTATCAATAACGTTGCCGAGTGAATAGGTCTAAGAGGTTTGAGCGTAGTTAGCCAACTAGCATCGAACGACAAAGCAGAGGAAGCAGGAATAGGGAGGAGAATAAGGAATTATTAGGTTTTATTGATAAATTAACGATTACCGATGAACTCATGAATCACACGTTGATTTTACGTTATATTATCTACGTTTAATATTTCATCATTTTCATTTTTGCTTACACACACACATCAGAACATAATGTTTATAGCCAAAACAGAAGTACACAGATACGAGATCGTAGCGTACGCAGCTATGTCTCTGCTAGTCCCACAGGTTAGGGTTACTTCTATTATTTAGATATATTATATATAATATATACGATTGTTTTGAATCATTGTAACATTTTAACGGATGATCTTGTTTGAGCAAGTCGTTTTTTTTTATACACATAACTTGATTATGGGGATTCTCGTACTTAGTTCACGACTTAAGGGATCCTTTACACACACCTACACACGCAGACACACCTGAATACGCCTAGACAAACTTAACAACCCCCCAAAACACACCGACTCGTGTATACCCTCATTTTTATACCTGTATCGTATATCGTGGGAGGGACTTACATTTTAAAATTGCATTTGTTTCCACATGAAGGCAATTTTCTCAGTTTGATGGTTTCACACGTCTATTTCAACAAACAAAGAACGAAACGAAAATGAAAATGAAATGAATTAAGAAGTTAGTGCATTGCTAAATACTAAACTTTATCCTTACGAAGCGTAGGTGGACACAGCTCAGCTCAGCTCATAAGACAAAACACTATCTAATGTTATATTTACGACTTAGGACTCTATACAAAAAGGTGCCATAAACTAAAAGAAAAAACAAAACACAAACACACAGACACACACGAAATTCTATGAGGTTTAGGACAACACAAAATAGGCATTTAATACGAATTCTTTACCTATGTTTTACTGTCTCTCAATTTGAAAATGATGCTGCTTCATCCTCCCCCTCTCCCCAAATTATTGATGCTCATCTTAGGATTTACATTTGCGTAGGAGATGCATATTAATCATTTTAATTATTGTTTTCCCTTTTAATTGTTCACGATTTACGCACAAATTGATTTATGGAGTCTTAATTTATTCAAATCTAAGAAGCATGTAAATTAATCCTTGAAGCATAAAAACAATTGGCCAGGGAGAAAAGAAAAATAATCAGTAGTCTTAAGAGCGTACACACGATATCTACAAACTATTCTAGGCATAAGAATTAAGTTTAGGGTTGCATATATGGATATTCACACCACAAACACACTTAACTTAACGACATTATTTCTTTTGTTATTTTCTCGCACTCCCCAAAAAAAAACCCCAAACGAAACCATTCATTTTCATTTTTCCATTCACACAACTCGCTTCACAAACTGAAAACTGAAAACCCTCGTATTATTTTGGTTCTTTTTAAATTACATGCTTATGAACCCACTGTGAACAAACCGAACAATGTTTTCCCAAAACGAAGAAAAACGTACTAAAACTTTCATCCAAAATCAAAAAAAAACGAAGGAGAATAAGAAAAATGAACTCTAAACGCAAGACTTCCAACCAAAATGAAATTGAAAATATAAGGAGAAAAAAAGGATAGAAAACTAAACTGAAAAATCAATATATACATATATTTTGTTTCTATGAAAACAATCGAATATGCTAAGTGCCTATACTAACTAATATGTAACATACGAGCTGGGTACAGACCGACCACTGAGCCAAGAACCAAAAGGTGACCCCAATCTGGCCATCAGAATGCATCTAAACACTCTACACTCGACACAACACAACACAACACACAACTGCCTCTAGGACATAAACAGCAACCAATCAATCAGCCATTCAATCACTCATTCATCCTGGGAATAACCAGATTGCAGGATAGTTAGGATTGAGATGGATTGGGGTCACCAAACAGATAGTATACCTTGCTCAGTGTTTCGTCGCGTAACCGCCACACAAAATGTATCTTTAAATAATTCATAGTTTATAGTTTGTATCTTCCCCTCCAAAATTGAAGAACGAAAGACCCAAACTATAAAACCCAACTAACCCCGAACAACACTCACACTTTTTGGAAAGTTCTCAAATGATTTTGTTGTGCTCATCACTCACTGTCGGCTGCCAACACAAAAAATACAATACAAAAAAATCACACACGAACCACATACACAACACACACACTGTACAGTTGAACCTCAATAGGGCGGACTGCGACTGGGACTGCGGACTGTGCTTTAGGTGAATCATGGGATGGGATGGCCCGAGTGGAGCCAATTCGTTCGATCGATCGATGGGCGGCGGCTCCAAAATTCCGGACAATGAGATGTGATATTATGCAATTGACAAATCATCAATTGTGTGCGACAAAAAACAAAAACAAATAAACGGAATGCTTGGGCGTATGACCAATGCCCATCGAGATTGCAACGAACGCCCACTCGATGACCACGAGAGACGACAGTCGAGACACTTGACCATCCAGACGCTGAGATCGAGAAGAAGAACCATGGCGAGAGATAGGGAAGAGTATAGGGTATAGGGAAAGTAAAAAGGAACATTGTTGATGTTGAATAATTTTAAGGAATACAATAAATTAAATTAAATTGTTAAATTGTAAACCTCAGTTCTTAAGTTATTTATTTTTGTATACTTAAGCAGCGCATATGACACCTTGTTATATTTACAAAATAATACTATTGCAAGTTCAGCAGACATGCCACGCCCCATAGAGCTATGTATTCCACGCCCATCCACCATCCATGCATCCCATCCATATATCATATATCCCCCAAGTCCCGCAACCAAAAAAAAAGGAAAAAGAAAACAAGAAAATCACACACACCGCTTAGAATATCGTTTAGTTTTTGTTTACACACCATCCAAATATTTTTCGTATTATTTAATTTTATGGAATGCCCCCCCCACGAGACCACTGTACATACCCTTAGCTATACATTGTTGAGGGCATTCCCCCATCTGATTTCGCCCAAAATGATCATTCTCTTTGGCACTGCCATTATATATTTCCCTTGCATATTATTTGTTTGCGTTCGATATAATTCCTAAACTTTCCTCGACGGTCAGAGATCTTTTGAGTTGTTTCTTTTCTTTCACTCCCTTATTTTTACTACTACCATAAAACAACAAACAAACAAACAACGCTAAACAAAAATGCTTACGCACATTGTTATCACTAAAAACAAAACGAAAACAACAACAAGAACAACAACCTGTCTGTTAAAAAACAAAAATGAAAATATGTAATATGAATAACGAGAAGAACATGCATACATTATATAAATATATATATAATCAATTTGTAATTGTACCGAAATTGATAACTGTAAAGTAACAAGAAGTTTATAAAATTGCATATGATTTAAACTATAAACTAACTATAAAGAAATACAATATCCCTCTATGCAGCAAGCGAAAGCTAAAAAACCAACAGCAGTTATGCATAATTGAATGTGTAATATGATGGCATACATATAAATAAAAATATTATAATAAAACAAAACAAAAGGAAAAAAAAAATACAAACACTGAGAAACAACCAAAAAACTCGAAAGCGTAATTCATTTTGTCTATTATAATAGGTTAGTTAAGCCTGAACAATTTGTACGTAAAAACCAGACGATGGTGATGATCATTTCATTATGATGATGTTGATGAGGAGGCGGAAACCTGTACTCGTAACGACTTAATAGCGAAAAGTTTAAATAAAATTTATACTTGCGAGTTAAAAACAAAAAACACGGGCGGAACTTTTCATGACCACTTCTATCTATCTACCCCACTCGAACACTCATTCTCTGCTGGCCACTTTTATTTTTATTTTATTGTATGTATCATATAATTAAAAGCGAAATAAAAACAAGCAGAAAGCAACAACGAAAGGGCGTAGTGTAGATTAAATGTAGATAGGCGAGAAAGCAAAGCAATAAAGCAATAACCAGCGACAGAAAGCAGTACACTTCACTCCAAGTAGTTGCTAAAAAAGTTTTTATATTTCTCTAAAAAAAATATAAATAAATTCTAGACTAAGTAATTCAAGTAACAATCAAATTATACTAAAGATAATAACTTGTTTCAAGACTGCAACACAAGAAAAGAACGACTATCACATCGCATATCCTGTTTGAATTCAAAGTAAAGTTCATTTCCGAAATGACTAATAAGAAATATATCAACATTATTTTTTCTTTGCATAATTTGATATCATTCATCTTAGGATTTGTTCACATTCCACTCCAAAATTTCCCAAAATAAATCCAACTTTCTTGGGCACTACAAAACATTTTTCTTTATTTTTAATTTTGAAACTCTTCACTCTTTTCTTAAAGATCGATCCCAAACAACTTTGACAAGTAGTTTTAGGTACATAAATACTAATCGAGTAATACAATTCTTTTTAATCCATCTTGCTTGGGCATCACAAAACATAGTAAATCATATAATTATATAGTTAGACAAGGCATATATGTATATACACGCATCGTGGGTGGTTACAATTAAAACAAGTACTATTAATTATTAATTGGAGCAAACATTTTGGTAAGGACTGTGTGGTGTGTGTGTTGTTTATATAAAACTTAACCAAGAACACTTGCGTTGTTAAGTATAAAGATTTTGACCTAAGCGGTATTTGGAGTAACCCTAATTAATCGGTAAGGCGCACTAGTAGATATAGTTCAGCTGCATTTCGGCCGCTGCCAGCAGCGCGTCCTGTGACTCCTTCTCCAGCTTCTTCTCGTCGTCCGTGGGACCGGAATTGGATTGCTTCTGGCAGGGTTTCGATTGTGTTTCCGTTTCCGTATCGGTTTCTGCTTCGGCCTCTGCCTCAGTGGCTTCCTCGGCGGGCTTAGTTTTGCCTGGCAAATCAACCACCTGGTTGCTGTTCCGGCAGCGGGCTATCAGATCGCTGTAGGGACGGTCGTGGAGCAGGCAGACCAGCACCACGGTCATATTGTCGCCGCCGAGGCCGCCCATTTGGCAGTCGGGCGCCAGGCAGTGGTTCATCAGCTCCTCGCAGATCTCCTCCGGATACATGCCCATGCCGATGCGCGTGCGACAGAACTCGAGCACTTCCGCATTGCTCATCACATCCCAAATGCCATCGCAGGCCAGCACGATGAATTCCCAGTCCTCCATGATCTTGCGCGTCTCGACATCCGGGTAGGCTATATCGATATATAGAAACATTGAGGTGATAATGGACATTAAAGAACAATGAGTGCGGTGATTCTCACCTGTGACGATCTGATCTTCCGGCTTTTTGTTCGCCCGCTTGAAGACAAAGTCGCCGAGTGCCCGGGAAAGTGCCAGATTGCCGTTGACGCGATTGAACTCCACCCAGCCGCCGCCCTCGATGATCCGCTTGGACTCCGCCTCGTTGTTGGGTTTGTGGTCGAGCGACAGGATCTCCAGCTGTCCATTCACGCAGGCAATGGCCCGCGAGTCCCCGGCATTCGCGCAGTACAGCTTGCTGTCCTTGACTAAAACCACTACGGCCGTGGAGCCGGCCATCTGGTCGCCCCATGACTCATTGTGCAGCATTTCGTAGTCTATGTCCAGAAAGCCCTGCAATTGCATCACAGGTTTGTGAGTAATAAGTAGTACTGAGATGAGAAAAGAGATTTATGGCTAAGCTGGAAATGTACCTACGACAGATGTGCCGTGAAAAATCGACAGGTTATAAATTTTAAACTGTAATAAAAACTTTTGGAGAGTCTACTTAAAGTAAAAACTTATTTATATAGCGTTAA